AGGGTCCTTAAACGTCTCGTCACTGCGTTTACATGTTTCTCTGTCCATCAATTAAAAAAACATTAAGCAAAACAAGTCGACATTTACAGTCAACAAACAAAACAAAACAACTTTCAAAATAAAAGGCCCCAGACAGTAATGGGAGCTCATGAGGGGGCCCTGCAGTAGGCTTGATATTCAAAATAAAAGCCCTGTAAGCAACTCACAGCAAGCTTCTGTAGTTCTGAAGACTTTCAAAATAAAACTCTGAATGGGTTTCTGTCTTTGTTCATGTTTTTCCTCCTCTCCATCTTTTTTTCTCTCTGTCTTTCTTTCTTAGTAATGTAGTGATGATTTAGTATCATTGTCTTAATGTGTTTTCGGACAATAACTATTATTTTTAATTGGCGATTAGCTGTTTAATAGAAATGTGAAAAATGTCATCACAGATTTCTCAGATGGCTCACAGTTTCTTGCTTAAGTTTGTTTTTGAAGGTAAAAGAAGTGAATCCAACCAGGAACAGAGATTTTCTCCTTCTTTTCTCATGTCTAAAGCTCTGTCTGGTTTACATATTGAGATCTGATCAGACTGTGACCAGAATAACAAGATCATTTATTAAAACCAAGATCACATGTTAATACCAGGCGTAAACGAGGCCTCAGTTACAGTAATTTAAGACGTATAAACACACACATGCTAACACAAAGCTACATGCACACACACTGATGTGTGAACAGAGTAGGATCAGTCTCCTCACCCAAACTCCAGTGATGAAAACAATAAGGATTTGCTTCTTGAAGAGAGTTTCCACCTTAACCAGAACTGAACCCAGAGAGATGTCTATCAAGCCGAGCACCATCTCCACCGCCTGGACAGGAAGTGACAGAAACACCACACAACAGTGACACATCACTGACACGAACACAGTTCCTGCACTTCCTCTGACCTCCACTAGCTGCTGCTGCTGTGATCAAACTCTGGCTGAACTGATGCGGAGGAGAGAAACCTCCAACTTCTCTCTGCAAAGACAAGATCAGGGCAGGTTTAGCACAAGTTCAGGTCTCAGCTGATCCACTCAGAGATCCATCTTGTCATGTCTGTTGTAATTCTGTTGTAAGGATCTGTAGCTCGTCTGCAGCAGTAAGCACATTACTCCAGCACTGGCTTCCCTCCATTGGCTGCCACTGTAACTTAGAAGTCAGTACAACATTGTGGTTATTACTGATCAGGCTCTAAAGGCGGGAATATCAGAATTGTTTGAAACTGGTTCAAATCGAACTCACGTACACTCCTTCACTCATGTCGTGGTTTTTATTTCTATTCTGAATACTCCATCGTGTTTTTTTTCATGCTTTTATTGTGAAGTACTTTGTGACTTTTGTTTTGAAAAGTGTCTCGGATGAGTGAAGCTTTAAATGGTTGAGGCCAAACTGTAGAAATGTCAGATTTTTGTGCTGCTGAAGATTTTAAATGAAAGAAATGTCAAAAGCACCATAACAAAGCAACAGGTTTGACGAGTGACATTATTAACACAAAACTTTACAGGTATGAACATGTTGAATTTTAGTAAACGATCAGGTTAAGTGACACAAAGTTACTAAATAATTTAAATGTACTGTTTTAATTATTTCTTTTTCCTTTCATTAATTCAGTCTATTATTATTAGTTATATCATGGCAAACATTCAACAGTGCTGTAATAAAACAGAATATATTTAGAAACTAAATAATAATAATTATTTCTTATTCTATTATAAGTATTAAATGATATGAAAACCTGCTGTTTTTAATTGCACCATTGTGGCTCGTCTCTACATATGTCACTGAGCTTCTTCTGTCAGTCTGTGGGGAGATTTTCAAAATAAAAGGTTCATTAAAGCGAGATTAAGGCGTAAAAACTTAGATGGAGCTTTGAGTGACAGGTGTGTCAGTGGGTTTTTTATTACACTACAACTACTGTATTGTTGTAGTGGAACAACTACAGTTACCATGAGGCTTTGAGTTTGTTGATAGTAAGATAGTAAGAAAACAAATCATCTGACTTCCTGTTTATCATCAGTCTGGAAGTCGTTGTCCATTAAGATAATGGTTCCATTAAACATCTCAGTGACGACCAATCATACATCAATAATGTATCATCAGTGAAATGAGTGAGTTCATGTTCATCCTGCTGCTGCTGCTGTTCAAGAGTCAGAGCAGATAAATTGTCTGATAACAGTTTAATTATCTTTCATATAATTATTGTCTTATTAGAGGATTTGATGATGAAGACCTGGAGCAGCAGAGAACTCACCCCGAAGGTTTTCATGTCCTCCTGTTGGTTCACAAAGAGAGAGCGAGAGAGGAGAGAGAGATATTAGCAAAACAAATACAGAAAATATTAAAGTGTTAATAGATACAAGTTTTGAACAAAGTTTTTTCAACATTATCATTAAATTTTAGTTGAAATCTCGACGTATCAACGACATCACATATTCAGCCTGAGTCAATCTGATGAACAGTAACTCACCATGTTTCCTTTGGTTGTTCTGCAGAAACACACACACACACACACACACACACACAGTGATGTGAATGTGTCTAATGAGTGTTTCTAATTTCCTACAACTGAAACTCTACACTGATCTTCATCATCATCATCATCATCATCATCTGTACAATCAAACTGTTTATAATGAGCCCAGTTGACAAAAGCCCAGCAGGAGATACTACAGCATCAGATCAGCTGAGGCCGTCAGCCAATCAGATCAAGGCTGTTGAGAGGAGTCAGTAACAGTTAAAGGGCCAGTGAGTTGGATTTAGTGCCATCTGGTGGAGAAGTTGCAAATTAACAACAATTAACAATCTCCCTGATCCAGCTGTAATGAAGGTGACAGGTGACTCATTTGAACAAAGATTCAATAAATCAAGTAGGAGACCAGATTCAGCTCCACGTAGTTATCATTAAAGTGAATGAATAGAATCAGACTGACGGTTAGCGCAGCTGAGATGATCCACAAACAGAAAGTAACCGAAACTGTCAGATTCACATCAGATAAACACATGCGAAATATTAATGACTTTATCATATAAAACAAAGAAATGAATAAAAACTGAACCTGCAGACTGGAGGTCATAATCTGTTTAAACAGCACACACAGTCTAAAGACTCAAATCTGTATATACAATTAAATCTGGTCAAACTGAAACTAGCACTAAACTCTCAATATATTTTTATATTTGCACATATACAGAAATGCCTACCTGCATTTGTATATTAGTGTATGTAGTATTTCTAATTCATCTTATTTACTTTAGATTCTGTTTCTATTGTTATTTTATCTCTGGATTATATTTCCCCCTTGTGCTGCTGTGTCAATTTGAATTTCTTCTTCATGAGATCAATAAAGGTTCTTATCTTATCTGATGAGCAGATTTACAGTTTATTTAAAATCAGATGTCATGCAGCTCACCTGGATAAACGTACTGATCAGCTCAGCTGTAGAGAGTCCTTTAGTCCTGATCCGTCTGAGACCAGGGTGCGGTCTGTTTCCTGTCTCTCCTCCTGCTCCTCCTCCTCCTTGTTGATTTGATTTACAGCATCAGTTTCATCTCTGAAAAAATCAATAACTATAGAACAAGCAGTAGCAGCTAATGGATGAGACTCATGATGGAAACGGTTCACACTCAGAGAACAGGAGGGTCGGTGTGACTGATGGTTTAAAAGTATCAACCACCAAAGCTGCAGTTCTTCTAATGACCACTAGAGTCTGGCTCCAACAGTGAGTCCGTCCCCATAGACTCCCATGTTAAAATGTCCAACTTTACAGCAGAAATAAACATGTTTACAGCCTGGTACAAAAACTGTTTTGGTCTCTAGAGCTAATTTCCTCCTTCATGACACCTGTTTATATAACTCACCTGTTTACATTTTATTAAGGACTACACTTATGGAGGATTGAGGGCGTGGCCTCTTTGAGTGACAGGTGGATGAGCATTTCCTTGTTACAAACTGGCTCCACACACCCCTCCTCTTTGACCATATTTGGATTAGCTGGGAGTGAGGGGCGGAGTCATGGCGGCGGAGCAGCTGTTAAAGAGGCGGTAGATCCTCCACTGAACCGGTTGTTGGAGCCTGAAGTCAGAGAGACGATGTGATGGGAAGATCCACTCAGGATTCATCAGGGTATTCTTCATGCCACAGCACCTGTCCACACCTGTGAGAGGAACCTCAACAATACATGTTCACCTACAGTAGTTGACGTTGAACCAGGACTCTCAGTGTGGCCCTGAGCTGAGCGGCCTCTGTGTTATGAACCTCCCTAGACCAGAGTCGAGGCAGCAGCTTGTTCTGATGATGTTCTGATGTTGTTCTGATGTTGTTCTGATGATGTTCTGTTGTTCTGATGTTGTTCTGATGATGTTCTGATGTTCTGATGTTGTTCTGATGTTGTTCTGAAGTTGTTCTGATGATGTTCTGTTGTTCTGATGATTTTCTGATGTTCTGATGATGATGTTCTGATGATGTTCTGATGTTCTGATGATGTTCTGTTGTTCTGATGATGTTCTGAAGTTGTTCTGATGATGTTCTGTTGTTCTGATGATGTTCTGTTGTTCTGATGATGTTCTGATGTTCTGTTGTTCTGATGATGTTCTGATGTTCTGATGATGTTCTGTTGTTCTGATGATGTTCTGATGTTCTGAAGATGTTCTGATGATGTTGTGGACGCAGCTTCGTCCCTCTGACTGAATCACGGTTGCTGATATTCAGAACGTGATGTTGCTTCTTTGTTTGGGTTCTGATCCACTGCTGCAGCTTTACAGCTTGTTTACTAATGTGTGAAACACTGTACGACCTGAAGCGTCAACACAAACATCACCACATGAACCAATCAGAGACAGTGTGATTGGTAATATCAGGTTCATCTGTCATGTTTGTATTTAATGTCTGATGGAAGTGAAGGATTCATTTTATAACTGATTTAAATAAAGATTTACATTCAAAACATGAAGGTGATTTCAGATCAATCACAGAAACTACATTAAAAGAAAAGTCAGTTTAATTTGAACTTGGAAGAAACGTCAGAACACCAACACGTCATTCTTCACCTGCAGCGTCTTTATGTGAGTTCAGCTTTAACAACATGTAAAGAGAAAACATATTTAATATTTGATGATTTAATATTTGATGATTTGTGTTTGAGAACGTTCTCTCTCTCTCTCTCTCTCTCTCTCTCTCTCTGACGGTCGACTGCATCAGTTCTTCTCTTTATCGTCTGATTCATATTTAAACACAATCAAGACTGTGGCACATTAACCCCTAAATTACGCAGAATGCAGTGTAACATGTCGACTACAAGAAGAAAAGATGATTACAGGATATAATGACGGTATGATAGTACTCTGCTGTAGTTTTACTGCAGTATTATTGTAGTATTTGTAGTGGTATTCAGAGGCTCCTCCTCCCCTCTCATGGTGTGTTTGGGGACAGTCCAGACTTTTCCACGTAGTCGCCCAACAGGGCAACGTTGCTGCCGTGCTCCAACACACCAGACGGCAGACTGTGGCAATCATCGACCCTCACCTGGAGGTCAGAGGTCAAACACAAAACTCATAATCATCATCATCATCATCATCATCATCATCATCATCATCATCAGCTGCTCTGTCCGTACAGTAGTTGTTGTTGTGAGACAAACACACTGGATCCTACATTTCCCATAATGCAACTAGACAGCACCTTTGACTGAAGTTCACTGGGCTCACTGTCATGTCGATGAGACCAGTCTAAACAGGTGTTCCTAATAAAGTGCTCATTGAGTGTATAATCAAACAGTGTAATAATTCTTGATTATTTTAAGTCTGTTTTGAATCTTTAAGTTCAGGGACAGACTGACGGTGTCATACCATGAAGGGGGAGGGGCCTGGCGCGCAGCTCTGGCGTCTGATGGCTTTCCCGGAGAACACAAAGACAGTGATGGAGACGCAGAGCTGGAGGACGAGCAGAACCAGGACGGAGGACAGAAGTCCGTTCATGACCACCTGAGACACCCAGAGACCACAGATCATCAGGGAACAATCCAGACCCTCAGCCAAGTCCTCAAGTCTCCTTTCTCGTCATCAGTGTTTGTTTGAAGTGTGAAATTTACTCAGGTTTTCATGCACCGATGAAAAGGAGACGAGAAAACTTTTAACAGTTCTGAAGCAGGAGCTGCAGGAGCTTCAGGAGCTTCAGGAGCTTCAGGAGCTTCAGGAGCTGCAGGAGCTGCAGGAGCTGCAGGAGCTTCAGAAGCTGCAGGAGCTTCAGGAGCTGCAGGAGCTTCAGGAGCTGCAGGAGCTTCAGAAGCTTCAGGAGCTTAAGGAACTGCAGATGCTTCAGGAGCTGCAGGAGCTTCAGGAGCTGCAGGAGCTTCAGGAGCTGCAGGAGCTTCAGGAGCTTCAGGAGCTTAAGGAACTGCAGATGCTTCAGGAGCTGCAGGAGCTTCAGGAGCTTCAGGAGCTTCAGGAGCTGCAGGAGCTTCAGGAGCATCTGGAGCTTCAGGAGCTTCAGGAGCTTCAGGAGCTTCAGGAGCTTCAGGAGCTTCAGGAGCTCCGGTCAGTGATAAACTTACATCCAGAATCCCCATGCTACTGTTCCACCGAATCGTTACGTCCATCTTGTTGAACAGGGGTTGGACAGCCAGCAGCCCGCACAGGTAGACCACGCCCGCCAGGCTGATTATGGCGCTGAACATGTTGGACACCAGAGACGCCCAGACCTGCACTGACAGCAAACACAGAGACCTGAGGCTGTGGTCTGATCCACACAGGAAGGCTGCTGTGTTCACCAAAATAAAAGTCTTTTAAAAGTCTTTAAGCTTTTAAAACCCTTTGAATACCAAACACAATCATGTTAAAACCGTTCTACATGGTCACAAAACAGAGACACAAAACAACCACAGAGACACAAAACAACCACAAAGATACAAAACAACCTCAAAGATACAAAACAACCTCAAAGACACAAAACAACCACAAAGATACAAAACAACCACAGAGACACAAAACAACCACAAAGATACAAAACAACCTCAAAGATACAAAACAACCACAGACACAAAACAACCACAAAGATACAAAACAACCACAAAGATACAAAACAACCACAGAGAAGTAGAAAGTAATTGTCAGGCTTTCTTTGTCTCTCGACACACTGAACGCTGAATACCTTCCTGCAGGCAGGTTGTTGGTGCTGAATACAGCCTGAGAGGAAGCCTGTAGACACTACTCAGGGCTGAAAACATGTGTGTGAAGAAACTAAAGAACAGTTGATGTTTATCGGTGCGACAAGATGAAGTGTGAAAACTCACCAGTGCCACTGAAGTCCGACTTCCCGCCGCCAGAGTCAGAGAGCCAGAAACCACAAACTGAACGACAGCAGAGACACAGAGAAGTTTGTGTTAAATAATGATCTCACCTTTTGACCTGAGGTTTGACCTCAGGGGATGGACTGTCATTGATCAGTGATCTGTTGACATTTGACGTACGGCGACGGCGAAGCAGAACGGAACGTAGACCATCAGCAGCTCTGAGAAGATGGCGGTCAGACTTAAGAGGTTACACAGCACACCGATGAAGATCTGAACAACCTGGGAACACGCACGCACGCACGCACGCACGCACGCACGCCCACACCCCCACACACACACACAGTAGCAGTCAGTAAATCATCTACATTTATCTAAATGAATCTGAGTGAGTCTCACAGTGTCTGTTGTCCACAGCTGATTCACAACATATGAAAACTCCTTTATTTGATTAAATTCCTGCAGCACCTGAAGGCAGCAGGACACATGTGGCTGCGACTGGTCAGTTATAACTCTGTATTGTGCCTGTTAACTCAGGGTTAACATGATGAGATGATCATCAGAGCTCATTAACGCCTCCTTCACATGCTTCTGATGTTACTTCAGTTACGTTCACACTGTGAAACACAGTAGAGGATTCTGAATGAAGTTCTGCAGCTTCTGTTTCTCTGGAGCTTTATTCTGGAGGGACAGCAGGAAGTGATGTCACACTGACTCAGATCAACATGTGGTTCAGGTCTTTGTTCAGGTTCGACTTAATATCTGATGTGTCAGTTTCAGTCTCACCCCGAGGCCGTGTGGCTGCCCCCGCAGGAAGGTGGCGGTCATGTCGTCCACCTTAGCAGCAGAGGTGGGGGAAGTGGGCGGGGCCTGTTGGGCAGTGGCAGCAGCAGGGGTCTGGAGCAGGATGGAGTTTTCACCCACAGGAATGACCTGAGTGACGACCACGACTCCATCGCCCCTGGTGATGGACGTGGATATCATGGTGGAGGTCAGAGGTCACAGGAAGCTTTAAAAACTGCAGGTGAGTCATGAGAAGAGAGAGCAGGTCATCAGATCTGTAAATGACATGTGTGTTGTTCTGTGTGTGTTTTGTTGTTTGTTAAGTTTGTTTACTTCTCTTTCTCTCTTTGTTTCTGTCTCTTTTGTCTTTTCCCTCGTGAGGAGAGACAACGTGACCAATGAGATGTTTCCTCTGAACTTTCATCTGATGACGAACACAGCTGGACCACAGCTGGATCACAGCTGGACCACAGCTTGACCACAGCTGGATCACAGCTGGACCACAGCTGGATCACAGCTGGACCACAGCTTGATCACAGCTGGATCACAGCTGGACCACAGCTGGATCACAGCTGGACCACAGCTGCACCAAAGCTGGACCAGCTCTCAGTCTGCAGGTGTTAACACCTGTATTTCTTGAAGTTTTTTGCACAGATAATGTTATGTACTGTCCAAATAATAACAATAACAATATTTAAAAAATAAATAAATAAATAAATATCATATTCTAAATGCAATATTCTTATTGTTGTCTTTCTGTCTATTGTTCAATGTTTCTTTTTCTTGTTTTTATAGTTTGCACTCATCAAGAGGAGTTCTCTGAATTTCGCTGTATATCTGTACAATAACAATAAAGACTTTCTAATAATAACAACAACAACAACAACAACAACAACAACAACAACAATAATAATGAGGGTGCACAGATGCTGCTGGCAGCACAGGATCATAAAACCTGTATTTTGTATTTATATTGAGAACAATCAAACCACACTTTCCACATAAACCAGCAACACTATGTATTTATCATTTGCCTCTGCAGTCTCTGTTACTGTGTGTAATTCTTTATGTAATAATCCAACTTATGATAATAATGTCTCATAATTGATAGAAATGATTCAGCATCATGTTTGTTTTAAAGGGAGTTGAAATAATGTAAATATGTCTCATGTCAACCTGATGGAAACTGATGTTTAAATAAAATGTTTTTACTGCTGAGTGACAGCAGCTCTCGCTCTGATTTAATATTGGACTTTATAATATTTAACTCTTTATTATGAATGATTTTTTTATCCTCCATTATTAAAATCCTTAAAAATGAAAGTGTCTACATCTGCACGAGCTGAGAAACGAAATCTTAAATTTGATGACTGTTCAGTGGAGTCTGGGGACAGGTTCTGTAATTCACGTCCTGGCCGATTCTTCCAGATGCATGTTCATGTCAATGATGTTATTACAACAGAGCTCATGAACACAGTGGTAATGTAAAAACAACACAACTAAACCAGTTTGTCTGTGGCGCAGCAGCTAAAGTTTTCTCACTAACGCTTCTGAAAGTAAAAGTGACATTTTAAATAATATATAAAATCTGTAAATACAAACATGTCGTGTTTGAAGTGTTAGGAAAGTTTACCTGCAGTTAAATTACCTGTTTTCAGACTCAGACGTTTTCAGACGTGAATTTGCTTGATTTGTTTCCTGGTTGAAATCATGCTGCCTTCAGGTGCTTAAATGTAAGCTCGTAATTCTATCAATCAAAATAATTTTTAGTTTTATTTTATTTATAGAATGATATAAAAATAATATTTATTTTCACAAAGTGACGAAAGAAACACGTCACCATAGATCTCATCATCATGACTCTGCGTCCACTTTTATTAAATGAGTCAATCTTCACACAGAGACGGGAGTGTGATAATTCCGACGACACCTGAAAGCAGCATACGAAACTCCACACCATCATTTCCCTGAAACCACGTCTGAAACCAATTTCAATTTGAGGTCATGATACAGCTGTACCAGCTGCAGCACATTTACGCCACTACTGTACTTCAACTCTGAGGTACTTGTACTTTACTCAGGTATTTCCTTTTTATGTCACTTCATATATATATATATATATATATATGTATGTACACAAACACACAACATACATATATATATATATATATATATATATATATATATATATACATACATATATATATACATACATATATATATATATATATATATATATATATACATACATACATACATACATACATACATACATACATATAAAACAAGTGAATTTCCCTGGTGGAATCAATAAAGGTTTATCTTATCTTATTTTATTTTTTATATCTTTATATCTTTATATTTCTGCTTCACTACATTTCATCACGTCTCTTCTTACTGCACTGATTCGTCAGTATTTCTCGGCCTGTTTGTCATGTGACCACAAAAATCTGAGTTTAGTTGTAGCAGTTGCTTGTTGTAGTTGTGTTTCCCACAAAGAGACATTTCACTCCAAACATGAATTTTCACAGAGACCGAAACAGAATTTAAATTAGTGTAAAAAAATACCTTTTTGATTCTGACCAAATGTCTGATGTTTCTGCCTCAGAACCATTTTAACAACAGAGAAATAAAATTCACGTTTTCACCTTGAACAGGTCTGAACCTGAACTTCTCACTTCAGAGAATTAAAATATTCACATTCAAACTCACCAGTTTTATACATTTGAAACACAGAGACATGTTGACAGAATAGAACCTGTGTCTACTGTAAAAAATATTTTATTGTCTAAACTGTCTAATAAAAAAAGAAAAACAGCAGTTTGTTGTTTTATTGCCTTTATTTCCTCAGCAGACGCAGCAGTGTGTTCGCTCACATTTACAGTGTGTGAAAACAAAACAGCTGATCGAGGATCAACTGAGAAGAAGAGAAGCTGCAGTTTTAAAATCTGTGATCAACGTAAACAAAGAAAAATACTCTATGAGAGCAAAACAACGACCCTGCAGTTACTGAGCAAACAAACCAACAAACAAACAAACAAACAAACAAACAAACAAACAAACAAACAAACAAACAAACAAACAAACAACTGAGAGCTAACAGAGCAGGATTTATCAGAGCTGAATCATCATCATCATCACAGTCAAAAAAACATTTAGCTTCACATTGTGGGATCAATATATGAATTATCAGAAAATCTGATTATTTATTAAATAAAAACTGTAAAAATTCAACATATTCACATTCTGCAGTTCCCACTGGAGCCACAGGGGGGTGTCGTCATGACAACCACACGAAGATATTTATGAATTCTCCTTAAATAAAGAATTAATAAATTGACAGTCATGCAAAATGCTGCTCTGGCTTGTTAGAGGTTATTGATAATTACTGATATATTGATATATTGGTCCCATCATTACATTCACAGCAGGTTTTACACAAAGTGATCAGTGACTGTTTCTGTTCATGATATACAAAAGATTCAATGATCACACTCCCTGATTTTTAAACAACTAAGTTATTCACAAAACAACATCATTAAACATGTTTAAACATCAATATCAAATGTTACTATATTAAAGAAAACTAAATTAAAATTAAAAGTGACCTGAAAAAAGATTCTGTGCAGAACGAGTCACATCACATCAAAACATGTGGCAACATGGACGCTGTAAAACAAGTTTTTATAAAATCTTTTCATACGACATATGGTTACATACATCGACATAATTATCATGAGAAGTTGCTTGAACATATAGAAGAAAGAAAATATCAGTTTATCACATTTTATAACAACAAGGAAAAAGTCACAACAAAATCTTCAAAATGATTCAGTGACAATGAAACTTTGAGAAACTTGGTTCCAGCTTTTTAAAATTCAGCTGATTCCTGTAGGTGTGAATGTGTGAATATCTCAGTCCTGTGATGGACTGGTGACCTGTCCAGGTGAACCCCGCCCTCGCCCAATGTCAGCTGGGATTGGCTCCAGCCCCCCCGACCCTATATGGATAAGATGTGTGGATAATAGATAGTAGATAATAGATAATAGATAATGGATCTGTTGATGATGATAAACTGAGTTTCTTTGGGTTTTAGATGAAACATTTGAAGACGTCACCTTGGACTTTGTGAAACTATGATTTTTCTTAAATGTTAGACTCTAAATTGTTAATTAATTAATTATAAATTATTGAGGAAATAATGGACAACTAATAAAAAAAGGTAATAATACTTTGCCTGAGGTTTTCTGTGTGATAATCACTTAAATAAAACACAGCTGTATGTAGAAATAAACTGTTTACACATGAGCATCCCCCCACCCCCACCCCCCAGGTTTAGGGATCTTCAGCTTTTTAACAAATACATTGGATGTGGACGTCAGGCCTGATGCTCCATGTGTTTCAGGTGGTTCAGTTTCATCTCTGTGTGTCCACTACAGAGAGGTCAGGCAGGTGTTTAGCCTAGCTTAGCACAGACACTGGAGGTGGGGGGGAAACTGTTAGCGTAGATTCATCACAAGCTGAAAAAAGAAGAAATAATCTGATGAAAATGAAGCAGGTTTTAAGTTAGCTGATAAACAATAACCACGGGGCTAAGCTAACAGCTAGCTAAGTTCTTCTTGTAGCGAGCTGCTAACGTATTTCTGTCTGAGGGGAGAAAAATGGCTGATGACATCCAACAAAGGTCCCTGATCAAACAATGAACTGTGTGAAGTCTCACTAATAATAACTAATAACAGAAGTTTTAAAACACTGAGTCTGAGCTAGCTTTAAAAGATGGATACAAACTATGGGTTAGCATAAAATAAAGTGCTATCAAACACTTCTGAGCTGTTTCACTTTCGATGCTGCTTCCAGTGTTTGTGCTAAGCTAGGCTAAATCCACAAAGACTCTCTGACTCTGTGAATGGAAAATACTCCATCTGATCTGAGGACAGGTGAGCAGTTACCTGGATAATCAACAGACTGGACAACTGGTTAAAATCTTAAAACCAGATGGTTACCATGGTAACTTTGGATGCTAACAGATGAGAGCCATAAACCAGTTGTAGACGCACAGAGATGAAACTGAAACATCTGAAGATCCCGGATCACGAGGCTTCAGAGGATTTCTTTCTTTCTTTTAGGATTCTGACTTTAATCTCACAAGTCTGAATTTCCAAAATAAAAATTTTCGGGGTCTTTTTTTTTTTTTTTTTAGGTTTCTGACTTTTTTCCCAGAATTCTAAAAAAAAAAGAAAAAAAAAGTGACCCCCCCCCTCTTCAAACGCCTGGCGGCTGAACCAGGAGCATGTGAGTGAACCACTGTTACTCCACCTTCACCTCCGTACCGTCCGCACCGACCAGAGGATTCACTTTGTGCTCAGTCTTCCGTTGGCGCCACAGGTGCAGTCCTCCGAGGACCAGGGCGCAGATGCAGAGGACCAGCAGGAGGGAGACGACCACCAGCTCGCTGTAGTAACTCTTCTCTCGAGGAGGGACGGCGCCCGGCTCCTTCCAGGAGTGCGAGTCTTTTCTGGAGGTCACAGTCCAATGATCTTCAGTTTGGTTTTTCAAATCGGAGTCTTTGACGTTGAAGGTGGTCTCGTCTTTAAAACTGGTCGTGGACGTGTCCTCTCTGTCCTCTGGGTCTCCTGAAGGTTCAGGGACCCGGGGGGCCTCAGTGGCAATGTCCTCGAAAGACTCGTCTTTAGTGTCGGGCACGTGGCCGTCGACAGTTGGGGAGGGGCTCATGGAGCGGGGCAGAGCCGCCTGTCTGACAGTGTAGCCTGAGACTACTTCCTTGTACCCGCCCTCCTCCGCCTCACAGCGGTAGGTCCCGAGGGTGGCGGCGGCGGCGAGGAACCTGAGGCTGCCATCAGCTGATTGGATGAAGAGTTTATCTGGCAGGTGTTTAAACTGAGGGGAGGTCCAGGTGAGAGCGGCCATGTTGGAAGGTTTCAGACACGGAAGTCTCACAACTTCATTCAGCTGAACGCTGACCTCTGCAGGACAGACATCAGTGTTAGACTGAGTCAGCTGGTCAGACATGGAGGGACAAACATGTTCATCAGAGACAGAGACAGGGACAGAGAGAGAGACAGGGAGAGAGACAGAGACAGAGAGAGAGACAGAGAGACAGAGACAGAGACAGATGGATGATGAAGAAGGTGAAGAAGAAGATGGAGGATGGTTTATAAAGTGAAGACGTTTCTGTGTGTCAGCTGATTGATCATCGTCACTGAGGACGCGGTTACCTGTGTCCTGATTGGCTCTGCTCTGCTGCTGACACCCCTCCTCCACGCCGCCGCTCTCCAGGTCCTGAATCCTGAGGAGTGACATCACCCGTCAGTCACTGCTTAGGGCCGACTGACTGACAGCAGCTGATTCATTCACTAAATGCATCTAAATTCACTTAATTTAAATGAAATAATGATAAAATAAATAATAATGAAACAGAGTGAAATAAGAATAAGAATGAGTTTAAACCTGAGGCTGAAACCACTCAGGACCAACGTGTTAATGTTCTCATGTTCCACCTACATGGTCTCAGAACCGCGGCCCAGACCGGTGCAGACCCTCCTGGTCGGACTCCAGCCACACTGAGGGTCTCTGGCCAGAACACATTGGCTGCAGGTTCTGTAGGTGGAGCAGTTGGACACGGGGACAGCGGTCACACCCTCAGACGTCCCCACATAAAGGACTCCCTGCAGGACCAGAGAGCAGAGGTCTTAACTCTCCCACAGTCACAGACAGAGACGAGGAGTTTCAATAAAAACAGAGGAAAGACGTGAAAGATCAAAACCTCAGAGATGCTGGAAGGTCAGAGAGAAACATGTGGCTTTTACTTCAGGATGGAAAATGGAGGGAAACTTTTGTGGCAGCTGCTGAAAAGCCTTTTATAATTTATAAGACATCCTGTTAATGTCACAGAGATATGTTACAACAAGATATAATAATAATATAAAACAGAATAAAAGAATATGATAGTGTAGTGATATTATGACAAAATAATATGTATAATGTATATATTCTATGAAATAGAATCATTTAAAATATATAATTATATTATAATACTATAATTTAATTATATATATATATATTATTATATGACAATGATAATAATTCTACTATAATAAGGTGATAATAAAACCATGAGTTGATGTAAGAGTCAGATTCATCACTGATCACATTTAACTCTCAGAGGTCTGAGGGTTTTTCCTCCGGTTCTCCAGTATCTCTTTAATGGACTTTTCAAAGGTTGATATCACATGACGCCCAGGTGTTTATATCCCAGTGTTCACATCTGTCTCAGCTGCTTCTGTAATGACGCCCCTTTTTCACCCTCTTTGACCAGATGCTGAAAAACTGAAATTCTCCAAAACAAACTTCCCTGATGGTGATGAAGTGAAATGTGTTGACCAGAGTCTGAGCTTCATCAACAACAGAGCAGTGTATGAGTGAAATAGATGTTTAATAAAAGCCTGACATGAGATTTTGTAAAATCACTGAGTGGAAGCGTCGTCCACCACTCTGCTTTAACCAGCTTTTAGAGACCTGCTTCGACGCCTTCCAGCTCCCGCTCTGACTCACGTACCATCTCACAAGAATATGAAACGGAAAGTGGAGAGTCGACAGATTCTAACAACGTCTGAACCAGATTTCTACTCTGTGTTCTCACAGAGATATTAACAGGAACACCCGTCCTCCTCACAGGGTCATCCTGTCTCGTGTCCAGCTGATGGACAGACGGATGGACAAACTGATGGACAGCCTGTGATTGACAGCTGTCGTGTCGTGACTGCAGCTGCTGCAGCGACGGGACTGTGAGGATCAGGTGTTACTACATAGTGACTGTGGGTAACAACTGAACCACAGTGTCACAACCAGCGACTGAAAACCAGAAACCTTTCTTGGTATTTCATATATAAACACCAGAGAGCTCCGTCTTTAAACTGCCTTTTAATGTGGAATTATATTTTCATTTTCATGTTTTTAATTCCTTCATTATGACCCTGTTTACTTCCTGTTAACAGCTGTTTGTTGTTGTGATGATTAATTTCTCTGTGGATCAATAAAGTTTGATTTTAACAGTTTATTTTAAAATGTTTCTTTTCCTTTTTATTTATTAAACTTTTTATATGAAATAAAGTTTATTCTTGTTCAGTCTCGTGATTATTCTCTCTCAGTGTTTCATGTTTATTGTCATTAAACTTTAATCAAGAAGTCATTAACAGATTCAACGAAGATGCTGTTTATCAGTTCATGTTCCTGTTGATCAATAAATCAGTAAATAAATCAGTCCTGATCCATGATTTCAATCTGAAACATCACCTCACAGATGTAGCTGTGCTCATGTGACTCCGTCCTGATTAAAACTCTCAGTGTCAGACCCGGTGTGTTCAGGTGTGTTCAGATGTGTTCAGGTGTCTCAGGTTTGTTCAGGTGTGTTCAGGTGTCTCAGGTTTGTTCAGGTGTGTTCAGGTGTGTTCAGGTGTCTCAGGTTTGTTCAGGTGTGTTCAGGTGTCTCAGGTGTGTTCAGGTGTGTTCAGGTGTCTCAGGTGTGTTCATGTGTCTCAGTTGTGTTCAGGTGTCTCAGGTGTCTCAGGTGTGTTCAGATGTGTTCAGGTGTCTCAGGTTATTTCAGGTGTGTTCAGGTGTGTTCAGGTGTGTTCAGATGTGTTCAGGTGTCTCAGGTTTTTTCAGGTGTGTTCAGGTGTGTTCAGGTGTCTCAGGTTTGTTCAGGTGTGTTCAGGTGTCTCAGGTGTGTTCAGGTGTCTCAGGTGTGTTCAGATGTGTTCAGGTGTGTTCAGGTGTCTTAGGTGTCTCAGGTGTGTTCAGGTGTCTCAGGGGTGTTCAGGTGAGTTCATGTGTCTCAGGTGTATTCAGGTGTCTCAGGTGTGTTCAGGTGTGTTCAGGTGTGTTCAGGTGTCTCAGGTGTGTTCAGGTGAGTTCATGTGTCTCAGGTGTGTTCAGGTGTCTCAGGTGTGTTCAGGTGTGTTCATGTGTCTCAGGTGTGTTCAGATGTGTTCAGGTGTGTTCAGGTGTCTTAGGTGTCTCAGGTGTGTTCAGGTGTCTCAGGTTTACCTTGGTAGAGGACAGAGCGAGGCTTTTGACCAGCTGAGGTTGTGTGAAGACCTGAATCTCCTCGATGACCCGAGAACCCCGGTCAAACAGAACCACTTTGTGCAGGAAGCCGGACTCTGGACGTGAGAGACGGAGGACAGGTAACCATCAGACACCTGTGACCTCATCATCGGTGTCATCAGCTGTTTAATGTGAGGCGTCTTACCTGTGAGCAGGTAGAGGACGGTGTACTGTTTGCCGTTGGCTGCCGTCGTCCTCATGGCAGCCACTCTGCTGTACCGCTGCTCAGAGGAAACCAGGACCGGCCCGTCTGACACCGGTCTGACACCAGAACCGGTCAGGAAACTCTTCTTCACCTCCGCCAGCTCAGAATCTGATGCGTTGTCCAGTCCACACTGTCAGAGGAACAGGAAGTCATCAGTCCAAGTCATCCACCAGAACCAGAACCAGGTCTGAGCTACAGCAGAACCAGAACCAGGCCTGAGGTCTTTAAAAGAAGATCATTTTGTTTTAAAATATTTAAAAACATTATTCATATTTTTTTATTTATTATAAAATCTTTTTACCAAAATGGTAAAAACGATTTGTTGACCCATGTCCAACCCCTCCGTGTCCCAGCAGTGGCCCAGCAGTGGCCCAGCAGTGGCCCAGCAGTGGACCAGCAGTGGCCCCGGGCCACAGGGTCGGAACCATTGGTTAAGATACTAAAGTACCTCAAGCAGGTTGTGACCACCAGAGGGCAGCAACACTGAAAAATCTCTCCCAGCATGCATCAGTTTTTCACAGACACAGTCCGACACTCACCTGCTGCTGATCAGATATTTTATTTCTATATTTTCATCTTTTCCTGTTTGTATTTGTCTTTAACCTCCGACCTTTAACCTCTGATCTTTAACCTCTGTCCACACAGCTGCTTGAAACCTGACTTAACAGCACTGGTGCATCATGGGTGATATACCTTTCCCAGGTATGAGTGTTTTTCCAGCAGCGGACTCCACCGGTGCGTCTGCATGTCGAAGGTCCTGTAGCCTCCGGCGAACGCCGTCCTGACGTCCTGCAGCCTGAAGGCACAGACCGCCGACTCTGGACCGGAGGACCTGACAGAGACCAGAGGACACGGAGACGTCACAGGAAGTCACAAGGCGTGTCGTGGTGGAAGTTCAGACATTTTCTTAGAATGAGAACAGGACATCATGTTGCTGAGGTGGCCATTTTAAAATGCCTCAGATAACAGCAGCTGATTGGCCAAACCCCTCAGACCTCCGTCAGCTACACCTGATGGAGGTGTGTCTTTCTGGTTACCTACCACTGAGAGGTGAAGACGCCGTAGAACAGGGTGTCGGAGGCGTCGCCGCCCTCTGCTGGCTGCAGGGTGAACACGTCCTGGAGGACGTTGAAGGGCATCTGTCTGTGGGACTGACAGAGCAGAGGGGCTTTGGCGAAGGACGTCCACTTCCTCTGCAGCGTCCTCTGTCCCCCGACGTCGTCCTGAAACCAGCAGAGACCAGGTGAGCTCAGACTGCACAGGTTCAACGCACCGGGCCGGACTGTGCAGGACCAGGGTCAGAGAGGAGGGGCTACAGTGTCAGGTGGTCATGTGATCATGTGGTCATGTGATCAGTCTCATCAGTGACATGAGAGTTTAAAGTCACAGACGATCATGATCACAGAGTTGTGTGTTGTGTTACCTGTGCAGGTGAGTCAGGAAACTAGAACCAGGCCTGAGTTTTAATGTTCACTGTAAAAAAACTCTCTCTCTCTCTCTCTCTCTCTCACCTTGCAGACCTGGGCGACCCGGGCGATCTGCAGCTCGTCCACGAAGCTGAACTCTTTCCCAACCTCGCTGAAGAAGAAGTAGAGTTTCCTCTCAGCCGGGTCCCACGACGAGCTCACGAACGTTGGCTCTGAAATACAGGAAGTGATGAGAGGAGGGAAACTCAGGGTGCCATGCCGTGAACGGGTTCGGAATAACGTGGGGAAAAGAGATGTGAGAGTTCAGACGTGAGGAAACAGGAATTGTTTCTAGGACACGTCCGTGTTTCTGTCAGTCACCGACTCAACGCTTGTAAAGTCGGGACCTGGCACTCCGAGTCTCCTCGCACTTTGTAGATGTAGAACTGACACATGAGGAAACACTGCGGCTTTTAGCAGGAATTTAGAGACAAAGAGGAAGTGAAGGATGAGGAAGTGGAGCCACTCTGAACCTCAGTCAGTTTGTGAAGTGGCTTTGAAATATCAGCAATTACTTGTTTTTAACAACAACAACAACATGAGGACGTCTCTGTGTCTCTGCAGGACTGTTCTCCAGTCCCCGTCTCTTTTCTCTGTCCTTCCATTCGCCTTTATTTTATTTATTGTAAAACACTTTCAGCTGCTGCTCTTGTATTAAACTGATCTATAAATAAACTTTATTATTATTATTGTTACTGAACCTCGAGTCCGAGTCTAAAGACGAGCTGGACTCCACAAAGACGCTCCACCTTAAAGACACAGTTTTAATATCTGTCAATATCTGATGTCACATGTCACATGACCTGACAACAAAGAGTCAGTGCTCCAGTCTGAGTCCAGGTCAAGTCACGAGTCCTGAAAATCCAGACTTGAGTCCTGGACTACAACATGTCCACAGGAGAGCGAGCTCCTCAGAGTCAATCAAATATGTTTTCATGTGATTTAAAGGAGGTGCAGGAGGTGCAGGACCGGGTCCTAAGTGGATCAGGACTGGTGTGGCTTCACTCACCCTCCAGTAAATTGACGGACGAGTCCTGGCTGACGTCCCCTCGCTTCTGTTTGGTGAAGTGTCTCGAGATCTGAGGTTTGACTCCTCTGAAGTCACTGGTCGTGGCGGTGAACAGCTCGCCGTCTGCACACGCACATACACACGGTTCAGACACGTGGGAAGATTCAGCTCTGACTTTCACACTCAGTGATCACTTTATTAGGAACACCTGACTGACACTACCCAGGGTCTCAGAGGAAAGTTTCAACATCTGGAGGATCCATGAAGATCTGAGGACGTACGCAGAGGTGTTCCTAATAAAGTGATCATTCATATACTAACTCATGCACATGTTAAAATCTGAATTCACATATTTAATCTGATTTCAACAGACACGTAGTGTCACAGTGACTGACCAACGGTGATGGCCGTGTTCCTCTGGAACGGGCTGAAGGGACAGCGACCTTTAGCGTCGCCATGTTGGACCAGGGTGAAGCTCTCAGTGTCCTGAGGAGACGCACAGAGGACAAACTGTGAGGCTGAGTCACTGAGATGCTCATCAGCTGATGGACAAAACTACAGGACAATTATCTGAGGACGTACGATGAAGCTGTCATGAGGGCTGAAGGCAAAGCTGCCACAGGTGTAGAGGTGGGTGGAGTTTATCTGCTCCAACACATGGACAAAGTTTGGACAGTCGACCTGCAGAGAGAGAGAGGGGCTCATCACAGATTTAGAATGAATGATGTGGTGCGTTCAGGTTCCTTTGAACAGTCAGGATGTGAAACACACTCTGTGAACAACACGTGAACATCATTACAACTGAAGCTGCTCTAACTACATGTCCTGCTCGCCTCCTCCAGAGGATGAAGTCCTCACAGCAGCTGGATAGAACATGGAGCCTCATCAGCTGTGGAGAGATCAGCTGACCGATCAGCTGACATGAACATCCTGTAGGTACCCCAACCCTGTCTCTATAGCAGCAACTCAGTAGCAACATTTAGCTTAGCATAGCATACATGAATGGATGAGGATGGAGGTTTGTTACCGTCGGGTTCTTCCCTTTAAGTTCACAGTCTCGGATCTGAGACTGAGACGGACTCCAGTCCAGCTGGAGAGAGAGAGAGAGAGAGAGAGAGACAGAGAGAGAGACATTAACAGTATTTATATCTTAGAAAACTGAGTCGATTTTTGATCCTAAAGTTTTTCTCATGATGTAAAGTGATCAGTGTTGCAGGGAGGTGACAGATGTTTGTGGCCCCGCCCACAGACTGTGGCCCCGCCCACGTCTTCCATGTTTGAGGTAAACCTGACTTTAACCCACCTTCTTCTTCAGGCTGATGACATTACTCTGACTGACGTCCAATGAGAGGACGGCATCTCGCGCCCCCACATACAGGGTGGAGGAGTCGTTGCTTATCAACAGTGTGGTGGTGTTGTGGACGTCAGGGAGGCTGAAGTGGACCAGAGGTCTGTCTGCAGAGCCTGGACACAGACACAGATACAGGTTTATAGCAGCGCCGTGAAGGTCCTGGTCCTGGATCTGGACCTGGACCTGGAAATGGATCCACCAGAACAACACAGTAGTACACTACATTCTCTCTCTCTGACTCAAACAGCGGCGTAGTGATATGTTAGTTGAAAAAAGTAGTTCCAATGTAAAAGTCTGTTTGATAAAGTAATAATAATATTCAAAATAAAGTGACACTTCAACTGATATTAGTTCAATTCAATTCATTCACATTAGTTGATATTAGTTAAGCTGCGCCCACAGCAGCTCGTCACTCTGCTGCAGGTGAAGCACTGACGTCACGTCACCTGAACTACACCTGTAATCTGAAATGTGAGAGTAGACAGAAGAATAAACAGGAAACACTACAGTAAAGTAACTGAGTAAATGCACTTAGTTACTTTCCACTTCATCGTGTGAATGTGACGCCTCAAGTGAGTCCAGCTGCAGTTTCAGTGGTCTAAGGAGACCACAGCCTTCCCATCATGCACCTGTCCTCAGCACGTGCGGAAAGAGAAGGTCATTTATATAATTTGGTTTTCTCACATGAACCTTTCATCTTTTATTTTGAGAGCGGAGCTGCGAACCAGAGCGAGGCTGTAGCCCGAGACCAGCTGAGACAGTGAATAAAAGCAGCTCTGCATCAGCTGACCGGAGCGCAGACGACTTCCTGTTTCTGGGGCTGAGGCCTGTGTGGTTCAGGTTCAGAGAGGAAGTGGTTCAGAGAAACTGTTTTCATCTGATCAGAATGAGTTTAAAATAAGAACCTGAGCAGCTCGACGGAGAACGACTCTTCTTTCTCTCTTTCAGACGGGTTACATGTAAAGAAAAGCTGATTGTGGCAGGAGTCAGGACGGACTGATCAGAGATAATCACTAATCAATATAAGCAACAGAAACACAGAGAAGATGAACAGGATCAATCACAGATGAAAGCAGGTTGGTGGTTGACCCCAGTGACATTTACAGACTGTGTGAAGCAGGTGGGCGCTGACTGAAGACCGTCACTCTGACATGTTCTCATAGAGTCAAAGGGTCTTCTGGACCACACCTGGGCCACACCTGCAGGATTTGGTTTCTCTGAGTGTTTTTACCTGAAATCTGCTTTATTTTTATTGGATCACTCAGAAAACAGTCAGCCAATCAGAAGAGAGGCTCAGAGCCTCCTCTCATCTGATTGGCTCACAGACCTGTTGTTACTAGAGCTGCAGAGAGAAGCCTGAGAGAGGAGATGTAAAACTACACTGAGATGGTTTTAATATCTTCTTATGGATCAACACTTCAAATAAAACACAGAAGAAGAAACATGGAGCTTTAAACTCTCACCACAGCATCACATATCACATTATTACCATACATATTTTTGTGTAAATACATATGTTGGTAAATAACTTGCTGACAGTTGCAAATATAATTGGATCTCTTCCTTCACTGATGTATATGTAGGTTATTCTGTCATGTTTAGTATTTCGTGTGTAGGGTGGAGGTGACGGCTGTGTCCCTGTTCCAGCTCAGACTGTCCATAAAGTTTTGACCTGGTAGATGCCCAGCGGAGCACATTCACTTCCCTGTGCCATGAATGAACGTCTGTTGCCGTGGTATCGCTCACTGTCAATCAATGTCTTCACTGATCTCAACAGTCACTGTACCATGTGACCACATTGACGGTGGTTACAGGAAGTGATCTGTGTGGGGGCAGATTGCATGTGAAACTTCCTGTGCAGGGGGGGGGGGCTGCGCACTGAAAAAATAGATGAGTTTCTGTCTTGTTGATTTTCATTATATTATGATAGAGGCGGAGTATTAACACTGGTGTTAATGGGTCTCTGTGTCGGGGGTTGGCCTCCTGTGGTCGGTGTGGGTGCTGCGTGTGTCTGGAGGGGGGGAGGCTCTGTTGTCGCGGGTGCCTCTCGTGTTGTCTGGAGGGGGGGGGCTCTGTGTCGGGGGGTGCTCTGTGTCTGGAGGGGGGGGGGGCCTCTGTGTCGGGGGGGCTCTGTGTTTGGAGGACTGAAATGTTGAAGTGAGATTAATATGAAAGAAACCACAGGTAGAAAGAGTCGAGTCGTTAAAACTAAACTGAGCAGGGATCAGAATAAATAATTAGGTTCTATTGATGATTGTTTAGTTGAGGAAATTCATTTTTAGTGTTTTATACATTAGGGGAATTTAATTGTATAATGTTCACTTAGATAATATTTATTGATGATAATATTAAGTTTAAATTCATCATCTCGTTCTTCATGACGACTCCTGACTGAAAGAGAATGAATCTATATTTATGGATCTGGGCTTCAGTCCATCAGACAGAAAACAGCTGCTCTGTTGTTTCTACATTTATGTGGCTCTTCTGTGGTTTTAAATGTTGCTGCAGCAAAGCATTGTGGGACGGCATTTCTCCTTTCCTTTGGTAAAGGAAGCTCCAGTGTTTCCCAAAGGAGATGAGAGAGGAAGCAGTGAAGCTCCTTTTCTCATGAAGCTGCTCAGAGACTAAAGATCATTTCTCTCAGTCTGAAGCTTCAGACTTTCATAAAGACGCCTCGTTGTGTTCTATCATATTCATATATATTTACATACATCTATTTCTCACCTGTTTGTAGTCACATGTTTATTACATGTTTATTACATGTTCATGTTCACCTGTCGTTTAGCCGCTTGTTAGTGAGTTAGAGTTAGAGTTAGAGTTAGTGAGTTCACACTCAGCAGGAAGCAGAGACAGACTCCAATATGTGCGTCACACCTGCCGCGATCAGCCGCAGGTGACTGTGACAGTGAACGCATCACAGTTTACTCCTGTCACCAGACTCCAATAAAAAATCAAGTGTTTTTTATTTATTGATTGTTTGTTATTTTGATTGATTGTGAAACGACAACAAATGATCAATTCTTCATGTCTTCAGATGAATTTGGTTTTAAATTTAAAGCATCAACTTATTTATTATTAATAAACAATGTAAAAGATGGAGTGGAGTTCATCTGTCTGTAAAACGTTTGTTAATGAGTCGACCACATGTGTTTTACAGCACACAGGAAGAATAAAGTCTTTACTCCCCAATCGCGCTTTAAAAACAAGTTGTGACAAATAAATATTATTTATTATATATTAAATACATATTTATAAATATGTATTAAACGATGAAATAAGTGACACAACAAACAAGACAATCTTATTTTCCAACATGGGAAAAAATGTTGAGCTGAAACGTTCGATTGATCAGTGAGTTGATGGACAGAAAATTAATCAGAAACTACTTTCATCATTGACTAATAATTTTTTCAAGCAAAAATATGTATATCACCATTTTCTGACAGTTTATAGACAAATGATTAATCAATAATAAAATTAATAATCAGTTAAAGCTCTAAAGAAAATCTGACAAAAGAAAAAAGGTTTGGCTTCATCAGCTGTGATGAGTTTCCTGATATAAAATGTGATGTCATAATAAAAGTTGATTCATTATCTAATTCATGAAAATACTGAATAAAATTTCACATTTTAAAAAACTATAAATCAACGACAAAAAACCCTGTTATTTCCAATAAAGAAAAGTCACACACACAAACACACACACACACACACACACACAAACAAACACACACTCACACACACACACAAACACACACACACACAGAACCAGAAACATGAACATGATTGATAATCGATCAGAAACCTGTTTTGGACTCACCGAGGAGGAAGGAGGTTCGAGGAGGAGGCAGAGAGCCGACGGAGCTGAGGAGGCCCAGGACGGGGAGGAGGAGGAGGAGGACTGACGGAGGCATGATGGAGGAGCAGATGATATTAAAATCTTTACTTTCTTCGCGTTGGATCTGAACGCAGCAACAGGCAACACAGCATCGATTGAGACTGAACAGACGCTGAAGAAGACTCACCACAGCTTCCTCTTACTGTGTGGTCCGAGGTCAGGGGGGAGGGGAAGGAGGGAGGGAAGGAGGGAGGGAGGGAGGGAGGGAGGCCTGAATGTTTCTCTGAGCACCATCTGATGTGTCATACTGTCCCTCAGAGCTCACTGAGGGGAAGGGCCGCCTCTGTGTGTAGACACGACACCCTGAACTACACTTGAGTGTTTCTGTTCTATGTGTCACAGCTCCACATCTGTCTGACAGCTGCAGCTACTTCACAGATCAATAACATAAAATCAGCTCAGGTTCAGTTTGATCAGAGGCACAGAGACAATAGACCAGAAGAAGAAGAAGAAGAAGAATTAGGAGAAGTCGTCGTCATTCCTGGAGCTGAGTTTCTATCAGTGACAGTTTCTCTGAATCAGAGCAGAGTTCTGTTTGCAGTCGCTCTGATTCACTTCATCCTGTTTCACATCCTCCGTCTCTGGTGTCACATTTCAGTTTGACTCCGATGACGCAGCAGCTCAAACTCAGACAGGAAGTGGAATCTGTTTCTCTGCATTAAAGAGCAACATTCAGGCTAATTACTGGTTTATTAATTAAAGTCTGATGCTGAACCAGCAGGTTGATGACAACTGATGACATCATCACAGCAGCTCCACCCACCTACAAGGAACAAGCTAGAATGATCTGTCGGTTCCTCCGTAGACCACCTTCAGTTTAAAGGTTCCTTCAGTTCTGCAGGTAGATGAAATCAAGAGAAGCTCCGCCCCTCTCGGTTCTTCTGTCAGCGACAGTTAAAGAACAACAGTCAGGTTTCCATAGAAACACACAGGTTTTACTCACTGACCTCTTTTTAACGTTTATTAGGCGTTTAAGGAACATCAGTAAATTGTAGTGTCTACCAACTGCCTGCATCTGAGGCGTTTAGGGAACATTGGTAAATTGAAGTTTCTACTGATATTGTACATGTCGGGTGTTTAGGGAACATCAGTAAATTGTAGTGTCCATCAATGTTGTTCATGTGAGGCGTTTAGAGAACGTCAGTAGATTGTAGCGTCTACAGATATTGTGCATATGAGGTGTTTAGGGAACATCAGTAAATTGTAGTGTCTACCAACACTTGCATGTGAGGCATTTAAGGGAACATTGGTAAATTGTAGTGTCTATCAATGTTCTTGTGAGGCGTTCAGAGGACATACATACATTTTAGCATCTACCAAAAGCCAGTGTTCAAGAACATCTGCAAATTGTAGCTACAGGAAACTGATCCGGCTGTAATGACCCACAGTAGAAGTTAAGAATCAACAGATGAGCACAGATCATGTAGAAATAGTCTTTAGTTTTATTGAGGACTTTTCCTCCAGCAGCAAACAGAACACAGCAGGACGGTAACAGCATGAACACCGATCAATAGATCAGCCAATAAATCAACCAATCAGTCTGAATGATCGGGCGTGTTCGCTCAGAGGATTTAAGGATCGTTGGGTGAAATCATTCAGTTCTGCAGCAGCTGGTTTGTAGCAGCACAGACTCTTTTATTACTAACATCACTGTTCTGTCAGTTTGCTCCTTTACATTCAGACACTGACCATCACATGTTCAGTCCCTGATTGAAATCATAACGTGACCAGTTTTAAACGGGGCTGTTTTTGGACAGAGTTGTTGAGTGACAGGGTGCGCTTCATCTATCCATGTCAGCGTGCCGCTTGTTACGAAGCCACAAGAGAAGAAACATGAAGATAATCGAAGCGCTGTATTCACTTCACTGTTTGGTTCAGTGATCCACCTGTGGTGAACCGATCTGATTGGACAGGGTTCAGAGACACACCTGTGACTCTCTGTGGTAAATGATTCATTCAATATAAAACACAGTGGGATTAAAAAAACTTCTGAACTGGTATATTTTGTTCAGGTGCCACATTGAGACATTAGTTCAGTCTGACATAAGCAGCACTTCATGTGATAATGTGAAAACCAGGTTCAGGTTCACCTGTCTGAGTCCAGCACTGAGACCAACAGGTGTACAGAAAAAACAGTGACAAAAAACGTTCTGTAGAAAAAAGCTGTTTGTGTTGTTATATGAGAAAAAGTTTTGTTTTGTGTTGAAGCAGAATTATAATATAATCACATCGTCTGTAAAATGGATAAATTCCTTCAACGTGAAGCAGAGAAAATCTTCCAGCATCCTTAAATCCACCTGGTTTCAGTCGTGTTGTTCGTCCGGCTCGTCTTTGGCGTAACGTTATAAACAGCTGGCGTTCAGTCCCAGCTGTCTGACAGAGATCATCTCAAGGCGGGTTAGAAAAATAAAAACCTGATCCAGCAGAGACAGACACGGTCACTGGGACAGAACCCGTTCCTGCTGGTAAGGCGCACAGTTCACTTTGAGCCAGCAGAGTCCCATAAAGACCCGATCCTCAGAGAGTCCAGCTGTTGGTCGGCCACGTGGGCGAAGGCGGGAAAAGTTCATTCCAGCAGCGAGCGGGTGGGAGGCGAAAACTTCTGACGGAGAATCTGAACCACAAAGTCTGAGACTCTGAGAATATTTGAAACGTCTCATTATCTTGAGAAAATGTTTTTGCCTTTTAAGAATAAAGTTGTAATATTTTCAAATAACGTTGAAATATTTAGAAAATAAAGTCACAATACTTTGATCATAATGTCGCGATGTTCTAAGAGAAAAAGTCGGATTATTAGAGAATAAAGTCGGAATATTTACAAACAACTTTCCTCTTGTAACTTTTTCTATGATGAAAAATTCTCATCACATTCCCAGTGTATCATTCCTCTCTTGTACTCTGAGTTAAATATCTCTGACTCTATTCTCATCAGATCATGACCTTAACGACTAAATGTCACATCTTTATTCTTGAATATGATTTTTTTTTCTCATGATATTTAAACGTCACTCTCAGACGCTCAGATTTCTTCCCGCCGCTGTCATCATCTCCCAGAGTTCGAAGCCGAACGCTGCGTGTTCATGAGGTTTGATCAGATTCTTCTGGTTAAAGTTTGAAACTGTTTCATCTGTTTCTACGTTCAGTCATTTACTAAAACACTGAGTTTGAATGAGAAACATCTGTTGTCTGTAGGATCCTCCTCTGGCTCCTGCAGGGCCCTGAACCACAGCTGTGATCACAGGTTTGATCCCCGTCCAACAAGGCACTGACCCCCCCGGCTGTTTTATAACACCGAGACACGTTAATGTGGAAATCATCAACCAGGGGTCAAAGGTCACGGGTTTTATTCCCGAGCGTCCGCACGGTCACTGCCGAGGTGCCGCTGAGCAAGGCACTGATACATCACTGTCACGTCGACAGCGTCTGAGTTCATGGAGGGTGAAGGAGAAATCCGATGACTGAGTGGATAATAAAGTCATCATCATCTTCATCATCTTCATCGTCTTCATCCTCAGTCTCCAGCGCATGAAGCCCCGCCCCCCCTCCCCCAGACCCGCCCCCAGGTTAAAGAGGAGGCGACGTCTGGACTTTCTGAGGGACTGTGGGTCGGAGCGGAGGAGCAGGAGGAGCAGGAGGTCGTCTACAGAGACACAAACACACAGTGTCAGCTCAGGGTTCATGGGGGGGGGGGTCTCAGCTACACTGACTTCCTGTTTGTCAACATCATCTGTTTATTTCAAAACTACTGGTCTAGAACTGGTCTTACCTGTTGGGGGCAGCTGCAGGTGCGACGGCTCCATGCGGGGGTGGTTTGGTGCTGGGGGGGTACCCGGGGTGGGGGGGCAGGTAGGGGTTGGACGGCGGCGCCAGTGGGCGGGGCTTCTTGGGCACCAGAGGTTTGAGTGGGACAGGAACCTGGAGAGAGAAGAGACAGTTTCACTGACCTCAGATCAGTTTCATGATCGACTCGTCATCAGCTGATCTTCACTCATCAAACTTCTCATTACAACAGTGACGCACACGTTTCCAGCTTCCTCCATCTTTCAAATTAAAAGCCTTTCAGCGACTCAAAAGACATGACTGCTTCTTTTCCCAGTGAACTTTTAATGTGAAACATCTGCAGGAAGTTGATTGTGGCTGATGCTGGTTGAGTTTAAATCAGAGTAACAGTATAATGACAGAAGGAGAGAGAGAGTTTTTTTTAATTCTTTTCTCCACTGATAGAAAAATGTCCGCCAGTGTTTCTCAGTGTCAGGCGAAACTCTGACACGAACCAGGAAGTGACGACGTTAAGAAAGGTCTCTAAACGCCTCGTGCCTGTCAGGCATCATCCATCTGTCTCCAACATCCATGTCCAACCAATCACCTCAGTCACACCACATCTCACTGACTCCTAATTCAAACAGTTTGATCAGCAAATCCCAATAATCACAGTGATCGATTTATCTGATCTCAATTCACCAATCAAAACAAATCACACCAATAAATCACTGATATCAGACAGAATCATTCTGCTGCTCGTTCACTCACTGTTCTCTCTGCATGCTAACAACATGCCAGCTACATGCTAAGAGCTACTGGCAGGCAGGTGTGGTGTACCTGTGCAGGTGAGATGGGGTCGGGGGGGAGTGGCTTGTTGGGTGGAGCTGGTCGACTCACCAGCTGCTGAAAGGTTAGTGAGGAGGAGGAGGAGGAGAGAGAAGAAAGACAGAAGAAGAAGAAGTTTGGAGGGCGCACAGAGGTGAGGTCACATGGGTTACAACATCCAGATGTTCTCTGTGCTGACAGTAACATCCAGATGTTCTCTGTGCTGACAGCAACATCCAGATGTTCTGTGCTGACAGCAACATCCAGATGTTCTGTGTGCTGACAGCAACATCCAGATGTTCTGTGTGCTTACAGTAACATCCAGATGTTCTTTGCTGACAGCAACATCCAGATGTTCTCTGTGCTGACAGTAATATCCAGATGTTCTGTGCTGACAGTAACATCCAGATGTTCTGTGCTGACAGTAACATCCAGATGTTCTCTGTGCTGACAGTAACATCCAGATGTTCTGTGCAGGAGGGTGACCTCGTGACTAAAACCCTGCTCTGACTGAGCTCTCAGCTCCATGGCAACCATCAAATAAATAACAAAATAAAATCACAAAGAACAAACAATGAAAGTCAGTTTTTATGGTGAACACCAGGAGCCTGGTTTATAAACCTCTGACCCAGGAGGTCAAAGGTCAGATGATCGAGTTAATAAACGTTTGTAATAAAAGGGAAAAGACTTGAGAATCATTGATGTTCATTAAAAACAGAAGACATGTAAATGTGGTGGTGACTCATGAAGCGCAGACACACACAGGACACACAGTGACCACACACTGCAGGTAGCGGTGACTGTACCTGGTCGGTGGGGGTGGGGGGGTCGGGGGGCAGAGGCTTGGTGGGGGGGGCCCGTCGCAGTTTATCAGACTGAAGCAGCAGAAATAAAAGTGAGAAGAGTTTAAAAGGATGAAACGAGGTGAAGATCAAACGTTCCTCCAGTTACAGGAAGAGTTCAACTTCCTGTGAGATGCTCACATCCTGTTTTCTTCTTCTGCAGCCCTGAGCTCAGAGACATTAAAAGTGAGCCTCCTGCTCATTGATCAGATATGAAATCCTCTTTCCTGATTTGCTGCTGACAGCTCAGTCCAGAGTCCAGTTCAGGTTCTGGTTCAGAGACAGTTCAGACTCTCTCTAGACCTGTTCAGACCTGATCCGATCACCAGCGGTCAGCTCTAGGCGTCCTAGGTGTGAACACACCTGAGACACCTCTGAGACCCGATCACTCAGAGCACATTCAGTCTGGAGTCTGGACCACATGAGACCACATGAGACCACATGAGACCACAATGCTGTTCACAGTGTGAACGTCATTGTGTCCTGGGTCTGTTCATCTGCATAAGAAGCAGGAAGTGGGATCTGATTACAGGTGGTCACTGAAGACAGATGTTAATGCAGGTGTGAACAGGACCTGAGTCAGTCAGTCAGTCACTGAGACCAGACCCTGTACTGGTTTCTCCTCACTGGTTTCCAGTAAAGTTCATTCTTGTTTTTAAGATTCTTTTATTAGATTTAAAGCTCTGTGTGGAACCAGGAAGCAGGAAAGTCACCTCCCTCGGATCTGCTGACCAATCACTGCTCTCCATTTCACACACACAGTTAAAATTAAAAAGTATTTTCAGTTGCTGGAGCAGTTTACCACTAACCATCACTGACAGCTTTAAACCATATCTGTTCTTCAACCTGTTCATGTTCATCATGAACCAAACTCTGATTTTAATCTATTTCTTTATTCTGTTTTTATTCATTTACTTCCTCTGATCTACATGTTGTGTTTTCATTGGACTGTAAATCATCCGTCTGACGGGACTTGAACGTCTCACTGTCGAGACAAAGAGAATAAGAAGAGGACGATGAACTCTTCCTGTGACAAACTACAGCTAAAAAAACTCTTATTTACACTGAGACTCAAACACATCATGCACGACTGAACCAGGACGACAACAACCACAGACCACAACAACAACAACAACAACAACAACACAGACTCACACACTGACACGTGTATGAACTGTTAGTCAGCTGCAGCAACATGAACTCAGACATTTACACACGTGAACTCGTCCAGGTGAGTTCAGGTGAAGTTACCTGCGACTGGGATTTTAGGGCGGGGTCAGGGGGGAGTGGCTTAGAGGGAGGAGCAGGTCTGTCATGAACCTGATAGGAGAGAAAACAGGAAGCAGAGGCACAGAGTGACAGCTGAGACATGCACAGGAGAGGAGCATCTACCAGAGGTCAAAGGTCAAACAGGCAGATGTGTTAATGTGAGCTAACAGCAAGAAGAGAGAGAAAAAAAACATCTGCAGTTGTGGTGTGCTGTCACTTCCTTCTGCTTTTCCTTTCACAACAAAACGATGTTGACAGAGGCTGTTTCATGAACTCTGAGACTCGGAGCGTCAGTGTTTCAAATGTGAATCATCAAAATAAAATCCTTCATTTCTCCGTCAGCTCAGGTTTTACTGAGATCACCATCTTTGTTTTTGTGGCTGTTGGTTTTAATTAAGTTTTGCTGTATTAACACTGAGTGTTATTTGTGTTTTTATTTATTCCTGTTTCTACTTAGTGAGTTAAAATAAAAGAAACACCAACATTCATCACTTCACATGTGAATGATTGTGAAGAAGAAGAACATCTGACTCTGAGTCATAATTCAACAGTAGAGATATCTCTGGTCAAAACAAACCGACAGACATGTCAACACAGCTCAGCTGATATTTATATCTCAACAGCATGTGAACAGTGATCAGCTGATTATCTAAAGAAGCCGTTTGTATCTTGTATCACATCAGGAGTTCAATATATTCTGATCTTCATATGAACTGATGTGAACTCTCTTCTTCTTTCTGTTTGGGATATCTTCCTCTCCTCTGAGCTCTGGCACTACAGTTCCCATCATGCTTTGTGACGCATGCAACAAATATATTGTCACCAAGAGTGAGTCAGTGTATCTGCATCAAATGAACAGCTGTGTTAGAAAACATCTGGTTCACTGATGAAAGGTCAAAGGTACAAGAAGCCAACTACAACTCCCATGGTGCATTTCACTACCAAACAGCCAATCACATGTACTCTGCAGTTATGACTGAAAAAAACACAAAGCTGCAGTTTTGGAGAATGAGATGCATCAATGAGGAGAACGATGACATCACACCCTGCTCACTCACTGATTGGTCGGCTGTGTGGAGGTGAGACAGTGGGCAGGATTGAACTTTGAACTCTTTTCTTCTTCACTCACTGTTTTATGGAAACACAAAGTGACACGTGAAGACTGTGATGTGATGAGTTCACTGACTGGCGGGGCCGGGGATGTCAATGATTAATCGATCAGCGATTGTTACTGATTCTTAATAACTTAATTGATTAGAAATACAACAGCAGAGGATGAGGAAGGTTCGTGTGACTGTGAGAAGATGTTGTGTAGTTTTCTCTAGTACCTGGATCAACCACTGGGTGGTGCCTCTTACTGTTTAATGAGGTGGAGTTAAACATGTCCACCCATCAAATAGTAAAACAAACGCGCCTCCTTCAGTGGTTAAACAGACAGAAGCTCCATGATCATAATCTATGATCCAGGAAACTCCACCACTGTGTTTCATCAATGAAGCAACTATTGATCGTTAATGTGGTTGATGATCAATTAATTAATTTCTCTTCTTAATTCAGAGAAGTTCTGTGGATTTTAAAAGTACAAACAAACCTGATCAAAAAATACTTTTATTTTATTTTCTATAACGTTTGTTCTCTTTGTCAGTGTTGGTGAGGTTGCTATGGTTACCTCTTTGTGGGGCGGGGTCAGTGGGATGTCAGTCGGTGGGTTCAGGTGGTATCTCAGCGGTCGGACCTGCTCGCCGTTCCTGCCGTCGACTCGCTCCATCGCCGGAGTCCTGACGAGACAAACACTCGTTACATCTACAAACAGCTTCTGTATCTGTTGTAGAGACGTTCAGGGTCAGGCTCAGGGTCAGTTTTTCACAGTGTTGACTCCCTGAGCGTTGAACCACACTGTGATGGGTGATTTTAACTTCTAATAAACAACATCACAGAAACAAACAAACACAAACTAAACCGTCGTGTCCAAACACGAGCTCCTCGACACACAGATCCTGCTTCGCTCTCGTTAAGAAGACGCCTCGTCTCGCTGCTTTTGCTTTTTCACACTGAACCAAAGAGTCGGTGTGACGCCGGTCCAATGTGTGATTTCAGATGACACGTTCAGGGATCGGAGGCGTGAGCGACAGCAGCTGTGTCGACCACCTCTGTCGACATGGAGGTGGAACAATGACACAACTTCCCCGCCTTGAACAGGCTGCGGAGAAACTACTCTTAAAGCTGCACCTTCATTACCCAGAATCCTCTCTGACTGATTGACAGCAGGAGACTTGATGTTCAACACAGAATGACACCAGGAGGAAACACTCTGAGATCCGGATCAGTGCAGCTTTAAGTCTGAGAGGAGTCCGACTACAGGGACACACTACAGGTGGACCCAGCAGGTCTGACAGTACCTGGAGACGTGGGCGGGGTCAAACTCCAAACCCAATATGTCAGAGTGAGTCACACTGCATTATGGGTAAGAAAACACGTCAGACTCAGATGAGTTTATTTTCTCTGAATGAGCTTTTTCTGACACAGTGAAACATTTTAATTTAATTTAATTGTATTTATGTGTCTGTCAACAAATATATACTTTTACTAAACTTTACAGTTGTAAGATAAAAACATTTATTAACTGATTATTAACACATATATAAGACCAGTATTAAGGCCACTGTCAGAAGAAAAAAAAAAAAAAAATCATATCAAATTTATAAAAATTTTGAAAATAATTTACATAAAAACTCAATTTTCAATTATTATTATTAATTCTTTTTTTAAGTATATTTTTTGGGGGCTTTTGTGCCTTTATTGGACAGGATAGTAGAGAGAGACAGGAAATGGGGAGGCAGAGAGAGGGGGAATGACATGGGGCGCCTGCTCAGACCACTACGCCTTACGACGCCCAATTTTCAATTATTTTATGATAAAAAAGTTTTAATCACAGAAATAAAACTCTGAATTTTTGAAAAATATTACTTATTTATGTTACTACATAATATTTCAATAAGAAAATCTAAATCTTATGAGGATAATAACTTATTTTTTATAAATAACTTTTATATACTGTTTCTTCATATTGACAGATTTTACTGTTATAAACGTATCAACTGTAAAACTGATGAAACCTACAGACAAAGATCTACTTATGACTAATATATACTGTATAATAACCATGTATATGATTATATACTGCTCATACTAATTATTACATGTATAATTAACTGGACTAATATAACTTATTATTTATTATTATTATTATTACTAATGAGCCGCTGGACACATGAATTCCCCTAGAGGATAAATAAAGTATCTATCTGTCTACACACACACACACACACACACACACACACACACACACACACACACACAGTGTGTTACCGGTTGTGTTGTCGAGCTTTGTGAAACGGGCTGTTCGGTCCCAGACAGAGGAGACTCCGCCGGAAACGAGGGAAGCGAAGAGCGAGGAAGAGGAGGACCACGGGCAGGATGAAGAGGAAGATGACAAGCATGGCGACTCGGACGGGGTCAGACTCTGAACACACACACACACACACAGGGACAGTGTTAACCACAGTCAGACATCAGACAGACGTCAGTCAGAGTTCAGGCTCATCACCTCGAGCAGATCGGGCCGGTCCACTGTCCACGCTGCCTCCATGACCTGAGTACCTGCAGTCAGGTGGAGCCCAGCCCACATCACAGTGACAGTTCTTGTTGCTGTTACACACCTGAAACACACACACACACACACACACACACACACACACAGATTATAGTCCAACATGGAGACTGGGATTAATCCTGTTAGAAAGGGTCAACGCAGGTCATCAGAGTTCAGCACACTGATCCTGAGCTCAATCTGGACCATCACATAAACATGAACATCAGGTACGTTCACACAGGTGGTTCATCCTCAGCTCCAGGTGAACCAGCCGTCTGTGGAGACTTTCCCGCTCTGCAGCGCCGCTACTAATGTACGGTCAAACAGCAAAGAGGGGAGTAACCATAGCAACAGAGGCGGAGCGGGCTGCAGCAGCAGGAGTACAATGGACAAAAAAGTGATCGAGAAAAGTTTCTGATGCTCCAGAAAAAAGACACAAAAAACACAGAGGAGGATCATGGGACTTCAGGCAGCGAAGCACTGACAACGCCATGGGTGAAGACTGTTGTGTAGTTGTGTAGTTGTGTTGTTGTGTAGTTGTGTAGCTGTGTAGTTGTGTTGTGTTGTTGTGTAGTTGTGTAGAAAACATTTCCAACAGTAAAACTGAACTTTAGTGACCTGTGATCAGATCATGTGACGCCCGTTTCTGACTGAACTGTTTAACCTGATGAGTTTCTGTCACTCACCCCGTGACCGTTACACTTCCCGCGACACTCGTCCACGCCGAACACCGACGCGTCCTGACACCTCCGGTTCAAACAGGCCTGCAACAACAAGACAACAGGTGTCATGAAGGACACAGAACAGTCCGACCACTGAACACACTCAGACAGAGAGCAGCATCCAGACGCTATCACCTCCAACAAGTATCATTATTGTTATTATTGTTATTATTATTATAATTATCTTTTTTTTTTTTTTTTGCCAGATTTTCTCAACTTGAACTGGACTAACTGGAGATGATGTGAATTCCCCGTTCAATAAGCTCAATCAGCCAGTAAAGAAACAGTGAAGTAGAACTGTTACCTTTCCGGGCCCGCAGGCGGTACCCTGGGCCACGGCGGCGGGGTCGGACACGTCGTCACCCAGGTGGAAGTAGGTTCCTCTGCAGACCAGGTCGCTGTGGTTGAAGTGGACCGTGGTGGTGAGGATCTCTGCGTTGGTGCCCAGCAGGGGGCGCTCCCTCCCCCCCTGACACTGGACCCTGCCACAGTGAACGTCCCTGCAGCGAAACACAGAGGAAGACATGGAGGACGCTTCTACAGGACGGGCTCTAGTACTCTGTCTGTGTACTGTGTGTGTACTGTGTGACCTGTGTGTGTACTGTGTGTGTACTCACGAGTGTCCACAGGGGATGTAGGAGCCGTTGGTCAGCTGACCACAGTTTCCATATTTGTTTCCCTGTTTGTTGACTGATGAGAAACAAACAGCTGGAGCAGAGGTGGCGTCTGAGACAGAGAGAGAGAGAGAGAGAGAGAGAGAGACAGAGAGAGAGAGAGAGAGAGAGAAAGAGAGAGAGAGAGAGAGATCTAGGGTCAGTATGAACTGGTTTAACCTCAGGATAAACTGGTCTAAGATCAGTGTAACCCAGTTATGGCCCAGTATAAACAGGCTTAGGCTACAACTGGTTCTGGACCAGTTCACAGGGTTTTCTTCGGTATAAACTGGTTCAGACTAGTTATGCTCCTAACGACTAACTTCTCTGTTGATTAAAATTTTACTTGAGATTAACTGTTTAATCTAAAAGTAAGAAAACCATCAGATGTTAAATGATGTCATACTGGTCCTGATCACACCTGCAGTAACATCTGTCTCCACATCTGCCTCTAGTGACCACTTGTTATTGGATCTCACTTCAACTCTATGTACAAATGAACATGTATGTTATTTGTGTTCAGAGAGAGAGGGAGAGGTCAGAGAGGTTTATCAGCTGGTTGAATACCAGCTGTGCCTCACGATGAACTGGTTCAGACTGGTTTGGATTCAGTATAAACTGGTTTAATGTCTTACTGGGGCCCCACAGCATCTGGCACTGGGTGTGCATGCTGGCGCAGACTCCTCCGTAGCAGTAGGAGGCGCCGTCCTCGCAGGGCTCTCCGTTCTGCAGGAAGACGTTGGGGGGGCAGTGGGGGGAGGAGCCGGTGCAGAACTCGGCGAGGTCGCATTCCCCCAGTGGCTCCCGACACACTGAGCCCGCTGACCGCAACTGAGGAGGGAGGGGGGAAGGAGGTGAGGAAGGAGGCTCAGTTTGAAATAGTGATGGAGAGGAAGAGGAAGAGGAAGAGGAAGAGGAAGAGGAAGAGGAAGAGGAAGAGGAGGAGGAAGAGGAAGAGGAAGTCGGAGCAGGTTCAGTCTTACTTTACAGTCCTGGCAGCAGATTCCATCAGATGAACACTGAGCTCCAGGAACCAGCCGACAGGTGGAGGCGTTACAGCACGGGTCATCACACTCCTGACCAATCAGAGCAGAGAGACACATGAACAGGAAGAACAACACTAAAGTCTCCGACACAGTTAGTGAGACAGGCAGACAGGTGAGCAGGCAGACAGGTGAGCACCTCAAGCAGGCCGCAGTCACACTCCTCTCCTTTCTCCACGTACAGGTTCCCACAGCGCGGCCCCCCCAGCAGGTGGTCCGGCTGCGGCACGTTGAACAGACACATCCCGCCTCCGTGCAGCAGGCTGACGGACAGGTCTGCGGCGCTGCAGCTGCTGAACTGCTGACCCGGCATGAACCTGAGGGGCGGAGCCACCGATGTATGAAGAGAGCAGGTAAACAAAAACCCCTCTGGTCTGAAGAGACCTGGATCATAAACTGTTCACCTTTACCTGTAAACAGGGGCGGGGTCAGTCTGTGGGCGGGATCAGAAACAATGACATAATGTCTATGGGCGGGGTCAGAAACAATGATGCAAGTTTGTGTAAAGTTCTACTGACCCAATGAAAGTTTGTTTTGGGACAAAGTTCTGATGACTTCAGAGAACATTCTTCATGGACGACTGACCCAGTAAAGGTTCTGCTGACCATGTGAAATGTTCTACTGAGTGAGTGAAGGATTCTGATCTTTGAAAAGGTTCTGCTGACCTGAGGGAACGTTCTACCTGCCATGGTAAAGACTTTACTGACAGGTAGTACAGGCCCAACGACTCACCTGGATCAAAGCTTTAGTAGTGCCTTGTGTTTAGATTCTGGTTCTGACCCGGGTCAAATACTGACCTGGGTGAAATGATCTGATATTGTTCCAGGATAAAGACTCAGTACTGACCCAGTTGACGGCTCCATGATGCATCCTCCGAGCCGCGGTTCGTTCTGGCAGGCGCAGCGGCGTTCGGCGGTGTCGTGGCTCATCCCCAGATTGTGACCGAGCTCGTGAGCAACAGTGGAGGCCACGCCCAGAACGCTGACCAGGTGATCCTGGAGAGAGAGACAGGTTTTCTACATCATCAACTTCAAGGTTCTCAAAGACATCTCAAAGACTGAAGAACCTCAGTTCCCTTCATAAAGCTCTTAGATGGTGCAGGATCACATCACCTGTTCAACTCAAACCCACAACATCACAGGTACACAGGTGATGTCTCAGCTGGTGATACTCACCACGTTGACTCCTCCTGACCTGTCTCTGGAGCACATGGATGACTGAGACGCCATCCCCACCGTTGTGCCGTCAAACGACCCGCCCCTGTGAAATAAAACCACTGTGATCATCACGAGCAGTCATCGATCGGTCTGAGACTTTTATTCTGGTAAATGTTCCCGCCCTACATGACGAGCTGGGCGTTGTCATGGCGAAGGCGCGGCAGCAGCTCTCTGGTTCTCCACTCCAGGAAGTTGTTGAGAGTGTCCGTCGGACTCTTCTCCACCCGGATCTTGTCTCGGTCGCTCCAGATCTCCAGACCGGTCAGCGCCACCCGCACGTTCAGAGGGCGGTAGAACTGGAAGAGACAGAAGAGGGACGCTCGGATCTGTCCTTACAGCAGATATACAGGCAGGTCAGAGGTCACGGGTCACAGGTCTCACCCAGTCCACCTGGTTGGCCACGTCCAGCATCCGGTACATGATGGTCTTGTTGTTCTTCTGGTAATTCAGGAACTGTGAGGAGCAGATGTGACGTTTACACCAGAGGTTCCTTTTTCAATTCGTGACCCACTTAAAAATCTCAGAAATGTTTGGACCACGTCCGACTGTAACAATACGGAGGCCAACTAATAACTCTGAACTTTTTATTCTAATGATGAAAACTTTTTAAAACTTTTTTTTTAGCATGAAAAGATGTTTTGTTTCAAGGGTAATTCTATTTTATTTTTTACACAACTTGATTTATAATCTGTGGTATTTGCTAAGTGTCTCTTGAAAAGACCTTTTATCCTTTTTCATGTCCAGTTATAATTTGTTTAAACAGTTAAAAACATAATACACATATATTTTTTTATATCTTACATCTTTTCACCAAAATTGTACTATTTTTCAAAAGATTCATCGGCCCACTTGCAATACCTTCGTGGCCCACCAGTGGGCCCCAGGCCACAGGTTGGGAACCACTGGTTTAGACATTACAGAAGCTGGAAACATCAGTGTTTGACATTTTCACTTCAATATGGACATTAATGATTGGTCGATTTTCAAAACTATAGATAGCTGATTATTGTTCTTTTGATCGACTTATCAATTAATCAACTAATAGTTTCAGCTCCAGTTTGAAGCAGATTCTAGTGATGACGTGTGTCGGGTCTGTGAGATTCAGCTCAGCAGGTGACAGCGATCGATCAGCTGATCAGATCAGTTACTTATCAGCTCCACTAACCAGAGGAAACCCTGCAGCCATGTTTCTTATACACACTGTGATCTCCACGAGTTTAAATAAAGGTCAGAACAAACATCTGATCACACACACACACACACACACACACACACACACACACACACTGACCTCCTGGTGGTCGACCACCAGCACCAGCTCGATGTACTTGGTCTCAGACAGGATGTCTCTCTTCCTCTGCAGACAAAGCAAACGGACGACACAAGTCAAACAGGAAAATCAGCAGAGCCACATGTATCCTCACTGCAGCTACTGCTAACTGCTAACTGCTAACTGCTAACACCATCACTGCGCTAACAACTCAGTGGATGTTTGACAGGCGGGAGTAAAGTGTGAGGAGGTGCTGACTGAAGGTCTGGACTCTCCTGGATCAGACTGCAGGTTTATGTTCTGAGCACCTGCTCTAAATACTACAATACCCATGAGCCTCAGCTCTTGTTGCTATGGAGAAGAAAGTCGTCAGAAAGCTGAGCTTCTTGTAGCTTAGACTTTGTGTTTTCTAAAGGGGGGGGGTCTCTCACCCTGTGTGTGTGTGTGGAGCTGTGGATGGGCGGGACAGCGGTGTGGGAAACCCCGCAACCTCCAGCTCTGTCGCCCTCCAGAGGACTGGTGGAGAACAGCAGGTGGACTTCCTCTTCATCACCTCCTCCTCCTCCTCCGCTTCCACCACTACCATCTCCTCCGCTCTCCCCTCCTCCCCCCTCCTCCTCCTCCCCCTGGTGGAGGTGCGGGTGACGGAGGCCGTCGTCCTGCGGCTGCAGCTCGAAGCTCAGCGTGGAGTTGATGGCGATGACGCCTCTGCAGGAGGAAACACAGTCAGCTGAGAAATCCTTTTTATTCTGCAGATGAATCTTTAATTTAAAGTTGTTTTCCTCATGTTGAGATGAAGAAGCTGATTCTCCTCTTCACAGATCTCAGATAAAAAACATCAACGTACGACACGTGACATCAAGCATCAAAACCAACATGTGACCTCAGTTTGATCTAATCAGCTTTATATTACAATAGACCTCGAACAAACTGCAGCTGCCACTAAACTCTTTATATTTATTCTTATATTTGCACATCTACAGTGCATTTGTATATGTTATTGTATATAGTATTTCTAATTGATCTTATTTATTCCAGATTCTGTTTCTATTCTCATTTTATTTCTTTATTACATTTTCCCTTGTGTTGATGTTTCACTTTGAATTCCCTTTACAAGGGATCAGTAAAGGTTCATGTCATTTGATCTTATCTCATCTCATCTTATCTCTTATGTTAACTTATCTCTTATTTAATCTAAATTTATCTTATCTCTTATTTTATCTCAACTTATGTTAACTCAACTTATCTTATCTCTTATCTTAAATTTATCTTATCTCTTATCTTAAGGAGGAAAGATTCTTTGTTCTCACCTCAGGTGTTAAACCTGCAGGAGTTATGACATCACAACTAGACTGGAGCCAATCAGGGTCCAGTGTGTGACTGACACAGTGTGATGTGGAAACTTGAAGAAACAAACTCTGAGAACTGACTTTACAGTGAAGTGGGAAACATCTGGTGTCCAGATGTTGGAACTTTAGAAGTCAACGATATTTACAGATTCAGATGTTCTGGATTTTTACACGTAGATGTTTTTAATTTTTAACAACTGAAATGAAGTTGGTGTAAGTCGTACATGATCTGAACTCTGTTTGGATTCTGTTTTTTAATGTTTGTTTTTTTTACTTTCTGGGTTTTGATTGAAGTGACGTCTCACAATGTTTTTCATCTAGAGATAAAGACAGAATTTCCTGTTTTTGCAGCTCAACACTGAGTCAACCACTGACATTTTCTTCCTCAGGCTCGTCTTAAAGTCAGACAGTAAATCTGCCATAAAACCAAAAGCAGGAGCTAAAAGAGGCTAAAAGCTCCACAGACAGTTCAGTACCATCAGTTATTATTAATATCAGATTATCAATGAGTCATCTAATCTGTTCACTGCTTTATACTGAGCGCTGTGTTCTCAGTTTGCTCCTTCATTAAAGCTGTAACGGTGTTGATCTGCAGGGACAGAGGTCTCTGTGTTCAGCCGGTCTCTGGAACCGGGTCGACCCGCTGACCCTGAAAACCACAAACTGGACCTGGTCACTTCACGTGAGCCGATAAATAAACCCACTAATCCTCCTTCGGCCTCCACCCTGTGTGCTGCAGAGGTCAGAGGTCACTCGCATTGATCCGGATCAACCTGCAGAAGGACTCACGTTTTGTGCTGAGAACAGCCAAGAAACACAAAGGCCTGACACAGAGTAAATCCTGGACTGTGGACAAACCGGATTGGAGGTTTTTAGGTTTAAAGAGATTTAGTTTTTATTTTCTTTCACTGTTGTTGGAGAAGATGTTTTTCTCTGAGCAGGCGGGAAGTTTTACGACGGGTCAGTCCATGTGTTCTGGACTCAGCTGGACTCTGTTTCTGTCTCTCAGAACAGGCTTTTGGAAACAGACTAAACATGACGACGCCGTCCTGATCTGAATTTCTCTTGGACTGAGATGTGATTCAGGACGCTGACATTAAAGTGGCAGAGTCTTTATATGTTCTAACCCAGTAATCAATAACTCTGCTGATCATTTTCCATCAGATGTTCGAGACATTTTGTCAAAACTGAATCTGGTATTAAATCAGTTGTTGCTGTTGTGAATGTTTAACTTTGACATCTGTGATAACTTCAGTTATAAAGAACTAAAGTCTGTCACCTGCTCTACGACAGAGGGAGTAACGACACGTGTCTCTACACGTCTCGTGCTGTTGGACTGAGACTCGGTTCACTCACATTAAATCACAACATGAAGAAGCTGAAACTGTATTCTATTGAATAAATGAGTGAAATGATGTGTGTGCAGATTAATTTTGTAGTGATCGACTGATCAAATTAAAATAAACAGTCGTGAAAATATGGAATACCAGAAGGCACAATAAGAGCTAGGATAACTTATCATCAGAAATAGGAAAACGACACTGGCTCCTTTAGTTGAGTCAACAGTGTTTTTACGTCCATATTCTTCTGGCTTTATTCTACAGACTCTACAAATCAGTCGAAGCTTCAGCAGGTTGATTCAGAGTCATCAGGTTCTGTAAATATGGATCAATACAACAACGTGTTGACATTAAAAAATGTTCTTTTGAATACTTCTCTTGTTTTGGAGAACTAAAACATAGACATTCATTGATCTTCTAACTGGATCCAGAAACATGTGATAACATTACATCACATGACATCACATACAACATGTGTGTGTCCACGAGACAGGAGGAAACCCTGGAGACTGGAGTTACTGACCGGAGTCCGGAGCAGGTGCTCAGAGCCACTCTGGACTGAGGGAACCCTCTGACGCTGCCGTGGTAATAACAGTGAGTCTGAGGACGACACAGCAACATCTGTCACAGCTGGAAAACACAACACAGACAGACAGAGGACAGACAGACTGTGTTTACCGACTCACCACAGGGTGGGCTTTCACAGACACTCCGGTGCCGTTGGGCAGGTAGTAAAAGATGTTGGGGGGTTTGGGCAGCAGGTCGCTGCAGAGAGAGAGATGAGGTCAGACTCCATGTGGTTCATGTTTTTGATTAGTTATTAATTAACTGACAGGAGGAATCGAGGCAGGATGATGGTCTTAACCTGTCAGGATGACCTCGTTGTGTTTAATGTCACACTGTAAATCAGACTCACTGGTTCTTCTCCAGGTCCAGCAGGAAAAGTCGTCCTCCCACCTCCAGTCCACACTGCAGCCGGTCAGGGTGTCCGTCCTGAAACAGACAGGGGGACACTTCCTGTATTCACTCGGCTGATCCAACAGAGACAAGCAAAGAACAAGGACAACTTGATTAATCAGAGACGGAGATGTAAATTGTTTTGATTCGATGTTTTGTTGTTAGTTTGAAGTTGAATTTGTTTCCTCCACATCTATAACTATAAAGGAAAACTGGATGTGTGTATTTCCATGTTTCCTGCTTTGAGTTTTTCTCCTGGTGCTTTAGGATGTGGGCGGGTCTGAGTACATCCGTTAACCAATCAGTGTGTTTTCCTGCCTCTTAATGCAGCTGCTCTTTGAAGAGGAGACACTTCCTGTCCGACACCTCCTCGCTTTCTCCTCTCAGCTCCACAGGAAGTGAAGGTGGGTGTGTGTGTGTGTGTGCGTGTGTGTGCGTGTGTGTGTGTGTGTGTGTGTGTGTGTGTGTGTGTTGTTAAACTAAATCCAGTAAATATCCTAGCAGACATCCCCATCCAGAACCGATCCAGACTCTGGTCCACAGCTGCTGAGCTGCTCCAGGATCCAGGTGAACTGGGTCTGGACCAGTTCAATGAGTCATCAGCTGAAAGCATTTGGCTCAGTCTGAAACTGAAGCGTGTGACACTTCACCTCTCTGCTGCTGAGGTTTAGAGACTTGGTTTCTGATCATGTAAACAACTGGTTGTGTGACCTATCACAGTGAACCGAGGGCGTCCCTGTGGACCAGAGGGTGACGATGCCGTTTGAGTCCAGTTGGAGATCTGAGATACGCCTCCTCTCTCACTATGACAACTTTAGCTTTTATTCTAGTTTAATGAAAAATGTTTCTCAAAGTCACATGTTTAAATAAATATGAAACACTGGCCCTGCTGACCCTTGACCCCGGAGACATGTTTGTCTGACTGTTTCCACGGTGATGACTGACTGATCTGAACTCGGGGCTTCAGACTGAGATTTAACAGAAACGTTCTGGGTGGAGTTTTCCATTAAAACCAGCAGAATTCCCCTCTGAGGCGTGTTTGTTTTCCCCACCCGCTCTGGCCTCTGGACTGTGGTGGGGTCAGATCATTGTGCAGCAGGATGGAGGGGGGGGGGTTTCTGGCTGAATCATGCTCAGGTCGGGGGGGGGGTCTGACTCTCACAGCACAGAGGAAACCAGTTCAAATTGAAGTCTGCAACATGAAGGTCTGATCCGTCCAATCAGAGACCAGCACACAGACATGACACGCCCCCTTTAGGGTCATGTTGGAAATGTGTTTCATTAACATCTTACTTTGTTGGTCAGAGCTTTCAGCCTTATCTTGTGGTCCTCTCCAGCTGATGACCTCACTCCGTTGTCATGGAGATCGACTGGTTGTTATCACAAGACTTTAACATGGAGGACGAGCCGCCTGATAACAACTGAACCACGTCATGCCTGCTGATGAAGGCCATAAGACGTGCCTGAAAGTTCTGGTCAAAACAATAAGTAAATCAAACCCATCAGCTCAACTACAACTTTACACTTTCTTTAGTTCGAGCAGGTTTTAGTATCAGTCCGAGGGTTGTCAGACTCCGCCTCCACCTTCACCTCAGGTGTGTGATCACAGGACTGACCTGAGATCAGCTGTGAGAATAAGAACTTCAGTAAACTCACATTCAAAGATGAAGACGAAGCACAAAGGTTTTAACTGCCGTCACGAGTGTCAGGGACTCAAACTACCAACCCTCCAGTCAAACAGCTGACAGCTCTGAGTCTGACCGACCAATCAGGAGCTTCCAAACACAGTCGACTGAACAGCTGATCTCATGTTTCCATGTTCAGCTTCACGTCAACATCTCTTCTCTGTTCACTCATCAGCTCTCTCTCTTTCCCTCTCACTGTTCTCTGCTGCCTCTCTCGCCCACTCTCACCATCTGTTCACACCCTCCTCCCCTTCAACATGTTGTTCCCCTCTCTCCCCTAAACTCTCTCTCTCTCTGTGGTGAGGTCATGTCTCTCGCCCGCTCTCCAGATGATGTCACAGCAGCAGAAACTCTGGGCGAGGCTCAGAGCTGCCGACCACGAGAAGAGGAGGAAGAAAGAGGAGGGGGAGGAGGAGGAAGAGAAAAAGGAAGAGGGCGGGAACAGAGACAGCGTTAGAGATGTCGAACGTCTGGATGATTCTCACAGAGAATTCTAAACGTCCCGTTTCCTGTTTCTTCTTCTTCTGCTGTTGTTCAGTAACTAAAGTTCAACGTCAACCTGACAAATCAACACTGACGTTCTGTTCGTGAGCAAAACGCAACATCTGCCAAACATCATCATGTCAATCAGTCAACATTGAGTTTTGATGTCGACCTGATTTTCATTTCCATCTGTCCGATGTCAGAGTCGTTAGAGTCACATGACGTCTGCTGGTTGAACTTTTATAATCAAATCAAATAATTGAGAAATTAACCTTCAAACTTTAAAGGAGCTGTTTGTAAGTTTTCCTCTGCTGCTGAACCCGGTTTCCTGTCAGCAGCAGGTGGAGGTGATGGTCACATGACAAGAGCTTCGGCCATCTTTGTCTTTATAATACAAGAGGTTTTAATCAAGCATCAACCTCCAGACTGAAACATGAAGCTGCAGTTCCTCTAATGGCCACTAGAGTCTGGCTCCAACAGTGAGTCAGTCCCCATAGACTCCCATGTTAATATGTCCAACTTTACAGCAGAAATAAATATGTTAACAGCCTGGTACAAAAACTGTTTTGGTCTCTAGAGCTCATGACACCTGTTTATATAACTCACCTGTTTATGTTTTATTAAGGACTAAAGTTATGGAGGATTGAGGGCGTGGCCTCTTTGACTGACAGGTGGGTGAGCGTATGCTCGCCACAAGCCAACATGCACCAAAGTCTCGGCTCGAAACATGCCCCTCCTCTTGGACCATTTCTGGATTAGCCGTTAGTTCGACGGAGTCAGGGCAAGATGGCGCCAACAGACTCTGAGCTTCAGAAACCTGTGGGTGATGTCACAGAGGCAACATCCATCTTTATTTACAGTCTGTGGTTATAACACGTCCTCTGAGCAGCTGCGTCTTCAGGACAGACTGGAGGCTACACTGAGGAGCCGGGCTGGAGCTAGCTGGTTAGCATGCTAACTTCAGTAGAAGAAGAGAAGTGACAGAGACAAGAGTCAACATTGGTGTTTGTTTCCACCTCTGGAGACAGATGTTGGTGAGCCTGGGCAGTGAACAGCTGCTAATGCTAAAATTAGCTATGTAGCAATAGCCAAAATTACTGCTAGCTCTGACTAGCTGGTAAACATCTGAACGTCTGATAATTTCAACCATGAAAACGAGACAGTCGTTTTTCTTCATGTCAGCAGGCGACAGCTCAGACTTTTATTTTGTAATTTCACCTCAGTGAATTAACATTAATTAGCTACTGATGACAGACGTCTTTATAAATACATATATTATAAGCAGGAGTAAAAGTTCATTTAAACTGACTCTGAAGTAAGGCGCTTTTATTTTGGTAGTCTGCTCCTTTACACACCACATCACACCACAGTCTCTACTTTCTCCCTGTTTCCTCTCAGCTGGGTGGAGTCGGGATGGGCGGGTGTCAGGGGGTTTTTCTACAGGAAATGATCTCAGAGCTTCTGTCAGCTGCACAGGAAGGGTCCGTCCTCTAACGCCCCCCCCTCTGTGGTCAGATCTCAGAGTTCCTGCAGGAAGCTCCTGGAGAAAAGTGTCAGCGCTCCAACTTCCTTCCTCTCTCTCATTAAACTGAACCGATTGTGGACCAGGAGGAACTGGTCTGGGCATGGCCCTCCTCCACACCACGCTCTGTCCCTCAGTGAGTGTCCTCGTGGAGACGTTCTGTCTTCAGCTAAAGTTCCTCGGGTTCTCTGGACAGAACTCTGCATTTTAACAAACATCTAACCAGGATCCAGTTCGTCCTGTTCAGGGTCAGGGAGGACTGGAGTCCATCAGCCGATCCACACGAGGCACAGAGTGAAGATGATCTCCGCTCATACAAAGATGGAGGAAACCACATCACTACGTGACAATCACAGAGACACAGAAAATAACTTCTCCTCCCCTCAACAGGAACCAGGTCTGCAGCTAACGATCAGTTCTGTTCTGTCTCTAATAAACGTCTTCAATGCATTTCCTTCTTCATTAAAGCTCCATGTTTCTTCTTCTGTGTTTTATTTGAAGTGTTGATCCATCAGAAGATATAAAAACCATCTCAGTGTAGTTTTACATCTCCTCTCTCAGGCTTCTCTCTGGAGCTCTAGTAACAACAGGTCGGTGAGCCAATCAGAAGAGAGGAAGCTCTGAGCCTCTTTTCTGATTGGCCGACTGTTTTCTGACTGATCCAATAAAAATATAGTAAATTTCAGGTAAAAACACTCAGAGAAACCAAATCCTTCAAGGTTTGGATGGTGGGTCCAGGTGGGCGGGGCTTGTGACTGCTTTGTTGTGACATCACAAAGTTCCAGAAGTCCTGACGGCTACACATGGACAGAGACCTTTACACTGGAGGAGCTTTAAACTTTTGCAAAGACAATTTTTATGTAGTTTAAATTCTGTGTTGTTTACCAGCTCTGGTTTTCTTCCTCTGTCTGTGAGAACTTTTAACCTGCAGATTATTTCCTTAATGATGATGATGTGGATCAAACAATGAGTTGAACAATTAATTAATCAACTAACTGACTGATGGTGCTGATGTAGTGGGTGTGTTGTTGTGTGTGAAATCCTGGCTCAGCTTCACCTGAGACGACCCTAATGACGACCATCCCCTTGTTCTTTATAAAGAAAGAACATTATTTTCATTCTTGATTGATCAGTTGAATCTTTTTTAATTAATCACTTAATTGAGTCTTTAAATCGTCATGAAATTGAAATCTCCTCAATCGTTGTAGTTTATTATTGTCGTTGTGGAGATTCCTCAGGAGTCACAGAGCTCCAGAGATAAGTCGTTCGTATAAAGTTTTTGTTGTGACTCCTGATATAAAGAAATCTGCCGAACCTCTCTGTCATTAGTGATTAATCTTGTCTCACAGACAAACAGTGAATAAACTCAGAACATGAAGAACCACCGACAGTTTGATCAGCTGTGTTCGACTGTGGAGGGAAAACTGAGCTGCTCATAGAAGAATTATTTTGTTCAAAAGTTACGACTCCCATGAGGCTCTGACACAGGCAGACTCCCATCAGGTAACCATGGCAACAGGTGGGGGGCCTCCTGCTTTTATTTTCTCAAATGAGGAAAGGAAGGGTGTGTGTGTGTGAGTGTGTGTGTCCCACCCATCCCAAACATCCAGTTTCTGCTGATGGAAACCAGACTGAGATCAGCCTGCACTCACACACAACAACAGCAATACACCAGCAAAGCACTGGTGTAACACCAGTAATTAAACAGCTATACACCAGTAACAAACCACTATGAACCAGTACAACCTTTTAAAATTAGACACCAACCCCCAGTCCACCAAAAACCAGTAAAGCCAAGGAACAAACCAGTATAACATCAGTAATAAACCACTAAAACCAGTCAGAACCAGTGACCACTCACCTGTAGAGCTTCAGCGAGGCTCTGTCTCTGTCCGTCCACCACGACAAAGGGACGAATCTTCTCCAGCAGGGGGTGCCGCCGTCTGTCCACACCTGAGGACACAGAAAGACACTGAGCTGCTGGTTCTTGCTGGGTGAACTGGGAATACAGGACGCTAGAGCTAAGATAACATTTCAGCAGCTTCATCGGCTTATGGCAGATTTCAGTGTGTTTGTAGATGTGATTTCACAGTAAAAGTACTTCTGTATTTACAGTATCATGGTAAAAGTACTTCTTGTAGGAATGAGGAAACTTGATCATTTTCATTATCTATTAATCTGTCCATCGTTTTCTTGATTAATCCATTAATCGCTCGATCTATAAAACTCCAGACAACAGAGAAACATGTCAGTTTCCTAACGTCTAGGGTGACGTCATCAACTGTCTTTCTTTCTGTTTTTCTAAATCAACAAAATTCAAAGATATAAAAGTTAGGTAATAACAGGTTCAGACTGTTTGATGTGTTTGCTTTGAAAAATACAACAATTAATCATTATCAAATAATTATTTTATTTGGATTGATTGATTAATTGACTAACTGCTGCAGCTTTAATGTTTTAATGTAACTTATGTAAAGTCAGCAGTGTCCACAGAATAAAACACAGTACAGTGAAAACAACAATATTTCACTCCAGATGTCTTGGTAAAGTATCAGAAAGTACAAATACTACAGTACAAGTACTTTAAACTGAAATTAAATACGGTACTCGAGTAAATGTACTTAGTTACTTTCACCACCGTGTTATGTCTGTTCACTAACGGTACATATTCTCTTCTGTTACCTGTCACGGTTGCGGTCAGAGCGTCGGTACCGTCTGTCAGTCCGTCCGGAGGCAGAACCACTCCGTCCTGCGGTGCGTTCAGGGAGCGGGAGACAGTGAAGGCAGCGCGGCCGCTGACCAGCAGCAGGAGTAACGTTGCTGCGGCTCCGTTCATCCTCTCTGCGTCACCGGCAACAGGTCGCTGCTCTGTGATGTGTGAGCGTGAGGTAACCCCGTCCCGCTCCGGTTACCTCACCGTGTGGGAGCATCGGGGGAGGCTCCACCGAAACTCCATTCTGCTTCTTTTCCCGGTACCATCCACAGAAAGGAGCGGGTCAGAGCTGCTGCAGCACCGGACGACAGGCGGGGAAGTGACCATTAACTCAGGTCAATGTAGAGAGAAGAACCGCCCGGTCCTCCGGTCCCTCGTCTACGCAGCTCTGACGAAAACAGTTTCTATTCCTCAAAAACTACCGTTAGCAACGGGGGGACTTGGTCGGTTTGTGTCGGGAGTGTTCGTTTAGACACCGGAGAATTAGGTTCATCCGTCCCCTGGGTCCCGACTGCAGCTAATTACCGAGGAATATTGGACCGCCCGTGTTTATACCGGGAGATGTCATCAAGCTAGGTGAAGCTAACCGGAGCTAGCGAGAGTATGAGCGGAAGTACGGCTCAGCTCCCTTCAAAATAAACGTCAGTAAGCATGTCATTATGAACCACATTTGAAATTCGAATAATTCATTGAAGAACTTTAGAAGAGTCAATATGAGGGCAAATATATGACGTCATCATTTTATTTTACAGCTAATATTATTATTAACCACAATTAAACACCTTTAACTGCTGGACTCCAAGTGAGTGGTGAGTCCAAAATAACCAGAACTCAAACTTTAAATTAAAATATGAATAAATTTGATGAATTTTTTAGTTTAGTCAAGTCAAATTAATTTCATTAATACATCCCAAAATCACAAATTTGCTTATTTTCTTTTTATCATTTATTAAACTATCCAAAGTTTATGAAGTTAAACTTAGCTGCATCATAACTGTATAACTACAGTAAATGCATCATTTAAAATAGTCAGATAATGTATATATGATAAATATAACACTGAATAGTGACACAAGTACTTTTACTTTTGATCCTTTGATTACATTTTGATATTTCTGTACGTTAGAGTAAAAATTTTGAATGGAGGACTTTTATACTTCTGACACTGACTCCATTATTTAACACTAAAGTCAATGAATGTGTTGTACAGTGATTCACACAGCAGAGTTTCAGTTTCCTCTTCAGCTGTATTATATTGTATTTACCCTGTTTACACTGCAGTCAGTGTGTCAGACGGATTTAACTGCAGTTTTGAAAATTGCCTCATAAAATGCATTTTATTTTGAAAGCAAGACGGATGCAGTATTTACCCACCTCACAGGCTTGCCACAGGTATTAGAGTTCGTAAGAATGTCACACACACACACACACACACACTCAGAGGCTGGTTCCTCAGTAGCTTTAACCCCTTCCTTTCTGCAGTGATCAGGTTTCTTTTCTCTTTACACACTCAGTGTCCAGTTTATTAGGAACACCAGCTAAAATGACATCAGTAAATCCTCCTTCATGAGGGTTGTGGCGTTCAGACTGTTTCACAGGTGCTGGTTCACCTGTGAGATCATTGTGCAGGCTGCAGTGTGTGCTGCTGTTGAACTGTGTTGTGTTGTATGGACAGGTGAACCTTTAAAGGCTGTAGCTAACACCTGTCTGTAGGTGTTAGAGGTGTGAATGGACCAGAGTCAAACTGTGAATGAAGCAAACTGACTGAACGTTTAGTGGCAGCTGGTGTTCACAGGAGCAGAAAATAATTCAGTCATTTTAAATCTGCCTGTATGAACATGACAGAGTGACAGGTGAGTGAGGACAGGAACGGTTCACACACTCTCTGCAGTGATGACATCACACTGATGTCAACTGATCCAGCATCAGTTTGTTGTTTGAGGATCAGATAAAAACTGTGAATGAAGCGAAAGCCGCACGTGCTGCTGGATCAGCTGGTTACATAACTCCTCTGTACGTCTAATCTCATTCTGTAATCACACACACACACACACGCACGCACGCATTGATGTGATTAAACTGCTGCTGCAGCTACACTAGGTCCTGGACTCTGCGTGGTCCTCAGACCAGGTCCCAGTCCTCCTGCTCTTCTCTACATATTTTCCCGCTTTCTAAAACTCTTCAAACCATCTGGATAAAACATCTGGTTTTATCACAGTTTCCAGCAGCAGAAATGATGTTTTGCTGAGTTTATACGACGTGAACTAAGATTTAAAACTTCATCATCAGTTCTTCTTGTCTGTACTGACGTCGTGTTCTGGTATTTTATATGTGACGTAGAGAAACAGCACAGACGTGTCGCTTTAAACCAGATCAGAAACGTGTTCAACATCTTTATGTGTTTTCTGGATTCAGGTGTTAAACCTCCTTCAGGCTCAGTGTGATCACCGACTGGATCCCTGTGACTCAAGAACCCCCCACAGGCCCGGCGGAGGCAACACCCTGTAAGTGCAAAGAGTCCAGAACCAGTCTGACCTGATGCCCAGACCCAGAGGGTCCTGGTCCAGCGTCTGTCCGGTCTGTGGTGAAAACAGGAGCGATTAACAAAGTCCGATAACATAAGACAATGATGTGAGACGCCTCCTGGTGTTTGACCTGATCCTGAAAGTCTGAGTCAAACTGCTGTTAAAACTGCTCTGATGTCGCTTCATGTCGACCTCACATGACCTCACATGACCCTCAGTGAAGCAGCTGTTTCACCAGATGATTTTCAGTCTCTGAATCAGCTGCAGAATCAAACAGTTTTTTATTGAGAACAAAGATGAAGTCCGTCTGAACTTCATCCTCTTCCTCTTCCTGTGCAGTGCGTCTCTGAGTCGGACTCTTCCTGTCAGTGATGACAACAAAGACGACGCCCACACCTGCACAGACACTGCACACACACACAACAAAGACATGAACACAGGAAGTGTAAGGTGACTGGAAGCAGTGAAACAAGAGGACAACAACACAACAACAACAATACACACTTTAACACTCTGACATGTGCAGCAGCTACACATTAATCATCAACATGCTGATGTCACTGAAACATCAAACACTTTCATACAGACGATGAACATATGATCAGGCTGATGATGCAATAATAAACCGACTGACTGACTGTCTGTCTGACTGACTGACTGACTGACTGACTGATGGATGTGAGACCTCAGTCTGAACACTTCCTGTGGGGGTGAAGAGCGACTCACCTCCCTCATGGTGCGTCCGAACCTCCTCTCTGTGGAGGAGAGTCGTCTGTAGACCTGCAGGTTGTAGAGGAACAGGACTCTCCTCTTCTCCCTCTGAGACACACAGCTGATCATGAGCTTGATGTTTATTAGGATTCATGTTGATTCATTTGATTCTACATCAGAACCCGGACCCAGCAGGTCCGGGTTCTGATGTGGACGGGTTCTGATGTGGGTCAGTTCTGGTGTTTCGTGTTCCGTCTTTTAAAGAGACAGTGCGACGTCATGTGACGGTTCAGGTTTGAGCTGAATCACTTTCCTCTGGATTATTTTAAGTTCTTGTTTTTCATACAATAACTGATTCTAGTGATTATTATCTTTATCTGCAGTTTAATGCTGATTGTGAATCTCGGCTACTTGAATTCTTTTTTTATTTCTGAAATAAAAGAAATGAACGAGTTAGAGCAGTGACATCAGCAGAAACAGGAAGCTGCAGGTGAAGTATGGATGATGTATGTTTGATCATCAGTAATCATTTATAATCACCTGTAATAATATTGATGATGTGTCTGCATGAAAACAGAAACATGATCAGCTGAAACTAATGAGACTCTATCACCTCTCCCTCTCTCTCTCTCTCTCTGTCCCTGAGTGTCTCTCTACCACAGCTCAGCTCTGTTATAATGCTCTTACATTAATCTGGTCTTAGATCAGATTTACTGCAGCTCACTGGGTTTAAACACAGAGGCGTGTGAGTGAGTGTGTGTGTGTGTGTGTGTGTGTGTGTCTGTGTGTGTGTGTGTGTGTGTGTGTGTGTGTGTGTGTGGAGGAAGTGACATCACAGTGTAATGTATGTTAAACAAAGTTTCTACTGTGAACCAACAGAACCAATAGAACCAGTAGAACCAGTAGACACAGCTGATCCTGGAGCAGCCTGCGCCCTGACATCACTCACTGACTCAGTTTAATCATCTCTGCAGAAACTCCTTCAAAACTTTTTTTAAATGTTTTGCTTTCACTTCTTTTATGTTCAGCCAAAAGAAGTGAACTAATTTAAGAATTATTCTTTATTTATTATTAACTGTTATTATTATTATCAACAATGAACTAATGGACACATGAATTTCCCCTAGGGGATAAATAAAACATCCATCTATCTATCTATCTATCTATCTATCTATCTATCTATCTATGTTGTTGTAACACTATCAGTAACCATGACTTCTCTGCTGTCACTTTATTTATCACCTGTTAAATGAACTCTAATTAAGAGAGAAACCAGATGTCATGACCTCTCGTGACCTCTGTGTCTCTGACCGTCACTTAGCAACACAGCAGGAAACAGATGTTTTTATTTTGGATGAACTGTCCCTTTAAATCTCCTGAAGGAGCTCAGTGATGTGATGACAGAGAAATGAACACACACAAGAGGTGTGTGATTGTGTGTGTGTGTGTTAATGTGTGTGTGTGTGTGTGTGTGTGTGTGTGTGTGTGTGTGTGTGTGTGTGTGTGTGTGTGTACCTGTGGGTGGTACAAGGCGGCGATGACCCGTCGGAGGCGGTGGGTGTAAACCTGGAGGCAGCTGAACAGCGCCCCCAACAGGACACAACACACACAGCTCACATACACAGCTGCTGGGAGGGAGGAGGGGGGAGACACACAAGATGAGGGGGGAGAGAGAGAGAGAGAGAGAGAGAGAGGAGGGGCGTGTTAGTGAAAACTGTCGCCCTCTGCTGGATCAGTTTAAAATAAATTCATCATATTCAAACCTGATCAGTTTAATCAATATGAAAAAACACATTCATATGAATGAAATACAAAAATATATAAAATAAATGAATCAACTGATGAATTCTGAAATTATGGAATAAATAATGAAATTAAAGTCATGATTAAACGTAATGTCATTTTATTCTGGTTTTACTGGAGTTCGTTCTTCTGTCATTAGAGATGTTTTTATTTAATAATAACACTTTCATGTATTTATTATATATGTATGTATTTGTTTGTTCATGTATTCTTTTCCGTTTTATTTTATTGGACAAAATGTGACGATTTCACTGTCATGAAAATCGTCAGTAAGAATAAAAATGACATAAAATAAAATGACTAATATTTTAAATGAAACAAAATCAGAAAATTATTTTATTTTTAAAATGAAATAATCACAAAATATTTTTTTATGAAATAAAAAATAATTGAAAATAAAACACATTATAACAACATCAAGTAACATTTAACAGTAATGAGTTGGCTTCAGTGACTTAATTAATTAATGTTTCATTTCTATATTTTACTTTATTTATTTATACAGTAATTTATTTTAATGAGGTTTGATTTTCAGTCTGATTAAATGAATAAATAAGGAAATATTTTCTTCTTTTATTAAATGTTTTGTCCTAAAATCACGTGCTGGTCCTTTAATAACTGATCACAGACGAGTACTGTGTGACCTTTGACCTTTGACCTACCCTGGTTGTCGGTCTGGATGTGGAGGCTGGACGAGCTGTTGAAGGCTGAAATCGTCTTCCTCAGGAGGCGGGCAATCATGGATGCCCCGCCCACTCTGATGTCCACCTTGTGACTCCCTGCAGAGAGGACTTTATTACCCACAAACCCTCAGTGGTGATGTCAGCTCGAGTTGTGAATCTGAAATAGAATCAGTGGTGCGCTTGTTTTTTTTTTCACAGCCGTTTCTCCAAAAACTTGTGTCAGTGTCGAATGTTAATTAATGAATGAATTAATATTTTCATTAATATTATTTTCATAGTGACAGCAGAACAGCTGAAGACTGTAGAGAAACATCACACTCACACATCAACAGTCTGACGTGATTAACGTCTGTTTTCTAATTGTTACTAATGAGTGACACTAACGTATATAATCTTCACATGTCACATATCAGTTACATGACATTTGTGTTGTGAATCTTAACATAAAAAAATTTATACAATTTTCTATGTTTTTTTTATTTTTGTTATAAAATGTCCCAAACCTTTTGTTGACAAATAAACAGTCTGACATCATAAACCCTTTTCATATTTGCACCGTCAGGTTTGTTTTCTTAAGGTTGGTGTTGTGTGTGTGTGTGTGTGTGTGTGTGTGTGCGTGCGTGCGTGCGTGTGTTTACTGGTCAGGTTGAACTGGGTGACGCTGTGTCTGTTGACGATGTCCAGGACGTGGAACACAGAGAAGTCGACAGTCAGGAGGACGACGCACAGCAGAGAGATCGCCAGCACCTGAAACACACCTGACATCTGACCACACACACACACACACAAACACAAACCAGGTCTGAGTTCTGTGCAGATGTAGTCGTGTGCGTTTATGATTGTGGGAGTTTTCCACTGTTAAAGAGGCGACAGCAGCTGAGGGGCGAGAGAGAGATGGATTGTAGGTGATGTGGTTCAGACCTGACACCACGTGACTCTGTGTCACATTATCTCATGATCGTGTCTCAGGATGTTCTGAGAGTGGTGCAGCTTTAAACCTGATTGGATGATCAGAGTGTAACAGCTGATTCAGAACAGAAATCACATGTGAACTCACGACTTCTTTAAACTCCTCAGGAAGAATTTTCGGGCTCCACGGGTCGATTAACTTCTTCCCCTCTGATTGCTTCAGCGGCAGCAGACACGGCTCCCTCTGAACACATCACATGGTCAAACTGTCAGTCAGCATGTAGCAGTGATGATGATGATGAAGGTGATGATGATGACGTTACCACTCTTCTCCTGTGAGCGTCGATCTGTCTGAAGTAGGAGGTGATGTAGACATTGTCAAACCGAATGTCCCTCCTGTACTGACTGAGGTAACCAAACGCCCTGGGGGGGGGGGGGGGGGGGGGGGGGGGTCGTCAGGCTCAATGTAAATGCTTTTATTTAAAATTTGTTTGTTTTTTGGATCATGGATGAATTAATGACAGAGACAGAGAAAGAGATGGAGGACAGCTACAAAGAGACAGAGGAAGCAGCTACAAAGAGACAGAGACACGTACTGGGTGAAGATGCTGAGGAAGGTGAAGGACATCAGCAGCTGCAGGATGTCCAGCAGCTGCTCCATCGTTCTCTTCAGTTTCAGGAAAGATCCTCTGACTGACTGAGTGATCTCCTGATCCATCAGAGCTCCACCCAGCACCTCCTGCTGCTGCTGCTCCTGCAGGAGGTCACAGGTCACAGGTCAGTTTGACTGGACATTAACAGAGAGGGTGCTGATCAGATGATGGGTGTGGTTTTGACCTGGAGCACGAGCTCGGTGCTGAACTCTCTGGACAACAGGTCGACCGACAGGTTCAGTTTGTCAAACAGCTGACCGAAGTTTCCCTCCACAGGAATCTTCTCTCTGCACCATGGAGTCATCACTGACAAGAGAAGAAGAGGAGGAGGAGGAGGAGGATTATACTTTGTCTTCAGTTTGAGACCAAACTCAACAAAAAAGACACGATGCCTGAAAGAAATACAACTGGGTCTGTAAAGTTTCATTGTCGCCTGAATGTCGGCTGATAGTTGGCTGACTACCGGCTGAATGATGGCTGTCTGTCGGCTGAATGTCGGCTCTGTGTATCAAAGCACTTAAAGGACAGTTAGCTTCTTCATATCTAAATCTATGCTGTTTCTATTGAACACCATCAGACCAGTTCATCCTCCCATCACTGTCACACACCTCCACCTGTTCTCTGACCACAGGAACAATAAATGAAATGCTTTGAGTCTGGTCACGTGTGACCTCTCACCTCTCATGACATCACACAGGAAGTGGAACTTCATAGAGACACACAGGATGTGGTTGATGACGGGGACAGGTATCTCCTTCATACACTCCGCCCACCTGAGTCTGAACCAATCAGAGCAGCGCTGCACGCCCTCATCCACCACACCTGGATGACACACACAAATCAACTCTAACCTGTTGAACTGAGTTCAGGACAAACGTTTTTAGACAGTTAGACTGTTGTTCTTCAGACTTTGAGCTGCAGCTTCAAATAAAATAAAAGAGACGACGTTAAAGTCTCAGATTTCACTTCAGCATCAAATGTAATAAATCTGACTCACTGTCGCACTGCATCATGGTCTTTGTAGTGAACTGCTCCTGTGTGCTGTTTCCCTGTTGAGGTCTGAATCTGTCGTATCCGTACTGAAGGACGACCTCGTCTCTGATGCTCTGAAACCTCCTGCTGACGTCCAGAGCCTCCGACTCAAACTCTGCTTTATCATCCTAACGGGAGACACAAGCCCCGCCCCCTGATCATCAGACACTGATCTGAACCTTCTTATTGATTACTGATTGGTTGTTTTGGTGGTTTCATTCATTTGTCTTAAAAAGAGAAAAGTTTCAGAGGAGGAAACTGTAGAAACAGATGGATCAATATTAAATATATAGAACAAATACTGAACATGAACCAAGATTTAAACATACTTATATCTGCTTATTAACTACACTGGAAGACAACCATTTATTACATGTTTATACCATTGATTATAGATGTTAAATAAGGAGGGTGAAGTCAAGGACATTCGGCCATTCAAGATGAACTTTGAACTCTTTCTGTCGTGATGTTAAAATACTGTGAATCATTATTACAGGTTTTTATATCAAACATGATTTTAAAGTCATTTGTTTTTCAGTTATTATTATTGTTGTTGTTGTTGTTATTATTAATATTATTATTATTTTTGCTTTAGTTATGGACAAATTACCAGGTAATTGTTAATTTGTTTACAAATGTTTTTTGAAATGGTGGACACGTTAGCTGTTAGCAGTTAGCAGTTAGCTGTGATGTCTGGGGGCGTGTCTGTGTCACCATGAGCTCCTTGGTGATGCGTAGAAACGGCGAGACGGCGTCCCTCCACAGTAACTTGCTGTGATGAACCTGCAGGTCCAGGTTACAGCTCAGAGACAGAGCGGCTGTCTCCATGTTCCGCTGGACGTTAGAGACCGGCCCTGCGATGACATCATCACACAGAGACAGGACGCATCACAACATTAACTACATTCATATTCTACATCCAGGCTTCAACAATATGTTTATTATTAACTTTACTGTAACATGTTGCACAGTCAAACCTACATCTATCTCTCTTTCTGCTTATCAATATCTATCCATATTGTCATGTCCTGATCTCTGTGCAGCAGCAGTGACACGTGATCCTTTCTGAATCAGCTGCTCTCACTTACCTTCACCAGCAGGTGTCACTAGTGAACTGAGATAAACGAAGCTTCATCCACCATCTTTATTTTGTCGTCCTTCACCTGATTCCCTCAGACTCACACCTGAGTGTCAACCACACCAACCTGATCTTTCACTAATATTCAGTAAGAGTTATTAACCTCTGTACTTGATATTTATCTGCTGAGAAACACGTGAGGGGCAGTGATGAACCAGAAAGAGGCTGACGTTAGTGACGAGGACGAACTGGGTTATTGAAAGTGTGTGTGTGTGTGTGTGTGTGTGTGTGTGTGTGTGTGTGTGTGTGTGTGTGTACCTCTGTAGAGCACAGACAGGATAAACAACATCAGGTACGCTCGGCCACGGGAGCCAAGAATGCTGGGAAACATCAGGAGGACTGAACACCTGAAGGAGGAAGACAACGCCCCGCCTACTGCACACACACCTGGAACACATGTACACACACACACACACACACACACACTTGTCAGTCAGATGTTGTAAACGGGCTTAATGTAAAAATATGAAGTTTCCTCACCGACAAACAGACATCCTGCTGCCAGCTTCAGGTCAAAGGTCAGCGGGAGACTGTGAGCAACACCCAGGAACAGGACTGAAGGAATGAGAGGAACAGGGATGATATGAAGGAACATCAATGTATTTGACTTGATTGATTATCATGAATATCTTTTACTGGACATGATAACGAGTTGAGGAGAATTTTAAAATCAATTTAATTTAAAAAAAAAAAACAAAACAAAACAAAAGACTGATTGGTGTGGAGTAGAATAAATTTTAACATATATAATAAAATAGTAAGTATAAAACATTTGTAAAAATAGCAAATGTTATATAATATTAATATAAACCAAATTAAAATGTTTAAGAAAACACTTAAATAATATAAACCATTAAACATTATAGAATAATACTAATACAACTAATTAAAAAATATTATTAAAATCAAAATTTCATCATGAAAAACACAAAAACTTGTTATTTGTTAATCATTTTTCAATAAAGAATGAAATAAAAAACAAAAAATAAAGATAAAACATTTCAGACTTTATAATAAAACTAAATAAAAATTAAATTAAAAAAATAATATAAACTGATAAAAAACGAATCAAAACTAAATAAATGTATCAAAATAAAACAAAATATTTAAATTAAATACTAAAAAGTTTTAATAGAGAATGCTAACATTAGCCAGTTAAGTTATTTTGAAATCCACTTTTAGTCAGGTGAAAAGGTGTGATGTTACCTGTGCCGCTCACTACTCCAAACAGCGCTCTGAGGACCAGGTGAGCCACAACAAACTCTTCTGATTGGCTGAAGAGAAAGCGATGAACAGCTGGAGGCAGGTAGGTCAGACTGACCCTCTCCACAGCTGGAAGAGACACAAACAGCTGGTTAACGTGGCTGTTTTTTTACCTAGCAACAGGCAAACGAGACGAAGCTGCTAGCTTAGTTAGCTTAGCAAAACATGACGTCGACAATAAGATGTTTATGTCAGAACTTACTGCTGCAAGGAGCCATGGTCCGACAGTGTCTCAGTGTCTGCTTCAACAGCCTTAAATCTCAGTCCAGTGTCACACGGTGAAGGTGAAGGTGATGGAGGTGAAGATGAAGATGGAGATGAAGGTGAAGGTGGTGACGGAGGTGTGTTTACGGTTGAAGCTTCGGTTCGTCACGTGGTGTTTTTCGGTCTCCAGGCAACAAAAAACTTCATGGTTCTGTTCAGAAGTCAAAGATGGACGCTGAAGACAGGAGAAGACACCTGATGAAAACTGACATCACAGTCCATGTGGGCGGAGGAGGCGGGGCCAGACGCACCCTTAGAGGAGTCCTGAGCAGGTAACTGTTCACAGGTCACAGGTGACAGAGAGAGAGATGGCCGCTCAGCTAGCTGGGAGCTAACGGCTAACAGATGCTAACGTCAGCTGATAATGAACCTACAACATGAACTGAAGGTTCCTGTTTGTTTTTAAATGTTTCAAGAACATGAACTGAAGGTTCTCAGGTTACTTTCTTAAATAACAACCTGTTGTTTATACCTTTAATAATGTCCATCAATAATCAAACGTTTGATTTATTTTCATTATGAACATCAGAGCAACAAGGAGAGAGAGAAAGATACTGAACCTTCTGTTAAATGATCGATATTATATAATTACATGTATATAAGTACAGGTGGTCTCCATTGTCTTCACATGCAGCTGCTAAAATAAAGATATATTTATTTCATGTCTGTGTCACATTCAGATTAGACACTGAAACTATAATTAAAGGAATAGTATATTAGTTATATATGTGTAACAGATATATAAAAACACACTGTATAACTGATAATACTACTGCACCCCACAGTGAGCACTCCCCTACCTTTATTATTAATATGATTATTATCATTATGTTTTAACAATTTACTTACCACATCATCTTACTGGGTCACTTCAATTATTAAAGGACTGTAAAATAGAATAATTGTTTTTAAAGAGGTTTGTGATTCATGTATAACCTGTTATGAGTCAGGATGTGTTCACCAGGCGTTACAGCCTGTGACGCTTCTGAGACTTCAGTGTGTTTCCCTCCACAGGTCATCAGGACGCTCTCGCCTCAGCGGCTGGAGGAAGGTTAAAGGTCACCTGTTGGAGGGAGGGTGGAGCCTCGTGGCGTTCATGTCCGGGCTGGTGTTGGCGTCTCTGTACGGCATCACGGCTCTGTTTCTGCAGAAGCAGCCTCTGTGGTTCTGTGTGTACACCACGCTGGCCCTGGCTCTGCTGGCGGCGTTCGGTCTGGGACTGTCGGTCGGAGTCCGGGCCGACGTCACCGTGATGCTGCCCTCGCTCTGCTCAGGTCAGTGACTCCACCCCCCCACCAGGGTTATCGCAGACTACACAGGTCTAACATGCTTAGATGGAGTTTTAAGACGTGGCTCTGATGAAAGACACTATTCAGGTGCATTATGGGAAATGTAGGATCCAGTGCTTTGGACTAAAAACAGAAAACCTGTTGCAACGGTAACATCCTTGTTGATCCTCTGACTTTTCAAATACCTGCAGAAAGACATTCCCATCAAATGGAAGCGGTGCTTTAAATGGAGGCGTGGCCCTGATCAGCCAATCACAGTCCCTCCTCTTCTTCTGTGTCTCAGGTCACGGCAGGAACTTTCTCCTCTTCCTGTTTGTCTCGGTGTTGCTGTCCGGCCCGCTCGCCAACACCTTAGAGAACACGGAGCGAGCTGCTGCCAGTCTGCTGTGTGGAGCTGAGCTGGCAGCCAATCAGACGCAAGAACTGATGCAGAGAGCAGCCACGCCCCTCTTCTGTAAGACACGCCCACTGTTACTACCACTTATACTGCTGAAAATACTGTTAAAAATACTACTAAAAACTACTCAAACACGGCCAAAAATACTGCTGTTACTGCCACTACTACAACCAGTAAAACTGCTGAAACTAAATGACTGAAATGAAAAATAGCTGCTACAAGCACAACTTTAATTTTAATATATATTTCATAATTTAAAAGTTTCAACAAGTCTTGAAACACTGACTTCATGAGTCCCTGTGACCCCCCCCAAAAGGAAATCGTGTGTGTGCGTGTGTGTGTGTGTGTGTGTGCGCGTGTGTGTGTGTGTGAGTGCGTGCAGCTGTGTTGGACAGAATCAGACAGATCAGCAGTAACGCTCATGCTGTCGCAGGACGAGTCCACAACTTCATCCAGGCTCTGAGTGACAGCGTCCAACATGTTGGTGAGTGACACCTTCATCAGTGGAGAGATTGTGACACAGTTTAATTATGAAGTTATTATTAAGATTAATAATGTGTATTGTTGTAAGTGTGTGTGACGCTTGTCCAGGAGTCGCAGAGACAGATGATGGAAACATGTTGACGTACAGATATTAACACAATACATAAAGAAAACAAACAAAGTGTTTCACTGAGTCACAGTCGTCACGTCCTCTTCTGTTCCACGACCTCCAATCAGCTGTTTCTTCTTCCATCAGTCTTTCTGAAAATATGACACGTTGCTGAGGTTTAGTTTCCAGATGAAGAATCTCAACTGTCCCACTGTTTCTACAGACATGTGAACTAACCACGATGCCTGCGGTGGTCTGTGGGCTGATGGGAAATGGAGTTTGTTAAAGGCCACTAAAAAAAACATAATTATTAAATAAACATTAGAACATGTGGCGTGAGTCACATGACGTCTCTGTGTCTCTGTGCACACGTGGAGGTGGATACAGGAACTCCTCCTCCACACATACCTGTGTGTTCTCACTTCTGACCTCTAGCTCGCATTCTGAGGAACGTCCTCCACTTCCTGGTGGACATCGGGGACGTCTGTAACGCCAAACTGGGCTCTCCGTACAGGAAGTGTCGGGCGGTGTTCGCCGAGGCTCGGGCTGACTGCTCCGACCTGCTGGGAGAAGACTTCAACTTCCTGTGTGACATCGTGGATGGCTTCCTGCCGCTCTGCAAACTCGCCCGCGGTGCGTTCACTGACACCATGACCTCATAAAGACTTTAAGGGAGCATTTTTGTTGACCTTTAGTTTTGTCATGAAATTAATTTTGATCGAGGTCATAACCTGCCGTTTTCAGCTGCTGAGCTCTTCTGCATCATCCCCTCCTACATCGCCAAACAACTGAAGAAACACCTGGCAGCTCGTAAATTCATCATCATCATCCATTAGTAATACCTGTTCATCCTGTGGGGGAGGGGGACGCACCTGGACAGGTCTCGGGTCTCTCACAGTCCGTCACTCTCCCTCCGCAGCCACCATCGCAGCGTTTGAGCGAATGAAGCGCGAGTTTGAATTCAACATCTCGGCATCGGTGACCTTTGACCTGGACGCCAACAGCAGCCGCTCGCTGCAGCAGGTGTCTCAGGACATCATGGAGGAGGTTTCATCAGACCTGCAGGTGTTTCAGAGACTCAGCGGACCGTTACAGTACGGCGGCCTTATGCTGCTCGCCTGCTCCTTCCTGAGGTCAGAACACACTTCACCTGAGACGACTCCTCACGTTTAATCAGGTCTGTTTTCTTAAGGTGTGTGTGTGTGTGTGTGTGTGTGTGTGTGTGTGTGCAGGGCGGTGAGGTACAGACGCAGGTATCTCCGTGAGCTCGACTTTGACAACATCTACATCAGCTCTCAGTTTGAAGAGCTCGACCAACGGGTGACCTCAGGGGGCGGAGCCTCAGTCCTGCCAATCACAAGCAGAGAGGCCAAGATCTACATCACACCACGTCAGTACACCTGTGTGTGTGTGTGTGTGTGTGTGTGTGTGTGTGTGTGTGTGTGTGTGTGTGTGTGTGATTTCAGCTGGTGATTGACAGCTGTAGTAGGTGGGACAGATATAAAGATGGTACCTGATTGGTTGCTGTATGATGTCACGACACATTGTTTTGACCCAAAGGATGAACTGAAGTGACCCTCGTCCCGCCTGTTTTCCAGTGTCGCTGCACCTGTCGAGCAGAGAGCGGCGGGTGGTGATGGTGGGCGTGGTCTCGGTCCTCAGACACCTGGTGATGGGGGGTCTGCTGGTGGCGCTGGACTTCCTGGTGTTCTGGATGCTGGATCAGGTGCACCACCAGGTGACGGGGGACGTTGTGGCCCGAGGTGAGACGAGACGTCCGATGTGAATATGACCGAGGTGTCGGTGAAAGTGACGGTAACCACAGTAACCATTGCGTTCCCCGTCAGCTCCGGTCACCGTGGCGGTGCAGGTGAACGGATCCGGTTTCGCCTCAGACATCTTCAGAGACCTGGTGGCCTCGTTTAACGTCCTGCAGGAAGGAAACATCACAGTGATCAGCAGGAAGTGTCTGGTTCAGCCGTCAGAGCCAAACTACAGCACCTGCTTCATCCTAGGTGAGGACACCTGAAGATCAAGTCAGTCAGTCCATCAGTTAGTCAATGGACAGATAATCATCTGTGGTTCCAGCTGCTCAGGTGTGAATGTTTGCTGCTTTCGTTTGTTCTCTCACAGTAACAACATGTGAAGACGTGACTGAGGACATTTTATAGACCAGTGGTGGCGATTATTTCTGACCCGCCAGATTACTTTGATAATATGATTTTTTTAATCTAAAAATAAACAGATCTCCGTCTGAGCAGCAACAGTTACCTGCAGGATCACTTCCTCTTTGGCCATTTTGCAGAGAAAACAAAAGCACAAGAAAGTCTGTTTTTGTGCAGCAATGCTTTATTTAAAGCTTTTATTGTGATAAGTTCTGAAAGGAAGTTCCAATGGTTCTGTTGCCTGCTTGACATACGATGTGTGATATGACAAAAACTATAATAAGCTTTCAGTCAGTCAGTCCAACGTATAATATGTGACTGTGGGAGGAGGAGCTTCCTTTCACGCATGAATCATACAGATCATTGAAAAGATATTTCATTTTAAAAGTTGAGTCTCTGCTAACAGACCATGTTAACTGATAAACAGCTAGCCAGCTAACCGCTAACCGAGACAGTCCTTGTTCCGCTCTGCAGCCTCGGTCAGTTCGGTGTAGCTCCACATGAACCAGTTTTCCACCTCACAGTTTATAAACAGAAGACAGAGGCATTGTGGGTGAAGAGCAGAGAACCATCCAAAAGAAGACAAGAATCACAACTTCCGGCCAGGATTTTCAGAATAAAACCACAGCGGAAACAGAAAACAGATGATGAGCAAGATCGTGGATTGTGATTCATATTGTATTGTGTATATTGTGATCATATGACCACCCAAAGTGTTCAGATGGATGATAGTGTCGCCACACTCTCCGATCATTTCTATAACTTTCTGAAATACTCTGACATCACAGCGTCCGCCCTCACTGATTGGTCAGCTGTGTGTAGGTGAGAAAGTGGGCGGAGTTTGAACCCTTTTTCATTTGTTCCACACACATTTCTGTCATTTCTCGTGTGAGGGGAAGGGAGGAAGAGTTAGAGGAGGAGAGGAGGAGGAGGGAGAGGAGGAGGGTGAGGAGGAGAGGGAGGAGGAGGGGAGGGGGAGGAAGAGGAGGAGGGGGAGGAAGAGGATTTGAAGAAACTCTCCAGGAATGTGAGAAAGCTGATCTTTGGTTCGGGCTGACAGCTGTGTGTCGTGCAGCTCAGGTCTGAACAGGTAAAGTTTGATTGACAGCTGAGAGACAGTGGTGACAGAATGAGACACAGCTGGAAAACAAACATGTGAAGAATGACAAACACTTCCTGTGTTCAGGATCGTCCAGTTTAAATCTGTCTGTGGAGGAAAGAGACGAACAGGGAGGTTTAAACATGAACACAGACCAATACAAGGTTTAAAATGCAAGATAAAATTCAATAAAAGACAAACATGTTTTAAACCTCAGAGCAAATTAAATCAGAATCTAAAATATTAATATGAAATATAGATATACACACATACAGTTTAATCTGTAATCTAAATATAAAACGAGTCTTTAGAGCTTTAACTTTCGGTTTGAGGATGAAAACGTTAGAAATGTGGATTTGAACTCCACGGTGAAGAGTCATCAGGTCTCTGTCTGTCTCCGTGACCAGCAGCAGAGGCTCTGATGTCTCTTCTGGTTCCACTGGTTTTACTGGTTTTACTGGTTCTGGTCTGTGTTGCAGGGTTCCTGCTGGGTCTGGCTCTGCTGGTCTCTCTGACCGGAGGATTCGTCCAGCGCTGCAGACGAGTTGCCTGTTCTTCATATCACCCAGAGAGAGAGCTGGTGAGAACACACACACACTCACACACGCACACACACTCACACACACACACACACACACACACTCACACACACACACACACACACACACACACACACACACACACACACTCACACACACGCAGAACATGTTAGTGCCTGTAGAGAGAAGTCAGTTGATGTTAGATCTGACCTCAGGAAGCAGCACGAGGACGTCGTTCTGTAACGCTCCGCTGAGTCTCTGAAATGTAGTTTAACTCTCAGAGGTCTGAGGGTTTTTCCTCCGGTTCTCCAGTATCTCTTTAATGGACTTTTCAAAGGTTGATATCACATGACGCCCAGGTGTTTATATCCCAGTGTTCACATCTGTCTCAGCTGCTTCTGTAATGACGCCCCTTTTTCACCCTCTTTGACCAGATGCTGAAAAACTGAAATTCTCCAAAACAAACTTCCCTGATGGTGATGAAGTGAAATGTGTTGACCAGAGTCTGAGCTTCATCAACAACAGAGCAGTGTATGAGTGAAATAGATGTTTAATAAAAGCCTGACATGAGATTTTGTAATATCACTGAGTGGAAGCGTCGCCCACCACTCTGCTTTAACCAGCTTTTAGAGACCTGCTTCGACGCCTTCCAGCTCCGGCTCTGACTCACGTAGCATCTCACAAGAATATGAAACAGAAAGTGGAGAGTCGACAGATTCTAACGTCTGAACCAGATTTCTACTCTGTGTTCTCACAGAGATATTAACATGAACACCCGTCCTCCTCACAGGGTTAACGTCTGGTTCTCTTGGTTCTGACTGCAGCTCACAGAGGAAACACACTGAAGGTTCTTCCTCTTGGTTCTGTCAGATGATTCCTGACAGAGACGTCACATGTCTGTCCTCTGCCTCTGTCTCTGTCTCTGCCTCTGTCTCTGTCTCTGTCCACATTTCCTGTCTGACGGACACAGATTCAGACACAAACATGTCTCATGAATCAGACCATTGTATACCTGTAAGCCCCGCCCCCTCCTGCTCTTAGTAATGACTGACAGACGGACAGGTGAGGAGAGACAGACAGGTGAGGAGAGATGGACGCTTTCAGACCCTCAGAGGACCAAGAGGAAAACCAGCTGCTGTGGGTGAAAGGTCAGGGAGACAGAGGCATGTGAGGAATCTGCAGAATGAAAGTATGAGAGCAGGAGGCAGGTCTGCACCCGTCCCCCCTGAGACCTGAACCACTGAGACCTGAACCATTGAGACCTGATCCACTGAGACCTGATCCACTGAGACCTGAACCACTGAGACCTGAACCATTGAGACCTGATCCACTGAGACCTGATCCACTGAGACCTGAACCACTGAGACCTGAACCACTGAGACCTGATCCACTGAGACCTGTACCATTGAGACCTGATCCACCGAGACCTGATCCACCGAGACCTGATCCACCGAGACCTGAACCACTGAGACCTGATTCACCGAGACCTGATCCACCGAGACCTGAACCCCTGAGACCTGATCCACTGAGACCTGAACCACTGAGACCTGATTCACTGAGACCTGATCCACCGAGACCTGATCCACTGAGACCTGAACCCCTGAGACCTGATCCACTGAGACCTGATCCAGACTCAATAAAGTCAAACCAACATTCAAATTTCATTCAATTTAATTTGACTTGTATTTTACACAGAAGAAGAAGTCAGGAGTCTGCGCTTATAAGAAGAGTGCTCAGTGAGGTCACATGATCCTGTGACATCACCTGTGGTCACACAGTGTTTCCTCAGAGGACCATGTTGTTGTTAGAACCGGAGCGTGAGCGTCGTGCTGTCAGGACAACAACTGTCCCTCCTCCCCCAGAGAGGAGGCGGAGTCAAAGATCAAACCTGCACTGACTGAGGAGAGTCACATGTTGTTGTTGTTGTTCATCAGGACAGGATCCAGTTCCTCCGTCAGAGGATCCTGGACCAGAGGAGGACGGAGGGGGAGGCCCTGAGGAGGTCTGCAGTCCGGAGCCACGCTGAACGAGGAGGAGGAGGAGGAGGAGGAGGAGGAGGAGGGCATCACCTTCAGAGCCTCCTGCTGTGGTACAAACATGGAGCTTGAATGTCGTCACACATCAGGACTGACGTGAATGATGCACATCAACATTTCCATATTCTTCAGAAACAGATTTATTTTCATCATGTGAGAATCTGATAAAATAAATAAATGGCGTCAACATGAAGCGATGACCTGGGTCCACTGACACTGACAGGTTACCATGGAAACAGATCACCTGTGGTCCGTAGAGGACTCTGGGTCCAGGTTTTGACCCTTTGATGTTAAAGATGGTTTCAGCTGCAAACATTCAGTTCTGATCAGCTGATACCTCAGAGTATCTCTAATCACTGTGTGTGTGTGTGTGTGTGTGTGTGTGTGTGTATGTGTGTTTGTGTCTGTGTGTGTGTGTGTGTGTGTGTGTGTGTGTGTTTGTGTGTGTCAGGTTACCTGGAGGAGTTCACCTGTCTCACCTGCTGGGTCTGTCACCGTCAGTCACCTGTCTGGCCTGTGGAGAGGAGGTGAGGTCAGAGGAGGATGTGGTCACCTGTGATGTCCCACAGTGTTCAGGTAAACACAAGGGTCTTAACAGACATTAACAGATCCATGAGTCTTAATCAGACTCTAAAACTCTGACGTTTAAACAGATTTTACAACTGCTGGTTAGTTTAACCTTGGTTGTGATGATCGTCAGGTGAACAGGTAAACAGGTAAACAGGTGAACAGGTAAACAGGTGAACAGGTGAAAAATATAATGTGATGAAACCTCCCTGTGTAAAGAGGTGCAGTGTTTCATATCTGAGGTGAATTCCTCCAGTCTGAAGAGGTGCAGCTGCATCTATTGTTCATGTGTGTGTGTGTCTGTGTGTCTGTGTGTGTGTGTGTGTGTGTGTGTGTGTGTCTGTGTGTATACTGAGGGTGTGTCGTGCAGCAGTGTTGTTGACTCAGCTGAGGTCAGACAGATAACAGACTGTAACTGTATCTGGGCTCAGGCGGGGGGGGTGGGGGGGCTGTGACCTTTAGGAAACACTCTACCTGCAGACTGTAGATAACACACTGAGCAGCAGGAAGCACAGGAGCTGCAGTTTGAATTAATGAATTACTCATTCACCTTCTGACTGCAGGTTATTCACTCTGTTACTGACGAGGCATCCCACAATGCAAAGTGTCGGAGGGGGAAGAAAAGGTGAGCTCTGTTAGTGTTTTCAGACGGCCCCTCCTCTCTGTCGTGTCACTGGAAACTGAAAACATCGACACGATGAAACGTGCAGCGCGAGCTCGACGAGCCCAAGCTCTCACAGGGTCGACGATGGCAGTGGAGTTGTTTCAAACTTCATTGATGAAACTAGAGTTCAGGTGCAGATTAATGAAGGGTGTTGCTTTAATCTGGATTAGATTATTCTGATTATTGTGGCACAGGGGCGGAGCAACAGTGATGACACAGCCCACCTGGAACCTGTGGTCGTGTCAGTAGGTGATGGACAGTTGACTTGTTAGTAACATGTACTCTCCTGGATCCATACCAGAGACCCTGGACCACAGACACAAGCAGGACACGTGTCAACAGACACCACAAAGGTCGTTTGGTGTCGGGGGTCTTGGTCCTGTACGGGAGGGCGGGGCCTTTTACCTGTCTGCATCCAGCTGTTGTCTCAACATCTGTCCTGTGGGATGTTATTTGTTGATATGCCATCAGAACATTTCCAGTTGTTTGTTTGATGTAAACAATAAGAGTGGAACAACAAGAAACCAGATATTAGATGTTGATGTTGATCCAAGATGTTTATTTCTTCTGCTGATTCACAGAAATATTTTTTCTCTTCATGTATTCACACACACACACACACACACACACTGATAAATCTTCTTCTCTGTGAGGTTCATATCTCATCAAACCAAACGCTGCGTTTATGAAAACTAATATTCCACATCCTGTCTGTAGGTTTTATCAGCGTCATGTTTTCCACGTGTCGTTCCAGTTCTCCTCGCTTTTTACGAGCTGCTGCTGTCTTTGTTTTTGCAGGCCTGTACTGCCGGCCATGTTTCCACAGTCTGGGAAACATGTGTGTCGTCTGTATGCGACCTCTGACCTTCCAGGAAGATTGCGAGGAGGAGCTGTGAGTAACGGAGAGAACATCCACAGAGTTGTCTAGTTCCATGTGACAGTTTATCACAAGGTTCATATGATGGAATACAGTCATATACACACTCCACACTCCTGTTTCCATAGGAACGACATGTAAAGGATAGACAGTATAATATAACTGTAACTGCCTTGCTCAAGGGCACATGAACAGTACTTACTGTCGGATGTGAATTTTGCTGACTCACTCTGAAACTGTGTTGAACTGGACCCGGACCTGGTCCAGACCTGCTGCAGGTCTCAGTCTGTTTCCCGCCTCTTTTCACTCAGAGACTCCAGCGATGACGATCAGCTGACTCTGTGGTCTGCAGCTCTGAACTCGACTCACCTCACTGACCCGCGAGCCAGGAGCCTGATGAAGAGGAGGATCACCATGGCAACGCGCCGAAGACTGACTGAGTACAAATATAAAGAAAAAACTGGTTAGATTTTCCCCTAAAGCATAAAAAAGCTGTTGATGGTCTGTTTTCCCAGTCTGCCTGATGTCAGTGAAGCAGACATGACGTACCAGGACCAACCCGGGTCAGATGAGTCCGACGAGTCCGACAGCGACGCCTCCTTCTACTCCACTTCCTCCACAACGCCCAGCAGACACCAGGACGATACCCTGGTCACAGTCGTCATACACCAGCCACACTGTCCCCAGAACCCCCCAGACCCCCAGAACCCCCCAGACCCTCCAGAAACCCCACAGAACCCCCCAGGACCCTCCAGAACCCCCGCGAGAACCCCCAGGACCCTCCAGACCCCCCCCCAGAACCCCGCAGGAACCCCCCAGGACCCTCCAGGACCCCATGACCCCCAGACCCCCCAGGACCCTCGCGAGAACCCCCCAGCGACCCTCCAGGACCCCTCCAGAAACCCCCAGGAACCCCCCCAGGACCCTCCAGAACCCCCAACACACCCCAGGGACCCCCAGAACCCCATGGAACCCCCAGGACCCTCCAGACCCCCAGAACCAACAGGACCCTCCCAGAACCCCCAGACTCCTCGCACCGCCGACCCCCCAGGACCCTCCAGGGACCCCTCCAGGACCCCCCAGGACCCTCCAGAACCCCCCAGGACCCTCCAGGACCCCCCAGGACCCTCCAGGACCCTGAATTAGAGCTGTGTGTTGGTTCGAGCTGAGGTTTCACTTTGTGATTAAAGTTGTTAAAGACTGAATCTGAATTATTGAACAGCCCACCCCCTCCTCACTCACACAGCTTTTATTCTGAAAGTACAAAGTCTTACAAATGTATATTATTGAAGTTTATTTTATTATTGATTGTTGTCGGAGCCGAGGGTGAACAGGTGAACAGGTCCGACAGGTGGTAACTGTCACTTACCTGTTTGGATTGTTTAACTAACGAGTCGAGGCATTGAGGATTCATCAGTTAGTCTGGTTAACGAGACTGAAGCAGCTGCTCAGTCACTGTTAAAGTACAACTGAGACTCTACAGTGTTTAATGTTCCTCCACCTGTCCTTCACCTGTCCCTGTCCTCCACCTGTCCCTGTCCTCCACCTGTCCTGTACCTCCTCCACCTGTCCTCCACCTGTCCCTGTCCTCCACCTGTCCTGTACCTCCTCCACCTGCCCTCCACCTGTCCTCTACCTCCTCCACCTGTCCTGTACCTGTCCTCTACCTCCTCCACCGGTCCTGTACCTGTCCTCCACCTGTCCTCCACCTGTCCTCCACCTCCGTGGAAGAGACCAAACACAGAGACGAGAGGAAACACTAGACGACTCTGTGTCTTAGATTTAACAGACAGTCAGACTTCATATAAACTGAGTCTGAATTCATCTGTTGCACAAATCAGTTTAGTTTTTCACTATCTTACACTGGACTGTGGTGCAATGAATTCTGGGAAAATTAAGCGTTTTTTCAAATTAAAAAAAATGGCCGACCAAGGAGAAGGTCCATTTTTGGACGGGCGTAGATTCGGTTTTGGTATAGGAGACACAACAACAACAACAACAACAACCCCCCCCCCCACACACACACACACACACACACACACACACACAACACAGAGATTGACTTTTCAATGCTGTCAGCCAAATGGCTTATTAACATGAAAGATCGGAATTTACATTCATCACGAGGTGAAGATGAATGTTTCCTCCTCAGCTGCTGATTCCTGTAAAATAATTCATTCATGGCGACATTTTCATGGGATTTCTCGACAGACATTCAACTCGTACTTTGATATATCCGCCAGTTTAACTTTGCTCCTGCTAGCGACCTGACTGCTAGCCTACAGAAGACAGAAGCTATGGTTAGCTTGCTAATTAACGCTAGCTAACAACAGTTAGCTAACGTTAACTACTACTTAACTAACTCAATAATGTCAGCAAACCACCAGTTATGAGCCATGTTTTCCTGTTTTTTGGTTGTTGGGTGATACTGGTCAGTGCAGGTATAGTTGAGTGTTACCATGGTAACATTGATTTTAGACCTGATTGGTCTGAAGGTGTGTCATGTTTCCATCCCAAGATGAGTCGGTCTTTATTTTAGTGCTTAGTATTTTTAATTTACTGGTGTTGTTCTCCAGTAGACTGGTTGTACTGGTCAGCTCCCAGTGTGTGTGTGTGTGTGTGTGTGTGTGTGTGTGTGTGTGTAGTCTGGGTGTGGCTGATAAGCCGCTCGAAGTCTGTAAAGACCTCAGCAACCTCGACTTTCACAAACACAAATATTCAAAACCGTGCGTGTGTGTGTGTGTGTGTGTGTGTGTGTGTGTGTGCGCGTGTGTGTGTGTGTGTCTCAGTGGGAGGACTCAGTGACTCTCGGCAGGAAACGGTGTGTGGACTCTGTCAGTCTCGGTCTCTCTCGGTCTCTCTCGGTGTCTCTCGGTGTTTTCTCGGACTTTTTGGACCGAACCTGCACAAATGGCGACCAAGGTAAGATGATCCAGACTCTGAGCTGTGGACTGATTGATCACGTATTGATTGGTGTGATCGGAGGAGAAATAGTCTGAGCGGGGTGGAGGGAGGAGGAGGAGAGGCGGGAGTTCATATCTGAGATACAGAGACAGTTGAAGAGAGTTCAAACTGAAACACTGAGAGGTTTAAAGTCTGATGAGACTAACATCACTTCAACACCTGTGTTCACGTGATCACCTGATTATTTTCTACCATAAATATGTCTTCTGTTGTTGTAGTTGTTGTTGTTTTATAAACAAGGTAAAAACTGAAAAATTAAAAACTGATAATGTGTCAGTGAATTTATCTGTTGGTCCATCGGGGTGTTTCCCTTTGACTCAGACTGACCTCAGGTCAGATTCACACACACACCCAGCAGCTGGTCTCTGGTCGTGTTCAGACCCTCACTGCTCTGGGTCCAGGTTCTGCTCTGAACCTTGTTTTACTGGAAGTTTATTTCAATGAAATTCTGTAAAAACTTTATCTGATAAATCTTCTATATTTTCTCTATGACCATAAATTCCTGATCATGACACTAATTAACTCTGTAGAGAACAAAGTGATTGGTTCTTCAGTGAATCAGACTCTTCAGGTCTGTGACTCACCTGGTCTTCTTCTTTGCCTTTATATTCGTCAGTATCTCCCTTCACCTGTGACCAGGTGTGTTGTGCTCTGTGTCAGTCCAGCTAACACAGGTACATGTGTGGAACAGTGTGTTTGATGTAGTTTTAGCTGCAGGTCAGAGTCAGTCTCACGTTTCTGTCTAATGAAGCTTTGAAGGAGAGAACGAGTGAATATGTTGTAAAACCAACCACAGTGAGGTCATGACTGTAGTAACCCTCTGAGCAGGTGAGGAGCTGCTTCAGGTGAGACTGTGACATCACAGGTAGAGACAGTCTGAGGCTGGATGGTGAATCTGAGTCTGGATCTGGATCAGTGTGTGGAATGTGGAGCAGCTCTGCAGCCGCCGCCCTGCAGAGTCCTCAGAGAGCAGCTCTGACCTCACTGTGAGCTACAGGGCCAGACCCTCACACAGACCAGGACCAGGTCCAGGAGCAGGTCCTGGTCCAGGTCCAGGTCCAAGTCCAGGTCCAGGTCCCCTCAATCTGTCATCATTAAGGATAAACCCCCTGATGATGTGCTTCTGGGAGCAATGTTTGTCTTTGTGGTCATTTTTTGTCATTTAGCATGTTAGCTGCAGAATCAGAGTTTAGCTAACCTGCAGCTAACACGCTAAACACAACGCTAACACTTAAAGTTTTAATTAAAGTTTTAATCAGAGTCTGTGATGTCCGCAGGAAACAAACCATTGATCATTTAGATGTGTCTCATTAGTGGAAATTAACCAGTTAAACTATTTAAACTAATAAAATTAAACTCAGTTCTTGAACTTTACTGGAACATTTTGAATATTTTTGCTGTTTATACTTTTACCTCCACCACAGATTCAGATTTTATCTTCACCAGCTGCAGCATTAAAGAGGTGAACACAAGAATGCATCAGTAATTAGTAATTACTTTCACTAGCAGCAGTACTTGTACACTGTGGTATTAGTACTTTTACTGCAGTCAGAGCTCAGAGTACTTCATCGCTGTTATAGTTCAGATGTTGAGTGACGATTTGCAGCAGTTGAAGTGATGAATCATTAACTTAACGTTCAGCTTCATGTCGTTAAATATCAACCCTGGACGTTTGAAATAAAAGAGAATCAGCCTGTTTATCAGTCCGGATCCTGATTGGTCGACAGACTGAGTCACAAATTGTTGACATTATGAGTACCTCCTAACAGATTAGTGGATGTGATAAAAAGATGTTTGCATTCTGGGAATTGTAGTGCGTCTCAGTCAGATGCAGAGGTTGAGTCTGTTTCTGTGAACTGAAGCAGAGTGAGACATCCCTCCTCTTCTTCACCTGTGTCAGACAGAGAGAGAGAGAGAGAGAGAGAGATGGATAGAATAAAAATCAAGTTAAAAAATAAATAATTCAATAGTAGTAATGATAATAATGATAATAATAGTTCATAATCAGTAGTCCAGATCGTCTCTCAACAACAGTCCTGAGTGACTCAGACCCAACCCTTAAATAAATTGTAGAAAAGTCAAAGTATAAAACAGCAAAAAAAAATATTCAAGGAAAGTTCAAGTATTGAGTTTAATTAAATTTGATTAATTAGGTTAATTAGTGAATTTCCCTCCCTGACAACACATGTCCAGCTGAGTGAAGGTTTGATTTGTATGTTTTTCTGCAGTCGTCTCTGATTTAAACTGTGACGATACAGAGAGATGAAGCTCACACTCCTTCTGTCACTGTGTGAGACGCAAATATAAAACTACATAAAACTATAAATCTGCAGATTCTCCTCATATGAAAGTTCAAGACATTCAGCAAAAAAAACAAACAAATGAAAGATTATTTCCTTTATTAACCAGGAAGTCCCGTTGAGATAAAAACTCTCTTTTAGAAGAGACCGAGACAATCAGCTGCTGTACAACGTGACAGGATTCTCTAGAGAAATGACCTCATGTCTGAGTTTAGACGTTTCTGCAGATCGTTCCACGTCCAAGCTGCAGAACTAACGCTGATTCATCTCCATCAAACGCCGTTAGAAACAGAAGCAACGCCATTAAACCACTGAAGAAGAAGAAGAAGAAGAAGAAGAAGAAGAAGAAGAAGAAGAAGAAGAAGAGGACATTAACAGATGTTTCTGTTAGCTTCATGTATTAATGTGAGGAAGAATCCAGCTCCTCCTCATCATCATCATCAAACTTCAGATTAATATAATTTTTAATCAGGAAAGTTTCCAGGAAATTATCAGTAGAATATAAAACAGCTGTTTGTTTTTATCATCAAATCATCCGACTTCCTGTTCCATCTTTCTCTACACTGGTGTTGTGATTGTTACTCACTGTGTAGTTAATGTGTTTCAGTCAGATTTGATTATTGATTATTGATTATTGATTATTGATTATTGATTATTGATTATTGATTATTGATTATTGATTATTGATTATTGATAGCAGCTGTTGTTGTTGCAGTACTCAGACCTGGAGCTGGCCATCAACTCTCTGGTCACAGACTTCCACAAAGCTGCGGACGATGGGCCGACCTTGAACACCACCCAGTTCCAGACCATGATCTCCAAACAGCTGCCGGGATTTGCCAAGGTACAGACAGTGACATCACAGCTCGTCCTCCAATCACAGCACACCTCACTCTGCCTGAGCATGCTGCTGGAGCAGGTTTGGACCTGTCCTCCTGGTCAGGGGGTCAGTCCAGATACGAAACATGAATCTGAAATCAAACTCATCTGATCTTCTCACTGTTGTTCAGCTGCAGCTACATGAGACAATAAAACCACATGGGTTTATATATATGTTCATAGATTTATAGATTTATTTAAAGTCACTCTGTGATTGGAGGAATTTTAAACTTTATTGCCTGGAATTACCTGGTTTCTAATAAAACTGTGGAACAATCATGAAGAACTGGAAATGTTCTGTCAAACATTATGTGAGTGATGAGTGAGTGTCATCCTGTGGGGGAAGGGCTGCCCTCCAGTGGCCACAGGCGGGAACTGTCCACAGTGAAATCAGATGTTTCCTGTGAGGAATCTGTAGAAATCAGAAAGTTCTTCACAGCAGTTTCTCATCATGTTCAGGTTTTAAAACCGATCACTATCTGATCTGGTCTGGTCTGATCTGGTCTGGTCTGGTCTGATCTGGTCTGGTCTGGTCTGGTCTGGTCTGGTCTGGTCTGGTCTGGTCTGGTCTGGTCTGGTCTGGTCTGGTCTGGTCTGGTCTGGTCTGGTCTGGTCTGGTCTGGTCTGGTCTGGTCTGGTCTGGTCTGGTCTGGTCTGGTCTGGTCTGGTCTGGTCTGGTCTGGTCTGGTCTGGTCTGGTCTGGTCTGGTCTGGTCTGGTCTGGTCTGGTCTGGTCTGGTCTGGTCTGGTCTGGTCTGGTCTGGTCTGGTCTGGTCTGGTCTGGTCTGGTCTGGTCTGGTCTGGTCTGGTCTGGTCTGGTCTGGTCTGGTCTGGTCTGGTCTGGTCTGGTCTGGTCTGGTCTGGTCTGGTCTGGTCTGGTCTGGTCTGGTCTGGTCTGGTCTGGTCTGGTCTGGTCTGGTCTGGTCTGGTCTGGTCTGGTCTGGTCTGGTCTGGTCTGGTCTGGTCTGGTCTGGTCTGGTCTGGTCTGGTCTGGTCTGGTCTGGTCTGGTCTGGTCTGGTCTGGTCTGGTCTGGTCTGGTCTGGTCTGGTCTGGTCTGGTCTGGTCTGGTCTGGTCTGGTCTGGTCTGGTCTGGTCTGGTCTGGTCTGGTCTGGTCTGGTCTGGTCTGGTCTGGTCTGGTCTGGTCTCATCACCAGGGGAAGAGGCTTCTTCTCAGACTCCTTCAGTCTAAACGTGAACACTGTTGTCTGTACAGTGACCTTGAAGTGTTTGGTTTAACACGGTTGTAAAGATACAGTCAGAAACAATCATCCTCCATCTTTAAAAGGCTGAAACCAGTTTGACCAGTGAACTGTGAACCAGCACCAGGATTAAAACCTGGTGACGTCATGTTTTGGCTGACGTCCTGTGGTCCAGACCCGGCCCATTGTCTGTGATGTTACAACAGTAAATCAGAGACCGGCTCATTTCGTGGGTCCAGACTGAAACAATCAGTTTGACATGTTTGGTTCCGCCCTGACGTCAGGGACTGGAGGTCAGTCTCTGCTCTGGGTGGTGTAGCTTTATATTGTACTATAGTTCAATATGTTCAGTCCTGAACTCTGTTTCCTGTGTTGGAGATCTCTCAGCTGTTTGTGGCGTTCCTCAAAGCTGACATCACTGACATCACCCCCCCCACACACACACACACACACACACACACACACACACACACACACACACACACACACCTCCACGCCCCTTCACACACACACTAACTGTTTCCATGTGTCTCTGTCTCTGCAGACCATGGAGAACGAGGAGGGTCTGGCTCAGGTTCTGGAGCAGATGGGCGTTCAGAGCGGTCAGAACATCTCCTTCGAGAACTTCTGGACTCTGATCAACAAACAGGCCGTCCAGCTGTTCGACGCCACGCACAAGGACAAGAATGTCAAGTGTAGCTGCCTGCTGCAGTAAAACACCTGAGACCACCTGCATCAGCACCCACCTGAGTCCAGACACACCACACCTGTCTGGCCTCTTTTCGCTGACCACAGGGGGGCAGTGCAGGACCACAGTCAGACAGGAAGACACAGACACGAGAGGAAGAGTGTTACTGATGATGTTTGTGTTACACGGTCTGAATGTACGAAGGACCAAAGATGACTGTTAGAAAATTAAATGACAATATATGAATCTTTCAATAACTGGAACCAAATAGACTGGAAAATACCAATAATACCAATAATACCAATAATACCAATAATACCAATAATACCAATATAAAATGTAAAGAAAAAAGCATCAAGACATATTGGGAAATACATGTTAAACTTTGCAAGTAAATAAACTATATAAAAAATGGAAATGAATATATATGACACAGAACAAAGAGAGAGACAACAATAAATAAATAAAATACATGGAATAAATACATTTAAAAAAAATCTGAATAAACAAAATGCTTAAAGAATTGGGATTGGGAAAATAAAATGATATGCTAGAAATTTTTGACGTAAAAGAATTTAATATATTAAAAAAGTTCAAATGCAGCCAGAAGTCTATAACAATGTTAAACAGTGACATTAAATTAAGTAATTCATTATTATATTAATATTATAATAATTACACAAAGATATCAATGTATACGTGTATTAATGAATAAAAAGTTTAGTCAAGAAAACTAAATGACAAATGATTTGAAATTTGTTTGATTTTATCAAATGAATTTATCCAGTGTATTTCCAAATTTATTTACTTATTTTTCATTCATTTTTATAAATCATTTTCTTTTTCAGCATTCAGACCATTTCCAGGTGTGGAGGAAGAAATCAGACTTATTGGTAAAAATTACAATAAACCAGTGAACGAATCAACAACTGGAATTATTAAAAACACTTTACTCAGTAAAATAAAAAAAGCATAAATATATGAAATGCAAAGAAATGTGGAAATGAAGTTCTAATGAACACAAAGCTTCAGTAATTGTTTAAACACTTTGTTTTTCTTCATTTTCCAATGAGTCTGTTTTTGTCCTCCGTACAGGGCTTTGACAGAAACTGATATTTTTTTCTTGAATTTCAATCAGAGCAAAAACAAAACTTTAAATAAACATACTGATTATAAAAGTCAAAATATGACACAAGAAGTTTCTTTTACTAGTTAAAATGTTAGAAAACCTGTTTTCTTTGAAATACTTTTTAAGTCTATTTTTACCACATTTATTCCTGGAGTGGTTTTAATTCTTTCTTGGTTTACATTAGTAAAACTGTGCTGTGCTGTTACTAACACCTGACTTTTGTATTCAGTCTGAAACTTACTGACGTGTATTTTCACATTAAACCTTCTGATCATCTCTGATGATGCAGTTCAATGTTTATGTTCTCTGTGAATAAATCTATCACCACTTTTGATATAACAATGATAATGTGTGTTCAGTGAATTATTTATGTGGAGTCACCAAAGTCTGAATGTTTGTAAAAGTCAAGAAGACGATGACGGTTTTACGTTTCTGATGAAACAGAAACATTTGATCGTCATTCACTCCGACATTTAAACAGAAGCTTCAGCGCCATGTGTCGTTACCGATGAGTCTGTTTTTCAGATTTCTTCTGTTGGAATCAAAAAACCAAAACACACTTCATCTTCTGGGGATTTTTAGTTCACTACCGCCACCTTCTGATGTGTGAGCGCCACGTTCATTAGTAACAAACATAGTCATCAGTTCATCGGACGGACTCACTGGACTGGACATTGAGTCTAATTCCTACATATACTGTGAAGTAGGAGGTTGAGAAAGTGAACTGTCGTGGACATCAGGTCAGGAGACATGGAAGTGAAGAAGACATGAAACATCAATCCTCTGACAAAGGTTTATTCTCAAATAATAAAATGTATTTCAAACATGAAGGGGAAACACACACAAGTTGCTGCTTCTGAAAGGAAACAAACTGAGAACAAAAGAAAATGTCTTTATCCAACTAGTCAAATCATGAATCACACAGAAGATTTATCAGACTTATCAGATAATAAAAATCAATAAACTATAGATCAATCCCTGGTGTCTGAACTACACAGTTACACAGACGTCTCCCTCCTCGCAGTGACCTCCCTCCTTCTCCTCTCTGTGGAAAACCTTCCCATCAGGCTGCGTCTTCCATCTGAGCTTCACCTCCTTCGTCATCCCTCGCTCCTCCAACTTCTGCTGCAGCTGAAACACAGTTTAAAGGGACAGTTCTTGTTCTTTGACATAGGGTTGTGAGAGGTCGTCATACAGTATATAGTCAGTACATTACCCACATTATGATGAGCACGCTCCCAGTTAGGAGAGCCGACCGTCAGAGTGTCAGAGCGATGTGTTGCTATGGGCGGGGCCACGAGAAAAAACCTGTTTTACACACTGAAACAATCCAACATCTGTTTAAATGTAGTTTCATGTAGAATATTTTCCGCGGTTTATCTGCACCTACAGAGCGCACTGTATTAAGGCCGCTTTGTGATTCACTCAGCTGACCTGCGGCTGCGGCGTAAGTTTGCTCCATAGGTACACTTGTGCGTTGGAAAATGTCATGCCAAAGGTTTTATCTCATGGCCCCACCCACAGCAGATCATCACTCTGACACTCTGCCATTAGCTTTCCTAACTGGGACCACACTCATCATAATGTACTGTGGGTAATGTAGCGACTATATATGACGACCTCACACACCCCCCACGTCAAAAACCAGAACTGTCCCTTTAAGAAAGAGAGTTTCTTCATGCTGATGTGAGTGTGACTAGGGAAGCTTCTACTTTTTGGACAAAAAATGAATGGCATGTTCTCGCACATGGCCTAAGGTAGTCTCAATCGACACGCTTACGCTAAAAGTTATCCAATGGCGATGCAAAGTTCTTGCCAGAGGACACCCCATTGTGTTGAATGGACAATTGCTCTAGGTGGCGCTAGAGGGTTATTTGTCCATAACGAGGAAGTTTTGTCCAGTCCAAATGAGTGCCTATTGCACAAAAACCCCTAATAGTGTCCATTTGGAGGGCTTTTTGTCCACTTTGTGCTGATAGCCATTATTGACACTGATGACCATTTTATAAGCCTGAAAAGTCCCAAAATAGACTTGAAGTTATAGTGGACTGTCCACTTCAATTACCTTAACATTGGGTACAAGGTATTTGAATTGGACAGTGTCCAATGGCAATACTTTGTGTTTTTTAAATGACAAGATATTACCATTGGACACTGCCCATTTCAAATACCCTGGGCCCAATGATAAGGTATTTGAAGTGGACCATCCACTTCAAATACCTTATCATTTGAAGAAAATGGATTTTTGGCCCATTTCGTTGTCTTTGCCATCAGAGTGCTCAAAATTTAAGGTTCTCCGATTTGCCTCAAATTTGGTACAGTGAAAGGGCACCCAACAAGGACGAATACCCCCAAATATCAGCTTCCTAACCTAATTGGCTTTGGATATATGGCCATATAAATATCTAAATTACATGGTATTGCCATTGGACACTGTCCACTTCAAATACCTTATCATTAGGGCCAGGGTATTTGCAGTGGACTGTCCATTTCAAATACCCTGGGCCTAATGAACCACAGACCGGAACAATCTGGACTGAGACGGTCATGTGTGCAGGACGGTGATGACGGACCACATTCATCAGAGGAACACAGTATCTGAGAAGGAGCATCACGCTGAATGACTGAGTTCAAGTAGATGGAGCAGACACAGAGGTCTCTCTGAAGGCAGCATTGGAGACTGAATGTGATTCAGGAGCTCATGGGTCAACAGTGGAGACCAGAGAGCTGCTGTATTCTGGACCATCTGTGAAGGTTTCACTGTGTGTGAAGGGAGGTCCACCAGAAGGTGAGAGAGAACCATGGTCTGGTCTGGAGTGCCGAGTCAGGTAAGACCTGATGTTCCTGATGTTGTATAGAGCAAAGAGACATGACCAGGAGATAAGTACAACATGATCACAGAACGAGAGCTGGTCATCAAACATGACGCCAGGTTTCTCATGACCTTGGTTGTAGTGAGAGATGAAGAGGTGTTGATATCGTGATGAAGAGCCTGATTGACTGGGATCTGAGAGACAGGCTGGGATCTACACAGCTCACAGACAGTGAGGTCATCTGGCAGGAACCACAGGTATAGTCAGGTGTCGTCTGCATAGCGGTGATATACGAATTCGTGCGGGTGGATAATTGACCCAAGGAGGTGGTGTATATTGCAAAGATAAGGTGTCTCAGTACTGATCCTTTGGGCACTCCAGCGGGGAGGAGATGAGATGAGGACATTCATCCATTTGAGCTCCCAGTGAGATAGGATCTCCAGCTCTTGGCTCGTCCTCCTTGGACAACTGTTGGAGAGTCATCTGGGTGCCCCACACGAACTTTGGCGTCTCAGAGATGTTCCAAACCAGTCGTTTAGTCAATTTTATTGGCCTGTTAAGAAAATTTCTTAATATTGCTAAAAGGTTTTTATAATATAACTCCATCCTCTGTCTGAGTCCGCTAGTGTCTGCATGACCTAAATTCTAATGACAATATGTTTGTGACTCGGACTCTAGCGGACCCTCATGTACTCGAGGATGCAGCAACATTAGTAGCTGCACCTCATTAAAAGCTTTCACTATAACTGTGTGGTCCAGATCTCATACTTGCTGGTCCAGGACACACCCCCTGTCCTCTGACCTGCTGCTGGATGGAGTCTTGCAACGTTGGGTCATCCAGGTCTGCAGATCCTCTGCTCAGCCGAACCTTCACCGACCTCAGCACAGACTGTCTGACCTCTGCAGAGAACACAGACCCTGATGAGCACAGATCAGACCAGCTGAAGTCCGCAGGCTTGAACAGTGATGGAGGACTCACCTGTGTAACACACAAAGGCACTTGCTTTATGGCAGGATTGACTGTACCAGGTAGCTGGTAATGTATACGTCTTCGTTGTCACACAATATGTCAATCCAACAGGCATTCCAGGTCCCCAGGGCATGTAGGAGGCGTCACTCCCGTCTGACCACATCCAGACATATCTCTGCAACCCGATCCAGGCCATTGTCCCATTCACTGTCCCATTCACAGAGTCAGTGACGAACTGCAGCAGACTGGAGATCTCATCGTTGTCCTCTTGAATCCTGATGCTGCTCAGGTCTGTGTACTTGGACCGGCAGTAACTCTGAGCTTCAGACCAAGTCATTGGGTGCGACTGCAGGATGTGACGGTTAGCTGCACCTGAAAGAGAGATGAACACACTCAGACCACAGCAGTTATTCACTCTGATGAAATATTCAGTCAATGCAAAATCTGCTTATTGAGTCCATAACATCATACTTTATAAAAACAAAGAAAAAGAAAAGCTATTCTATTCAGGTAACACCAAGCATCAACCTCTGAGACTGAAACACGAAGCATCAACACTGAAGAACCAGAAGTTGCAGTTCCTCTAACAACTGGCTCCAACAGTGAGTCAGTCCCCATAAAATGTCCAACTTTACAGCAGAAATAAACATGTTTACAGCCTTTTCTTTTGCAGGGCTGGATCCCCACAGTCCAACACTTACCTCATATTTTACTTTGACTTAATCAAGCATTTTCTTAATTTCATATTTTAGACATTAAAAACAGGAATTGTAAAAAGAATTCACAAATGAATGATTGATCCATCAATAAAGCTGAATAAAATAAAATAAACAAATTTTAAATACATTTATTAATTCATGAATAAATAATTGAACTTGAAAAACTATTTGAAATGTGATACATTCCTGGATTCCCTCTTCAATTTCCATTTCCTTTTTCAGCTGCTTTTCTTTTTCCTATTAACTAATCGATTAGCTTAGTCATTTAGCTTCTCCTGTTAGCTTCTCCATTTAGCTCCATTTATTTTGATGGTTTGATAGTTCTCTCTTCAAGAATTTATAAATTAAGTATCAAACCATCAAAATAAATGGAGCTAAATGGAGAGGCTTATATTATACTTTATAAATGGTTTATCTAATGAATGTTGGATGCTGTTTTTGTAAATCCATTTTAAATCTGTATTTATTGATGGATTAATCGTTCATTTATACATTCTTTTTACAATTCCTGTTTTCAATGTCTAAAATATGAAATTGAGGAAATGCCTATTAGGGTCGTATTATTCCATCACAGGTGAGCTGTGACTGACTGTTATCTTCTTTAATAATCATTGTTCAGTGTATTTAATGTCAGGTGGTTTTTCAAAGTAAAATACTTCAGATCAAACCTGATGATCTCAGGTCTATTAGAGACTCACCGCTGTAACAGGAGAAGGGATGCTTATCTTCACAGTCTCTGACAGCCCAGCGTCCCTGTCCAGATATGGCCACACACTTCCCGTCCCTCGGCTCACCCTCATCCCAGCTGTTGTTCCACAAGGTGTCCATCTGAACGACATATTCAACCTGAGACCATCTCCAGTTGCTTTGGTGGAGTCCGATCCAGTACGTCCCCATCTTCGCGATATCGCTGACTTCAGCGTTGCTGGCTGAGTCAACAATGGTGGCGAGGTCTTTGTAGTGCTGTCTGCAGTAACTCCTAGCTTGGTGCCAGCTCACAAACTTAACGACGAGATGAAAACGTTTGACCATATAGTCAGTCTGAAGACAGACCGACACATAACCTGAGAGACGACAGAGGAGACAGTCAGGAGGAGTCTCTGCAAACACAGTGACTGTAGCTTCATATGACAAGCAGGTTTCACAGAGAAGAGACCATCCAGGACCAAAACACCATCAACAACAGACTGTGGTACAATGATTTCTGGGTAAATTAAGACATTTTTCAAAATGGCTGACCGAGGAGATCCAGGGTCTCAGGATAAAGCTGACTTGTGCAGTGTGCAGAAAATAAAAGTGAATGAACGTGTTGGATTACAGACCTGACAGCAGCAGGAGGACCAGACCGCTTCTCTTCATGACTGCAGCTGTCAAACATCAAGACACAGAATTTAAAAAATCACAGTATCAGCAAAGATCGAAAAACCAAAGGAGGCTTTGTCTTTTATGAAGCTGATTTCACAGAAATATGAAATGTAAGTGAATCTCAGACTGAAACCTTGACCAAAATAAAAGAGCTTTAACTGAGAGTAACAACACTGCAGAGTGAGTTACACACAATAAGACAGACGAGCCTGAAGAGAAGGAAACAAGAACATACAAATCTATACACAGGTATGTGCAGGTGTGACATATGAGGTATTGAGATACAGTAATAATTGAAGAGATAATCTAACAGATAACTAATGAGATAAAGCTGAGTTTAGAAGTGTAACGTACCTCAGTCAGTCAGTCAGTGTTGATCAGTCTGATCACCTGGTCATCTTATATTGATCAGTTTTCCCTCCTCCCATCACGTCCACGGCTCAAGTCAAAACACGGTTACACTACAAGTCAGGCATGTAGACACTGACCTGAGTCAAAGTACTGGTCTTCATTAGAGTCCATTTGTTTGAGATGATGAGGGTGATTCCTGACAATGATTTATTCAAATACACAGTCAGTGCAGATGTAAAGCAGCAGGTCAAACTGACCTCTCTTACACAAACCAGATTATAAATGACAGCTGAGTGAGGTCACAGCTGTCAGAGTCTGGACGTCACAGAGAGAGAGACAGGCCTCAGGGTTGGGTAACCAGATATCCCCGTTTTCCAGGGACAGTCTCCGTTTTTGGTGGCATGTCCCTGGTTGTAATTGTACAAATTGTAATTTGTAATTAGAGACAGACATCTAGCGTCGCGCTTGTTTTTGCCAATAGAGGGGGCTGACTGCTAGCTATAGCAGCTTCAGAAGTGAAGCTAAAATCATCAAAATAAAGGTATTTTCTTTTTTTTGTTGTCTCTAGGCAGAGGAAAGGTTAGCTGGCTCACTCATTGGTTTAGAGTTCATAACCGGGCATTAAACTGATGAAAACAAACATACTTCAAACAAATTTCACAACTGCTTCAAAAGTAGGGAGTCGTCATTTGATCAGTCAGCCCTCACAATAGTTTATTACAACTCAAGAGTTACCATGGTGAAGGAGTTTTTGCTGTTGGCAGAAAAAAACTCTCTCTTCGACTGCCCCCTACACATGCCTGTGGAGCAGTCCCTATCAGTGGTTGTAAATATTTTCTCTGAAGCAGATATCAAAACTATAACTCACCCAAAAGCATCCAATTATTAACTGGCAAAAATCATCAAACAGTTTTAGCTTTAATAGGCTGGAATACTCCAACAGTATTTTGAACTCAACAAACTGAGTTCAACATAACCTTCTGTGTCCACAACAGGTCAACCTTGCGATGGAGCGGAACCTCCCCCCATACCTAACGTTTTAACCTTCCCCTGTGGGACTGCTTTCCTCCTCAGACATCATCCTCCACCTCATTCTCTGATTCCTCCGCCACGTCCAATTCCAAAAGGGATTGACGTTTATCCATCATGATACACATTTGACCGTAGGGAGGAGGTGCTGGAAGGGTGTCTTTCTTCGTGAGGGTTGCAACAATAGCTTTTTCAGTACTTTTTCAAATACGAGCACAAGGGATACAGCTACAACCACAAAAGCTAATACTACAATAATAACCACAAACGAAGTAAGCATGGATAATATGATGTTCTTATACTTGCCAAGCACCCGGTCAAACCAGTCGTCCAGGGGGTTGTCGATGCCAGAGTGTTCATGCATGGTGGCTGAGAGGGCTCTAAGTTCAGCCAGGGCTCGAGTCACTGCATCTCCATCCATCAGGAGCTGTGTTATTTGGGTTTGCCACACAGCATTCCTGGCCAAACAGGAAACAAGCACCCCCTTTTTCCACTAAAAGATAATCTAAAGCCATTCTATTCTGTAATGTCATCAGGGAAGTAGGAGCCAGTTGTTCAGCTAAACCAAAAATAGCCGCATCAGTTGCATTGCTTAGCTTCAAAACATTATAATGAACATAATTTATTCTATCAACATTTTTATTGACAGTGAGCGGGAACAATGCAGAAAATAGAGGAAAACTTTCAATCCCTGCAGCCACTTGATCAGTTAATTTGTATTCATCGGGCACACCTCGTGGCACACCTATACTATCTATGTAAGTTGGGTTGTTTCTTTGGAACTCTTGTTGGAGCGTGGTCAGAGAGGAGCCCAGGTCACGCCTCTTTCGTTGAGGAGCATCCTCTAAGGAGACAATAGTCATAGGTACAATTAAACGTACATTTGCACATACTCCATTCCAGTTGGTGGGCAGAGAGAACTGGCAAAAATCATCAAACAGTTTTAGCTTTAATAGGCTGGAATACTCCAACAGTGGTCAAAATACATGACTGTCCCCCCTCCCTTCCTTATTTTGGCACTATATTGATCGCCAAACTGGAGACGCCCCTGGTTTTCATTTCAGAAATCTGGTCACCTTACCTCAGGGACGTTTAACTCTCTTGCTCTCACAAACAATTAAAGATTCAGAGAGTTTTTCAACACCAGGTTCATTTCTCCTGAAATCAAACCCGGAACATCTGGAAACCTTTCACGAGAGTTTCAAACAAACTTCACAGCGTCTCTTTATCTCTTTATTTGATTAATGTTGTAATTATGATAATCCTGATGAAGGAGCGTTGAAGCTTGACTCGTCCTCTAAACAAATCAGTGTCAAGCTCTGTCACATTTTATATTCAAATCACAAGTTTTCATTTACACATGTAATGAACGTTTTGGTCAGAGCAGGATAGTAACTTACATGACTGATGGTCACACCTCTAAGTCTGGAAGTCCTGCCTTAACCCCTCCCCTATGTTGCTTTAACACTGCCATACATTAACAGTAGTAATGACTGTCAGTCCTCAGGATCAACACTGGTTCAGTGGAGCTGAAGTTCACTGAACTCTCACTGTCATGTCAATGAAATCGGTTTGAGATAGAGATAGAGCTTTTCTTCACCTGTCCAGTGTTGGTGAGTCTGTGTCCACTCTAGTCTCAGGTTTCTGGTCTTGGTGACAGGAAGTTTACCCTGACATGGTCTTCTGCTGTTATAGGTTAGACGTGTTGTTCACTTTTAAGCTTTTCTGCTCAGCACAGTTGTAAAGAGTGGTTATCTGAGTGACCATAGCCTTTCTGTCAGATCCAAACAGTCTGTCCATTCTCCCTTGACCCCTGACCTCTCTCATCAACACAGAGTTGCTGCTCACTGGATGCTGTTGTTGTTGTTCTGTTCTGTTTGGCTGGACACCATTTTTTCATGGACATGATAGGTTCTCTTTAGAAAAATAGGTGGAGCTTCGACCTAAGAAGGAGGGATGGCTGACTGTAGGGAGGTGACAGACTTCTGAATTGACCATAAGTTTGCTGTACAAACAATTTTAGCAGGGAAATATAAGAAAGAAAGAAAGAAAGAAAGAAAGAAAAAAGAATCTTTCTTTCACTGCTTGGACCCCTAATAATAACGACAACAGAAACAATATAAATACAATATATAAACATCAAATAAATATACAATATATATATATATATATATATATATAAATATGTAATATGTATGGAAGAGGATTAGGGGCACACAGAAAAAAATGTGGCCCTAATCCTCTCCCATAATGTATATGTATATTTATATGTAAAATGCTATGAAATAGGGTGTGTGAATGTATAAATGAATATATAGATTAAAAAGCACATGTATTTGGACCCTTTGGAATCTGCCCATCATCTCTTGCAGCGTCTGTTTGCAGTGTCCAGTCTTCAGCCACGAGGTGGCGGTAATACACCTGGTTGATGGAGGTCCGCCGCCAACAGAAGAAGAAGAAGAACCAGAGTAAGAAGTTGAAGAAGAAAGAAAAAGTAGAGTCGTCGTGTTCGCACCGATCAAACGGCGTTATTAAACTTTAACGAGGATTTTTAGTTTGTAGTAGAGGTTTGTTTTTATCTGGTTCGAGTTTCCCGCCGGTGGAGAGGTACCGGAGAGGAAGAGGAGGAAGGCGCGGATTTAACGGTAACGGACCGACACACAGGGCTGAGTTAACCCGTGTTATCACATCAACTGTCACTGACTCGGTTTTTACAGACGTTACGGCTTTTAACACAAAATGTCTCCGAAACATCACCGAGGACTTCCGAGGGTCTAGTTCCTCAGGCGCCGTTAACTGAGCGCCGGTGTAAACCGTCCTCTGTGACCCGGGATTTAATTTCCTGTGATTGTTGTGAGTGTGTCGGACATCCCGGGTAAATCCTCGACGCTGTTTCAAACATCTGTTTTAATTATGAAGAGAAGAAGAAGTTTTCACTGCTTCTTCTTCCTGTTTGAAGTTTTTATTGTAGTTTATCATAATATTCATAAAAGCGATTCTCTTCATACTTTCATATCAATTCAATTCAATAAACTATTTGTCGCCACGAGGCAATTTAAAAGCCACAAAGATTAGAGATTAAAAAACACACAAATACACAACGAAGAACACACAACCAGAGCAACACACACTGTTGACATGAAGCAAAAACAATTACATGAAGAAACAGCATCTGTCTGTGTCTCTCTCTCTCTGTCTCTCTCTGTCTGTCTCTCTCTGCATTATAAATATACTAAATGTTAAACCTATAAACTCAATGTATCCATGTCTGAAGTTAGTTTTGCATGTGAACCAGCCTTTGCAGGAGGAAGTTTGCCGTGACATGTGACATGTGACCTGGAAGGAATAAAGTTTTTACTTTTTAAATGGTCTGAGGATCCCTGGAGATAACGGTGTGAGGAGTTTGTGTGAACGGACCCAGGTTGGAGAAAGATGGGGGATTTTTGGAAATCTGACACCATCAGGTTTGGGGAATCTCGGGAAAGGCTGGACACCATTGTTTCCATGGACATGATAGGTTCTCTTTAGAAAAATAGGTGGAGCTTCGACCTAAGAAGGAGGGATGGCTGACTGTAGGGAGGTGCTCAGGCACTCTGTTTTCAGGTTATTCTCTTGAAGAATGAACTCTATTGCATTGAACTGTGTCCAGCTCTGTGAGTTCTTCTCTTTGACTCCAGTAGATGTGCAGCTGGAGTTGGTGAAGAGCTCCAGACCTGGACTTCTGACCTCCAACATCTCTCTCTCTCTCTCTCTCTCTCTCTCTCTCTCTCTCTCTCTCAGGACATGAGTTCTCCTCTCAACATGGAGACAACAGGAGATCCAGGAAACAGCCTCAGTCAGCAGGTAACACAGGGGGGTCCTGGGTCCTAGTCCACCGTGGGTTTAAGTCGGAGGTTTCAGACTCTCAGACAGGGACCAGGTCTCCTGAGACTGACAGGGCCGCCTGCTTCCTGTCTCACCTGGACAATGTGACATGTGTTAAAGGAGGAGACTCTGACATCTGACCTCTGACCTGTGCAGGTTCATGAACACGTCTCCATCTGTCTCCTCAGTGCTGCAGCTGTGTCTCCTCCTCGTCCAGATGTTGGTGTGTGGACTGTAGAGAAGCTCTGTGTCCCGACTGTGTGGTGGCTCATCGCAGAGTCACTGTGACCAGATCCCATCGGATCCTGAACCAGAAGCCAGACCAGTCCACTACAGACCAGTCCACTACAGACCAGTCCACCACAGGTCAGTCCACCACAGGTCAGGACACTTTGTGTTTTCATGTGGTTGCAGGATGTTAACGATGTTAACGATGTTTATCTGTTTATCTTCTCAGGAGACGTCTCGGCTCCTCCCACCAAGTTCTGCAGACATCACCCATCTGAGCCGCTCAAACTCTACTGTTTCACCTGTTACCAGTACACCTGTAGAGACTGTCAGCTGATGGCTCACATGAACCACAGGTACACAGTAAACAGAAAATATGTAGAGTGTGATGTCACCGAGCTTTAAGCCCGCCCCCTTCTAACACCTTTACATGCTGTTGTCTCTGCTCTGACTCCGCCCCCTCCTCAGGTATCAGTTTGTCGCTGAAGCGCTGGCCAATATGAGGAAGCAGCTGGAGGCCTGGGTTCAGCCAATCAGAGCGCAGAGAGAAACAGTGAGGCGCAGCCTGCAAGACATGGAGACCAGGTACAGTCTGAGGAGAGTCCTCCAGACCTCCCCGGGTCTGTGACGTCACAGTCTGAACCCCCTGAATAAAGACCATGATGCTTTGCTGCTGTGTTCCAGGCTGCGGGACGTCGCCCGGGGGGAGATTCAGCTGAAGACGGAGCTGCAGAGTTCTTATAAGATCTGTTCTGAGATCCTGCAGAAGAGGATGAGAGACATCCTGGAGGAGGTCAAGGTACTGTCCAATCACTCTGCTCATGTCCTGGTGATGTCAGAGCACTTAATTGGCAACTATTATAATAATCAATTAATAATTTTTGTCTTTTTTTATGCAAAAAAAAAAGAAAAGCCATTTCAGCCTCTTACACAATAAACTGAAAATCTATGGGTTTTTGACTGTTGGTCTGTGACATCAGAACTTTTCACTCTGGTTTGATGTTTTATTCACTAATTAATTAATCAGTTAATTAGAAAATCAGTTGCAGCTTCAGTCACAGTGTTTCGCCCTCTGAAGTCTTTGTTCAGCTGCTGAGAAATGTTTCCTGTTACACAGCAGGTTTTCTGACCTTGAGAAGCAACACTGACTCTCTCTCTCTCTCTCTCTCTCTCTCTCTCTCTCTCTCTCTCTCTCTCTCTCTCTCTCTCTGAGCAGAAGGCGTCTCAGTCAGAGTGTGTGTGGATCCAGAGGAGGATGGAGAAGCTGAAGAAGCTGCAGGAGAAGCAGCTCTTACTGACTGAAACCACAGACAAGGCCAGAAACATCCAGGAGCTGTCCGCTCTGTTCACCTGGTCGGCACATGTGAGACCCTCACCTGCTGCTCAGCAAACCTGTCACCACCACACCTTCTGGACAGTCCAGCCAGTTTGACCTGGTCTTGGTATTTTCTTTCTCCAGATCAAGTGTCAGCTGAAGGATCTTCAAGACCAGGACCTGTCTCCCCCTCAAACCATGTCCCAGCTGCAGGTCCTCGTTGACGAGAAGTCTATGGGAAACCTTTTAAACTTTGGTGAGTTGGAGACGCTCCTGCTGCAGGGTTCTCTTGTGTCTTTGCTCTTTCAACAGTTGTATATGAACAAAGTTCCTCCACCAGTCAAAAGTTTTAGATCGCTGCCATTTTCCCTCTTTTTACTGAAAGTTTAGCAGCTGAAGTTCAGTGAGAAACTTTTGGGTGAAGTTGCCAAAAAATAAAAAACAAACATCGGAGTTGGAACATTTTCAGGGATGAAGTCAGAGATTAACGGCTTCCCTGCAGCAGTGGAAGTGAATGATGGTGGATGATGACAAACGGTGTCACTACACCCTGTGATCATCACCATGACAACACTGTACTGCAGGAAGTAGGACTGTGTCCTGCTGGCAGAGTGGAAGGAGACAGACAGACTGGTTGGTCAGGACCAGAGCTGGTCTGGATGAACTGGACTGAAGGTGGAAGTGACACGAGTGTGAACTTCTGAACTTGTCTGATTTCTGTTGTAGTGAGAAGGACCAGGAGTCACACATTTAGATTCACTGATTCCTTCTTTATTTCTTCTTTTCTTTAATTTATGAGACATTCAATTCAGTTTCAATAAAAAGTTCTCAAACTTCAGACGCTGGTGTTTCACCGATTCATTAATGTGTTCAAACAGAAACAATCTATTGAGCTTCGACAGGAAGGGTTTTGTTTTTCCTGAGTGACATCTCTGTGAACGCGTCGCCTTATTCAGCAACTAGCAGTTTTCATTATACGAATAATGAAATCAGGCTTCTGCCAGTTAGAGATCAAACTCACTGTCAACAGTATGAAGACCTGCAACGATTCATAATAATAATAATAATAATAGTAATGAACTTTATTTGTAGAGCAAGATGCAGCTTTTTGACAAATATAAAAGGTGGACTTAAAACAGAAATCATTAAAACAATAAGAGCTGATTAAAAGCTAAATTGAAGAGGTGTGTTTTCAGTTGTCGTCCACTGAGCCCGTCCCTCTAATATTTCTTGGGGTGCTCCACAGTTCAGGTGCATATTAATGGTAAAGGCTGCTTCCCTAAATTAGTCGATTAATCGATGAGTTGATCCACAGGAAATTAATCAGCAACAATCACGTCATTGTTTTAGTGTTTTTTAAGCAAAACATTTGACATTTGAAGATGTCACTTTGGTCTGAAGGAAATTATAACAGGCATTTTATTTTACTATTTTCTGGCATTTTTTTTTTAAACAAAAGGATGAATTGATTAATTGAATAAAACACCAGAAACTGGATTGTTGTGTCGTTAAAATCCATCACTTCAACCACATCAGTGGTTTCACTGTGTGATTAAATGTCGTCAGCCCGTCATCAGTTTGTCGCTCTGATGAGTCTCTATGGGCTGTTCCTGATGACGTCACGTATTAGTTGCCTTTTGATTGGCTCTGAATGTCCTGATGTGAAGATGATGAACTGTAAAGTGGCAGTTGATTGGTTATCGGCCGCTGACGCTTCATTGTTTTTGTTCCAGGTGAACTTAAAGTTACATGGATCCCTTTCTCTGTCTCACAAACCTCCAATCAGAACACTCCAGACACCTCCAGCCCCTCCCCCGCTGTCACCCCTCCCACCTCCACCTCTCTGGCACCTTCCTGCGAGACCCTTCCCCAAACTAGGACCACTAATGACACTGCCTCACCTGTTCCAGTACAGCATCCCCCTTCGTCTTTGTCATCCTTGTCCTCCCCCCCCCCTCCCAAATCCAGGACCTCTACGTCCAATCAGTCGTGTCCTCCTCCCTCCTCCTGCCCGAACCTCAACCAACCCACTCAACCTGTTCAGTCTCTGTCCTCCTCAACTCTGAGGTCAGTGTCTCACCAGAAGACAAACCAAAGTCAAGTGATTCTGACGAAGCATCAGGTCCAATCAGCTTGTACCTCAGTGAGTAAGCAACCTATCAGGTCTGGTTTGTCCCTGTCCAAAGCTCTGTCTCCATCCTGTAGTGTTCAACTCGTCCAACCGGCTCTAGTTCTGAACCAGCCCACCAACATTCCCCTGATCAAAACTCAAATTCAGACTGTGTACCAGGTGTCCGGCAGCTCCGTCACCCTCTACCCAGTCATGCCTCAGTTGCCTCAGTTGCTGCTCTGTCAGACTGTTTCCTGCCCTCCGGTCTCAGGAAGTTGTCAAAATCTTCCTGCAGCCTCTGCAGAAAACTCAATCTCTGTTGGACAGAGCCACATGGTGGCGCCAAACCACTGTACTCTGACAGATGAAAGCTCTGCTGCGCACACTGGACTTCTTGCTTCCCAGCGTCTAATCTGTGATAGCGCACCTTATCCGTCCTCTCTGAAACACCAGCCGCAGAGTCCAGTGGTGATGGCGGAGGCGGACTCTGCCTGTGATCACAAAGTGCCAGAGGAGGCAGCGAAGCCGCATGAAACCGCAGAGAACAGACCGACCTCCACCGTGTCTGAAGGAACCAAACCTTCAGGGAAACCGTCTCTACCTAAAACAGAAGACAAAGATACCGAAGGACCGAGCGTTGGTGGTCTCAGTCCCTCCACAGAGAACAAACCGACCTTCATGGTGTCTGAAGGAACCAAACCTTCAGGGAAACCGTCTCTACCTAAAACAGAAGAGAGGGATACTGAAGAACTGAGCTCTGTGATTGGACAGCAGAACTTCAATCTGAGGCGACGTCAGATCAAAGTGTCTCTGTTCAGATTGCAGTTGTCCCAGCCCCGACCTAGATGTCCCCGACCTGGTGTCAGTCTCCCTGTAGAGAATATACCGACCGTCTTGGTGTCTGAGGAGCCCAAACCTTCAGGTAAACCTTCTCCACCTCAAACAGAAGACGGAGATACTGAAGGGCCGAGCTCTGTGATTGGACAGAAGGACTTCAGTCTGAGCCAATATCAGCCTAGAGTGTCTCTGTTGAGACTACCTTTGTCTCTGCCCCGACCTGGACGTCCCCTCCCTGGTTTCATTCTGATCCCTGGAGACACTGAAGATGAGGTTTACGTGGAAGAGGTTGGTGAAGACTCTCAGGTACGAAGTTGCATGTTAATCATGTTTAGTCCAAACAAACTTGACAAAGTAGGTTTTAACAACGGGGTGAGACGACTGTTGCTCTGCTGTGTTTCAGTCCTACGTTGATGATGTCTCCGATGACTTAGGGGATTCCACGGACCCTCCGTCGTCTCCGTCGTCTCCATCGTCTCCTGTGACCCTGCAGATACTTTCCTGCTCTGCTTGTGGATCTGCTCACGCTTCAATAATCTGTTTGTCCTGCGGCCGAGGATACCACAGAGACTGTCACCTTCCTCCTGTTGGACCTGACGTTTGGTAAGAATGACTTTACCACATGTTGCTGTGTACCACAGGAGCTAGAGCGCTTCGTCCACTAATCGGAAGGTCTGCGGTTCGTTTCCCAGCTCCTCCAGCGTTCATGATGAAGGGAAAATACTGAACCCAACACTGACCCTGATCTAACAGCAGTGTCTGAGGGTGTGTCTGGTAGTAAAGCGCAGTGTGAATGGGTGAATGTGGCTTGTAGTGTAAAGTGCTTTCAATTGACAATAAGGCTAGAAAAGCTCTATATAACACTGTCCATTTACCAATCAATACTTAATATTAATATCTTAATGTTACACTTTGAAATGTGTCTTGAGGTGCACCAGGGCACCACATTAACAGCTTTTAGTTTTAAACCCATCACTCTTGCTTTGCTAACGTCTGGTGTTTTTAATCGCTGCTGACCCTGTTTTATTTTGAAAACTCTGGGGTTATGTTTTATTTTGAAAAGTCCGGGATTGCGTTTCAGTCTGGATGGACAGAAACTGAGACTTTTGGAAACAATGACACAGACGCCCACATTCGCCTCCTGATTGGATCTTCTCAGTCTCGGGTTTGGGTTAGCACATGCTCAGTGTACCTGAATGCTCCCGTGGCTCAGGAGGTAGAGTGGGTCGTCTTCTAATTGGAAGGTCGGTGGTTCGATTTGATTGGTACAAACATTCACTTGGACTCGAGGATGAACTGGTAAGATTTTGGTGGTCAAAGGTCAAAGGTCATGGTGATCTCACAAAACCTGTCTTTGGCCATAACTCAAGAATTCATCCACTAATCATGACACAATTTAACTCAAAAGTCTATAAGAATAAAATGATATTTTATATCCAAAAGGTCAAAGGTCAACTTCACTGTGACATCTTAATGTTCTGGTCATTATTCAACACTGTAACTCTTGAAGGAGAGACTGTGACCATGTTTCCTGACACTTGTCCGGTTGATGGAGGAAACAACAGACGGAGGAGATTCTAGTTTCTGCTAAAATAAAATCACTTTATGTCCCAGTTACAGAAACTTGGTTAAATCACTTTCATTCAGACTGTCCTCACACTTCACCTCTGTCCTCTGTGTCTTACAGGTCAGAGTGGATCTGTTCGTTGTGTCAGGACCTGTCCGACCCCTCGGACCCCTACAGGTCTGAGAGGCCACAGAGTCCACAGAGTCCCTGCCTCAGTCTGCAGGACCAGAGGGTCAGAGTCCTCACACACACAAACATAACATTGATCAGTGATCAGTTAATTCGCTCTCATACGTTCTCTACTTTCTGTGTTTCAGAGGTGCGAGAGTCTGCTGCTGCAGCTGAAGGTTGAAGGCTGCACTCCACTGTCTGAGGTCAGTTTATCCAGTGTCCAGTAGCTAACGTTAGCTTAGCTTACATATTAACAATGAACAATAAAATCGCAATACGTCATTTCTTAACAAACATCATCACCAACAGACGTGCCATCAAAGACCTGAACCAGGTCCTGTCACTTCAGATCTTACAACTGTTAATGTGGCGCACGTTACTGGTCGCCCAAAAAAACAGCTCATAGAAGACTGCATGCTCTTACTTTGAAAAGTGGAAATGGCGTTGTTAGTAGTTGATCACGTGTTTTCCGAAAGTGGCCGAGTGATACGAGTGGAGTGACGGAGAGTTTGTCTCAAAACTAAAATGTGTAAAATTCAAATCCGCAAGCGAAGAACTGAGATCCACAAATAAAAAACTGATTCACAAATGTTTGAAAGTTGTAAATGTTCAGAAGATATTCACGAATTAATGAATGAATTGAATGTGTTCACAGATGTGGTTTACACATTTCTGTTTGGTATTTGTGGAAGGTGTTTTATATTTACACGAACAGTCCACCTCTATAATCCAGTGTGTGATTCCTGCCACTCTCAGATCTATCCATCTGAGGGTGCTGTTCAGACACTGAGCCCTCATCAGCTGATACAGCTCCAGGCTGTGACCAATAGAAAACCGTCCTCTTCTGTCTCGTCTCATAAATGAAGACAAACCATCATGTCCACAAAATGTCTGAATCTGGTTTTCAGAAAATCTTCAGCTGATGTTCCCGCGTGGGACTGTCAGTACATCTGGTGTCACAGTGAAGGCAGCAACTGCTCTTATTGTGAAACACATACAGGAAGTGATCGGTCTTTATCCTGCACTAACAGCAGGAGACATGGACTCTCAAACCAGCAGAGCTGAGACTTTGATCTCAGGTTCAGATGAGACTGGAAGTAGTTTGTCCAGCAGGTGGCGCTGCAGCAGAGTGAAGCACACACACACACACACACACACACACACATACACACACACACACACTCACACACTCACTAATGTTTGTGTTTGTTTACAGGTCGGTGATGTTTGGTCTCATCTGACGTTGATCTCGGAGCGTCTGACTCTCCGTCGCTCTCCTCATTATCAAACAGCTGCAGAGTTTCTGTCGGACATCTGGCATCTGTTCAAGGAGATATCGTCCTCTCAGGTGTGTCCACCTGCTCATTCACTCATGATGGTTCATGTATGGATTTCTTCCTCTTATGCTCTAGGGCTGGCCGATACGGCCATATCAGTCGATATCAATTAATATTGTTATCTCGATAAATGCCTCATCGTTATTTCTTTCAGCTTTAGAGGCTGATTTTTGCTCCTGAGTGAAAGTTGAAGAAACCAAACTGTTTTAAACTGTTCTGTTTAGTCAGAACACGACAAACACTTTCCAAACAACAGAACATTTAAAAACTCTGAGGTACAAACATTCAAAATATGATCAAATATGCATGATTGATTAAATCAAAATCCTTCTCAGTCCTTTTTACTCAGCAAAGGAAATAGAAAATGAGGTTCTGCAGTGTGACACGGCGCATGTCACATGATCAGACTGAAAAATACATGAAAATAAATAAACAGACAAAGATTTGCACTTATTTGTTTACTCCGCTCCGACTTCAAGCCTGTCAGCCGCTGCGTCGTCTGTAAATAAAATCACACGTTTATGATCTCATTTGAAGATCTTTGTGAACAAGGAGGTTCCACGACCTCACCATTCACCTGTCTGCTGCACCAGAACCAGAACCGTCACACATCAGCTTCAGTAGCTCAGTGTGAACCCAAGTCCTTTCTACCTTACAGACTAAATGCTCAGAGTCAGAGCTCAGTGTTTATTGGTGAGTGGTTGGTGATTGGTCGTCTGACCTGTCAATCATCCTTCTCTTGTTCTTACAGGACGACCTCGTCCTGAACAAACTGCAGGAGACGTTTCACCTCAGGTTGAAGGAGACGTTCAGTTCAGAGCTTCATCATCCACCTGTGACAGCACCCAGCTCAGAGAGGGGGGAGAGGTCTGCACACCTCCACCAGGACCCCCCAGACACAGACACCAACCAGTCCAGACTGAAGGAGACCAGGAAGAGGCTCAGAGACTTCCTGACTCTGATGGGACCCTCAGGAGCCAAGAGGACGAAGACGGACAAGATGGAGGAGTGAGACGGGAGAAAACCCGGAGTGGATTATTTAGTTTAATGGGATTGAGCTGAGCTGACGACCAGGAAACCCCGAGGTGGATTCTGTGTTGTACAAACTGACCTGGACTCGTGGATCAGGACTGAGGGATGAGGAAGTTTTGATTCGTTCATCCAAAGTTTTTCTGTCACTGTTTCTGGCAGTTATTACTCTGAGACCAGAGGTCATGTGACTAAGACCATTCTGATCCTGGTTCAGACTTCCTGGTCTAAACTGGTCGAAACCCACAAACCACGAGGCGGGAAATCTGTCAGGTGACGTCAGCAGCTTCTCTTGTTAAATCGCAGCTCGTTAATCACAGCAGGTTCATCAGATCAATATTATTTCACTGAGTCCAGATGTTCAGAACTGAGACTGTGAGAAGATTGATCTTTGATCTGTGGCTGATTGATCGATCAATAAATAAAGAGTTTGACAACAGCTAGAACAGTTCACTCCTTTGCACAAACACACACTGTGACAGTGAGGTCACATGATCCTGAACGTCACATCAGGGCTGATCCAGATGTTCCAGTGGTGAAGTGGAACCAGTTGATTAAGTATCTTTTCTTCGACCTCACGACACGTCAGAGGAAAACATCCTCGACTGAAACTTTAATAATCACTAATCACTAATGATCAATGAAACGACACGACAGGAAGCAGAACTGCTCTGATCTGTGGACGCCAAAATAAAACGTGCACATCTGTCTGTTCACAAACACATGAGGCTTTACTTGTATTTAATTGTATCATTGATTTTTTCTCTGATCATAAACTTTGTGTTAAATCTTTAAGAAATTTCGTTCATCCCCCAAAACAGAGACGACAGGCTGCTGTATATCTCCAGTAGTTTCTGTAGAGTCTTTTCCTGTGGTCTTCCTCCTGTTTCCTTCTTTTAAACGTTTTTCTTTTCGTCTTGTTCCATATTTTATATCTTTTTTTGAACATATTTGATGCTTCAGTCAACGGTGGGATTGACTGTTTACTGTCGCTGCAATTCTTTTCCAAATCAGGTTTCTCTCAGGTTTCTTCTTATTGTTTCACTTCGCTGAATTTCCAAAGTAAAACTTCCTGTAACTGTTGAATTCTTCCTAAAGATGAACATGTTATGCTGAGGGTGAACAGAGGTCAGCGGTTGCTCAGTCTGCCATTTTTATTATTTTGAAAGTCTTAATTTACCCAGAATTCATTGTACCACAGTCCGATTTAAAATAGTCGAGAACTAAACTGATTTGTGCAACGTATGAATTTAGACCAGCTGACCTTTGACCTCCAATAAGTCGATCAACAGAAAATTAAACAGCAGCTGTTTTGATCATGAATAATTTTTCTGACTGTGAGACACAAACTGCATGTTAAATATTTATAAAACATGAAGAAGAGTTGGTTATTGTAGAGACATGTTCTCACACAAACCACCTCAGAGTCATTATTGATTAACTATTTTGATTGGTTGATTAATCAGATGTTCATCCGTTTCCCAGAGCGTAAATAAATGAAAGTGAAGTGACGTTTATTTGTCGTTGCTCCTGATAAAATTAATCTTTTTGTTTCTGTCTGAAATTTAAATCAAGTAAAACAAACTGACACTAAAACTGAACCTGCTCCTCACAGCCAGCAGGGGGCAGCACGTCAATGCTGCCGTGATCACACAGACACACAGACCTCAGGAGGATCATCATCATCATCATCATCATCATCTTCATCAACTCAAACTGTGTGAAGTATTCAGTCTTTTATTTATTTCCATAAAATTCAAAATACAAATCTAAAGATTCAAAACAAACAGGAAAAAGTCGAGAATCAGAATTAAACTAAAAACAAATGTTTTCATGAAAAGAGTTTTAATCTAAAGAGACTGAGACTTTGTTCACGATCGTCTCCAGTGTTTATCAGTCTCTGCTGAGACCAGATCCATGTTCAAGGACCTAAAGGGGGACCAGGATTTACAGGTTTGGTCGTTAAAAGCTCTGTAATCCAAGAAAAGGATCTGAAACCAGCTCTGAAAACTACAGAAGCCAAAGGCCTGAGACCAGGACCAGTGTGAAGCCCAGCAGCAGAGTTCTGGATCAACTGGTAACCCTAACTTAAACCTGACTCTAAACTGGACCTGTTTCTAACCTGGACCCTCACACTCTGTGATCTCAGTCCAGCTTTGATCGTCACCACTATTGACTCAACATCCACCAATCAGACAGAAGAGAAAAACTGACCAACCACAGACTGAGGGGTGTGTCTGACAGCTCTGAGACCCCGCCCACACAGTCTATATAAAGCCCAGAACCTGAACCAGGACATGCAGACCTTGCAGAAGCTCACAGTCCAGTGTTTGCAGACCAGTCCTCAGTCCTGATGGTGGTGGAGCTGAACAGCAGGGTGGAGGTGATGGAGGGAAACCAGCAGAGAGTGGAGGCCAACATCCTGCTGCTGGGGGCTCACAACGTCGGCAAGTCTGGTACGAGATCTTCACATCTGACAGGTTTCCTGAGGGAGCGGGAAGTGTCCATCAGATGCCACTTTACACCATATTTCATATTAATTCATTTAAAATTAAACACTATTTAATTAAAATATATAAATATACAAAATATGTAAAGTCTTCTAGTTTCTGTCTGAAGGTTCAGTTTTGATGTTCTTGTTCTTGTTCTATTGTAAATTATCAGATTTATTTTTAGACATGTTCCAGTCATGTTCCTGTAGTTTTCAGTCTGTAAATGTAAATACAAATTATAAATATTATCAGGTTTAAATTCATCTGTTTTCTTTGTTTATTCTTCAGTTTAGATTTTGATCAATCTTCATTTAGTTTCTGTGTTTTAGTTTTTTATCAAAGCTGCTTGATCTTTTTTAGATTTAATTAATCAGATAGAATTGATTTTTTTAAATTACATTTTTAAACAAAACTTCTGTGGTTCCAGATATGAACATCTGTTTCTTTAGTGGTTCTCAACCTGAGGTGTAGGACCTCTCAGAGAGACCATCAGATGATTTGGGGGTCTTTTCTTTTTAAACCCTGAACTCTCCTCCTGCACATTTCTGGCAAACTGATTAATCAGCAGATTGATCAATGATTATTCAATCAATGTTGTTCACTGAGATTCAAACTGGAGATAAAATATTTTATTCAGTTTCACTTTCAACATGTTGTTGTTGTTGTCGTTGTCGTTGTGTATTAACGATCAGTTTCTCTCCCTGCAGCTCTCACTGTCAGATTTCTGACCAGGAGATTCATCGGAGAGTACGGAGACATCGGTGAGAGAATACTGCTCTGTGATTGGTCAGAGGTGTCTGTATGTGCACTGTGATTGGCTGGTTAATGCTCGGTCAAAAACCCTCTGACCTCATGTTTGTTTTTTGTTGCTGTTTCAGAGTCGGTTTACAGCCGAGTCGACAGAATCGACGGTCAGAACATCTGCTTTAACATCTGGGACTCTCAGTTCACACAGGTGGGAAACACACACACATACACACACACACACACACACACACACAGTGAAGATGTCACAGCTGCTGTTTATAAAAACAATTTTTATCTAAGGTTCATTCTTGACCCTTCAGCCACACCTCATGGCCTTCATCAGGAGGCTCAGTTGTCATGGAGATGGTTCAGTTGCTGTGTGGATTTTGGGTCACATGACAGCAGGTACAACCACCTGTTATTACCACCTGAGTAAGGCTCCACATTCATGTATATTAATCCATCACCATGACAACTGAGGAAAACGCCATAGACTGATGAAGGCCATAAGGTGTGGCTGAAAGCTCCGCAGGATGAAAGTTTTATTTTATTTAAATTGTTTTGAATAAAAATAAAAATAATGTGAAATTCTTTTGTGTCGTTTTAATGTGGAGCTTCAAATGTTGGAAGATGCTATTCTGTCTGAAATCATCACCTCTGACCTGTGGCCGCTGACTGACTATAATAGTTAATAATTTAGACTCTTATTTTGAAACTCCCCCCTCAGTGGTTAAATGTAGCGACATCAGTTTCTCTGCTTCACCTGAACAGTCAGTTTAAATGACAGAGCAGCTGCAGTCAGACTCAACCTGCTTCCTGTCCTCAGGCCGGGGAGAAGCAGCTGCAGTGGGCCGACGGGATGATCCTGGTCTACAGCATCTGCGACCGCGGCAGCTTCGACGTGGTCCGGCAGCAGCTGCAGCAGATCCGCGGCGGCAGGAAGCCGTCGTCCGTCCCGGTCCTGATCGTGGGGAACAAGCGGGACCTGCAGCGGTACCGGAGCGTCTCCAGCGAGGAGGGCCGGCTGCTCGCTCTGTCGCAGCGATGCGGCTTCTTCGAGGTGTCGGCGGCCGAGACGTACCACGGCGCCCTGCTGGTCTTCCACCGGCTGGTCGACCTGGTCAGAGAGACCCGGGCCCTGAGGAAGACCAACGCCGGAGTCCGAGGGATCGTCCGCAGCGTGTTCGGAAAGAAACGAGCCGAGTAGAGGAGGAAGGTTCAACACGTGAACGTTCTTTACCGAGTCTGACATGAGCAGATACCGGAGCGTCCGCCTCAGGAGAAAGGTCAAAGGTCAAAGGTCAGGGACGAGGTGGTCAGAGGCATGTTGAGAGGAGCGTCTTCATGTGAAAGTGTGGAGGGAAAGTTGGCGAAAGAAAAGTTGTAGAAATGATTCAGAGACAAGAGGCGGCTGCTGATTGGACAGAGGGAAAGACTGAGCTAACTGCTGATTGGACAGAGGAGTTCACATTGAAACATCTCAACAACCCTCAGACGGACTGATGTTCATGATCCCCAGAGGATGAATCCCTCTGACTCTGGTGAACCTCTGACTTTCCTCTAGCGCCACCCTCAGGATCACATCTGTGGATTTTTGTGGATTTTTTTGTGGAACGTCTCAACAACCATCAGATGAACTCAGACGTTCATTTTCCCCTGAGGATGAACTGTCATAACTTTTCCTGTAGCGCCACCATCAGGTCACTGTTTTCAGGTCTCTGGTTTATAACATGGTGAATAATATTGGTGAAGATTAAACCTGACAGACATCAACACGTCAGGATCACATTCCTGCTCCTCAGAGGATGAACCCTCCCACATTGCAGCCTGTAGGGGGCGCTACAGCGCCACAAGGCTTCACTCTGCAGACACAGGTGACCTGAGGGAAATCATGTGACCTGATCAAGCAGCAGGCCGATGAAGTGACAGAATAGTTATTGATTAGAATATAACGATGTCATTATGAGGTAGTTGGAGCTAAAGAACCTGAGTGAAGTTCAAATGCAGATCTGTAAATTTTTACGTTGTTTCTGTGAAAATGAAATGAATGTCACTGATGATGAAACAGACGAAGAGGCGTTCAGAGACGACGCTGCAGATCAGTTTGTAAACACGTTGTAAACAGACGATTTTTCTAATAAAAACTGAAGAGAAACTGAGTCTGTCTTTGATCCTGATACAAACACAGTGAGGTGAAGTTGTGAGTCCAAGAAACTTTATTGAACACGTCGCAGGTCGACAGCTGCACAACATTCAAACACTTTGATCTTCTGTCTGTGAAATAATGAGAATAAACTCGTCTGATTTAAATAACATGTTTAAACAGTTTGATTCAGTTCAGTCTCACGTCATCAGTCAACACTGACTCTCTGTCTCTCTTCATTCAGCACAACAACACATTAAAGGTCCAACCTGTCACCTTTTACTTAATTTATAACCTTTAATATCACCTTTAAAACCTGTAACAACCAGCTCGTCACTGTGAACTCAGCTGTTACAGATTTCACCAGTGTGTCACTGTCGTCATGTACGGTGGCTCTGAGGAGCCAAACAACAGGTCAGATAACACCAGGTTTATTATTCAGCTCAAAGAACATGTCGTTAAAATCAATGTTTTCTGTGTTTCCTCCTGTTTTAAAGTAAATGTTCAACATCTTCATATATTCAACATGATCATATCGACTCACATTTAACACTTACGCATTGTGAAGAAAATAAATATAAAGCTGGACTCTATCATAGAGAACTGTTGTTTTTTAACTAGAACTCGCTGCCGTTTGTTTGTTTGTTTGTTTGTTTATTGTTTGTCTAAACTAACGATCCGATGGCTCTGTCGATGAACGTGAACGCACAGACCAACACCAGCTCAGGCAGAAACGGCTGATCATCGGGGGCGGAGACGGGAGGCTGTGATTGGTCAGTGGGCGGGACCGGCAGCAGCGATAGGTGGTGGACGAGGGCGGGGTGGAGCCTCAGTCGGCCGTTGCCATGGCGTTGGCGGTGTCCTCGGTGGAGTTGGGGTTCAGGTACTCGAAGGCCTTCTGGCTCTGAGACACAAACTGTTTGAGCGGCGCCAGGAGCATCTCGGTGGCCGAGGGCCGCCGGTGGACGCCGACGTCGAAAGGGACAGACAGGCTTTCCACCTCCAGGGCCGGGGCGTCCTTCAGGCTGGAGCGCCGGCCGTTAGGGGGGTCGGGACTCTGGCGGCCCACGGAGCCTCGGGTGGCGCGGGAATAGAGACTCCGGCGGCGCCGAGGACGACCGTCCATTGCCTTCAGGAAGAGGCTGTTAGCCGAGTTGCGCCGAGACGAACTGTCGGACATGAAGTCCTCGTGGTTCAGGAAGTCCTCCACATCCTGATGAGACGGCTGCTGCAGCTGATGGACACACACACACACACACACACACACACACACGTCGTTAGTTCAGCTGCTCTGAAATGTAAACACTGTTATATAATAATCATATAATTTAATATCAAGCCTGTATTTTCTTGAATATTTGATTTGATCTCATTCAGATCTTCATTTGTTTCTAAACCTCAAACTTCTGATCTCCGCCTGTGGATCAATAATGTCTCATCAATCATTTATTTCCACATCTCACTATCTGTCGTTGACTGATCCGGATCAGGACCAGGACTTTCCATATGAACTACAAACATGGCGTCGTTTTCAGACACGACTCCAGTCATTAGACACTGATTGAGACGTGTTGATCTTCTGTAATTATTGATTTTAAATCATGTTGGTGAATCAGCTTCATTTTCACAATAAAATGTTCGATACAGACACATGAAGGTTCCCAATCTCATTAATCAATTCATCTACTGATCATTTTCCAATCAATCATTTTGTTTATAAATTAATAAACATTTTGTCCAAAACATGAAACTTAAAAAAATGATTACAATGATTGTTTGATTTTCAAATAGATGAATTATCTGTTGCTCCACTGATTAATTGATTAATCATTAGTTTGTCAGCCTCTAGATAATAATCCATATTCTTCTCACCCCTCTTCCTGCTGCAGAAGTAATACATAACAATCAAAGTTTAATTTATGATACTGAAAAAAGGAAATATGTAATTAATTGTTGTGATTAAAATTGAGCTACAAGCTTTAATAAGATGTTGTTTCCAGTTTGTTCTGCTGCCTCCAAAAAAAGTAAATAGAGCTTTAAAACACTGATGTTGATGGAGGCTAACAGTTTCCCCCTGCTTCCAGTCTTTATGCTAAGCTAGGCTAAACACGTCCTGGACTGGAGATGAGAAGAAGAAGATTTACAGATTCACATCACATGCAAAAGAAAATAAATATATCCACACATACATTTATAAACCAGAGCCCAGACCCTGATTCTGACCCTGATTCTGACCCTGATTCTGACTCTGATCCAGACCCTGTCCCTGAGTATTTTGGCGTCTCAGAGATGCCGTACTTTCTCATCATTAACGTGGGCTGATGAATCTCTCAGGTAGATCTCAGGTGTGTCTCAGGTGGCCCCTCCCCTCTGGACTCACCATGTTGTAGAGCGGCGTGGCGTTGATCACCAGCTGCAGCAGGATCTTCGACAGTTCCTGCAGGTCTCTGAGCAGCTGCTGGATCTGGACCGGCAGCTCTCGGACCTGCTGGACCGGCCTCAGCTCTGCCAGCGTGGTGGCCTGACTCTTGATCCTGTTCAGGGTCAGCTCTCTGATGTTCTCCGACCGGTACACCAGCGCCACCATGAGGCTCTGCAGGTACTGCAGCAGCTCCCCCACCACATCCAGGACCCGGCCCAGACCCACCTGCAGGGAGACACACCGGGTCCAGAGTTAGCTAGAGGATTTCTGAGGACTCAGGTGAGATCCGACTCACCTGGATTATAGAAGTGACTTCACAGCTCCAGTCTCACTTCAACACGAGGACATTCACGTCTGCAGAGTTTTTTTTTTCCAGGTATGTGGTCAGTGATGTCACTGATGATGTCACTGATTCACACCTGAACTGAACTCACTCGTAGCTTGATTATTAAACCCAACATTAACAGATCCAGATAATAACCGGTTAGTCTCAGTGAAGACAGACTGAACCAGACAGAACCGGACCGAACCGGACCAAACCGGACAGAACCAGACAGAACAAGACCGAACCGGACAGAACCGGACTGAACTAGACAGAACCAGACAGAACAAGAGCAAACCGGACAGAACCAGACACAGACGGACAGAACCCAACTGAACCAGACAAAACCGGACTGAACCAGACAGAACCAGACAGAACCGGACAGAACCGGACTGAACCAGACAAAACCGGACTGAGATCTCAGTGGCTGCTGTAGAAGGTGGACTCTGTTTCTACAGTGAAGACTGAAGCTTTAGTTCAGAGATCATGAGTTTATCACGTATGTGTTTTAACTGTTTAAAGATGATGTTCTATCATTAGCATGTCCGTTAGCATGTCTGTTAGCATGTCTATTAGCATGTCTGTTAGCATGTCTGTTAGCATGTCTGTTAGCATGTTAGCCAGTTCACTGTTCACAGTGTAATCTTCAGTCTCTGGTTCAGTCTGAGGCTGCTGACCTTTGACCTGAGGATCGACAGGAGGTCTTTCCCGTCACCAGGTCAGGGTTGATGTGTGAACACACTGTTCTCAGCTGGCAGCCTCCAGTTTCCCAGCAGACCAGACAACAGACCAAAATCTCTGGACCAGATCCAGAACCCGGAGCTGGCAGCAGAGAGACACGTGAGGACACGGAGACTGGAGAACATAAACACAGAGGAACAAAGAGAACACAACATAAACACAAGGACAGGAGGACAGGACAACCTGCAGCAGAACGTCTGTGACCATCAGGGTCCAGAACCAGACCAGACCCTCTGGATCTTGTCCGGGTTTGGACCCTGTCCTGGAACAAACCTGACCCAATGGAGCGAGAGAACAGAGAGCCTCTGTCTCTGTCGGCTGGTTTCACTCAGTGAATCAAACTGTTCCGGGTCAGAGACTCGGTCTGAGCTGGGAAAATCTGCAGGGTCTGATCAGGTTTCTGGGTCAGACCGAGTCCACGGGTCAGAACCTCTGACCCGAACAAACACAGGTCCAGGGACAGCACGGGGAACACAAAGAGCCAGACCAGCACGTGATGGAGAGGGGTCTGTACCAGAACCATGCCAACACACACACACACACACACACACACACACACACACACACACACACACACACACACACACACACACAGGTAGTTCAGTACAGACGAAGACTGCAGGTCATCAGGGGACAGGTGGGCTCACCTGAGCTGAACTTGAATGAATATGAGTCTGGCTCAGATGGTTAATGTGAAATGCATGCTGGGATATAGTGTTCTACCAGGTGCTGGTTCACCCTCTCTGTGGCTCCCAGGCTCTGGGTGCTGGATTTGAAAGGGGACGGGTGCAGACCCTGAGCGGGGCGGGGGCGGAGTCAGTCTCAGCTGACAGTTATCTGTGCATCAGCTCAGATGCTGTGTGCAGCACGTAGGCACAGGCAGGAAACTGATCCTTTATCTTTAATGGAGCTGGTTTTCCTGCAGCCGGGAGGTCCAGGTCTCTGCTGGATCCAGACTCTGATCTGTGTGAGAGCAGCCACTATAAACTGAGGATGTTTCTTTTAAATGGAGCTGTGAACAGGTCTGATCAGTCATTGATCATCCATCGGTCATTGAGGAAAGAATCTGAACTCCTCTGATGTTTTACAAACTAAACAATTAATGAATTCATGTGAAATGTAAAAACTGATGAGAACAGCTGCGCTAAAACCATTACAGCAACAGTTTTAATAAAATTACAAACATGGAGGACTTCCCTCTGGATCTGGATTCGGTTCCCTGAAGAAAGAATAACAAGTCACCCTGACAGTTACGGCCTCAGGAAAACCAATCGCTCACAAACATCCCTCCTGTATCTGGCTGATCAATGCTCTGAACGACACAGAGCCACAGTGAGGTCCCGGTCTCTCGTCTCTGTAGCATCCTGTTGATCTGTGTGTTGTCACTGACATGTTGTTGTTGTTGTTGTTGTTGTTGTTGGTGTTTGATTGCTGATGTCAGCTGATGCACTTATTTATTTACTCTATTTATTCTTTATATGGATCTGTTAGATTGTAGAAATTAATTGCCCTTCTGGGATTATAAAGTATTCTGAATGTGAATCTGAATTTAATGTTGTGGGACCGGGACCGGGACCAGGACCAGGACCACAGGGGTCTGGACTGTTGATGTGAGGAGGACTGATGTTGTATATGGAGCAGCATGAAGAAACACATGTGTCTGGTCACGTAGTCAGCCCACACACACACACACACACACACACACACACACACACACACACTCCTCTGGGAGCAGCTGCCTCACGTCTCCTTGTCTGTGTTTGTTTCTGCTGCAGATTTTTATCAGTTTGTTCTTTTAGAAACTAAAGATCAAATCTTACAACAGCTGAGACACAGAGACAGAGACGAGTCTGAAGACAGAGACAAAGACACAGAGAGACAGAGACAGAGAGACAGAGACGAGTCTGAAGACAGAGACAGAGACCAGAGACAGAGACGAGTCTGAAGACAGAGACAGAGACACAGAGACAGAGACACAGAGACACAGAGACAGAGACCAGAGACAGTGACGAGTCTGAAGACAGAGACAGACGAGTCACATTAAACACATAAGAACACAGTGTGAAACACAGAGTGTGAAAAGACGTCTGTTGTCCTGCTGTTTGTCTGTCCAGCTCATGTCTCTGTGTTCCTGCTCTCCAGAGGATGAACCCTTGACTCCATGATGTGTCCTCCAGCGCCCCCCTCAGGACTGACTTCACAGGTGTAGACTGTGTTTAATGAAGTGATGTCACAAAACAACCTGTTCACCTGGTTTCCTGTCAGAGGAAACAGCTGTCTGTGCCCACACATCAAATCAAGCAACATGCCAGAGGTGACAACACCTGTGCAGGTGGACCCTGGGGGCGGGGCTTTAGGACACTTTAGGTCACCTTGTCAGCAGCGTCTCCCAGCATCGTGACGGCTTCCTGCAGCTGCTCCCTGACCTTCATCATACGGTGATACAGCTGCAGACTGAGGCTCAGCAGGAGACTCCGCACCCTGGTCCACAGACTGGGCTCCTCATCCTCATCTTCATCCTCGTACTCCTGCACCCTCATCTCCCACTCCCGACCTGACCATAACAACATCAACAACAACATCATCAACAACATCAACAACAACCACACAACAATGATGACAACGACAAACAAAAACAACAAAACAACAACGACAGGGGCGTTCAGGAAATTATTCTGATGCACGATTTTCAACAGTCCGTCACTGGACAGTTTTTGTTTTCTCACAATCTGAGTGTGACACACACACACACACACACACACACACACACACACACACACACACACACACACACACACACACACACACACAGTACTCACGTAGTGTGGGTGGGAGGGGCAGGTAGTAGGCAGTGGCGTCCTCCAGGCGGCTCAGCATGTCGTCCAGTCCTGATGTGGCGGCTCGGCCCACCTGAGTGTCCTGCAGCTGACGCACCGCCGCCCGAGCTCCGTCGGCCAGACGCTCCAGCTGATCCAGAGCTCCGTCCAAACCGTCAACCACCCACAGCTGTACGTCGTCCAGGGTCAGGAAGAGGGCGTCCTTCAGGTGACCCACCACCTGAGGAGGGAGGGACACCAGTTACAGATCCAGGAAGTTTCTCCTCCTCTCAAACACAAACATGAAAATCTAGTTGAATGTGAGAAGACGGAGTCACAGCAAATGAGAATTGTCATAAAACATTAAACTGAAGTCACCTGCAGATAAATACAGGTGTTTCTACAGACACAGTCAGTGACCTGGTTTAACTCATGCAGCACAGACACACTGATGCATCAGCAGTTGGTTGTTCTCTGACGCCCCCTGCTGACAGTCTGAGAGCTCAGCACTCCTCCACTCCTCAACAGGGAAATCCTCCAGACCACAAACCTCCTCAGCCGGTTTCCACTCAGTTTCACTAAACACCTTTTTATTTAATTACTTTAATTATTCTCTAATTGGTTCCTTTTGTCGTTTATGATTGTTGAGTTTACTGAAACAGTGAGAGCAGAACAAACCTCATCTGTTGACTGGTTCAGGATGGGGAAGTTTCTCTCCAGACGGTCGAGACCAACCAGAGCAAAGCTGTTGGCCACTTCAACTGGGGGGGGGGGGGGGGGGGGGGGTATTACAGCTTTATACTGGTTACACTGGAGAAATACATGAACTGAAACGATTTCAACATAAGACTGAAACATAACAAGTTTTAGCAGTAGTATTAGCAGTAGTAGCAGTATTAGCAGTAGTAGTATTACCAGTAGTATTACCAGTAGTATTAGCAGTAGTATTAGTAGTAGTAGTATTAGCAGTAGTAATATTAGCAGTAGTAATATTAGCAGTAGTAGTATTAGCAGTAGTATTAGCAGTAGTAGCAGTATTAGCGGTAGTAATATTAGCAGTAGTAATATTAGCAGTAGTAGTATTAGCAGTAGTAGCAGTATTAGCAGTAGTAATTATTAGCAGTAGTAGTATTAGCAGTAGTATTAGCAGTAGTAGCAGTATTAGCAGTAGTAATATTAGCAGTAGTAGCAGTATTAGCGGTAGTAGTATTAGCAGTGGTATTAGCAGTAGTACTCATTTCCACATACTCTGTGGCTCCAGGGTCTGGAGAAGGGGCGTGGCTTGCTTCATGGCTACGTGGGATACGCTGCGAACTCCGACTTCAGCCGCTCCTCCCATCATCCCCAGCAGAGGGTAACGACCTTTGACCTCCGAGTACACTGAAGTCACCGACTGCAATGCCGAGCGAACCAGAGGCAGGCGGGAAACTCTGAACATGGCACTGGTCTGAAAACACCCAGAGACACAGAGACATTCAGGTCAAACACTGGCTGGTTTATTATCATGAGTTTGTCTTTGCTGAAACCAAGGACAGAGGAGAGAGGACAGAGGAGAGAGGAGAGAGGACAGAGGATAGAGGAGAGAGGTAAGAGGATAGAGGAGAGAGGTAAGAGGAGAGAGGACAGAGGAGAGAGGAGAGAGGAGAGAGGACAGAGGAGAGAGGACAAAGGAGAGAGGAGAGAGGAGAGAGGACAGAGGACAGAGGAGAGAGGACAGAGGAGAGAGGACAAAGGAGAGAGGACAGAGGAGAGAGGACAGAGGAGAGAGGACAGAGGATAGAGGAGAGAGGACAGAGGATAGAGGAGAGAGGTAAGAGGAGAGAGGACAAAGGAGAGAGGACAGAGGACAGAGGAGAGAGGACAGAGGACAGAGGACAGAGGACAGAGGAGAGAGGACAGAGGACAGAGGAGAGGACAGAGGAGAGAGGACAGAGGACAGAGGACAGAGGAGAGAGGACAGAGGAGAGAGGACAGAGGACAGAGGAGAGAGGACAGAGGACAGAGGAGAAAGGACAGAGGACAGAGGACAGAGGAGGGGACTAGTTCTGGGTCTTGTCTCCTCTGGTCTGGACTCACCTCATGATTTCGACGATCTGACATTTCTCCTTCACCAAATCTGAGGAGAAGCAAACAGAGAGGTCACAGAGCTTCCTCCTCCTCCTCCTCTTCCTCCTCCTCCTCTTCCTCATCCTCCTCCTCCTCATCATCATCTTCACTTGAATCAACCTTCAGTTCAGCATGAGGCAGTCAGCTGCTGCTGTGCCACAAAGCTGAAGACTGTTCAGCTGCAACCAGCATGAAAATCATCTTCTCTCTGCGTGGAGGGACCAGGACGCCGCTCTCCACTCCGACCCCCCGACACAGACCGCTCATTCAGCCAGTTTCTGGTGGCTCTTTAAAATGAGAGCGCAGAGAAACGGCGTGAAGAGGCTGATTGGTGAGGATAATTCAGACATTTACACAGGCTCAGTCTGCGGGTTTGGATTTCCAGAAAATTTAGAGGAAATCACCTCCGATTAATCATGACATTTCTCATGGTCAGATCTGGATCAGTCCCAGGTCGTTAGTTCAGTCTCTCGTCTGTGTCCTCGCCTCATTGTCACTAATGTGAAGTTCATCCTCAAACTCAGCTCTAATCTACAAACACAGCCACATCAACATCTTAATTCAATCTCATAACTGCATCAACACAGACCTCAAACTACACACACCACACCTCCTAGAAAAGTTCTAATTCTTAGTAGATGATCCAGATCTGACCCAAATCTACTGGGTTGTCCCAGGACCTGTCCCTCAGGACTTTCTGTGTGATCCTGCTGACAAACAGACAAACAAACAGACAAACAAACAGACAGACAGACAAACAAACAAACAAACAGACAGACAAACAAACAGACAAACAAACAGACAAACAGACAGACAGACAAACAAACAAACAAACAAACAGACAGACAAACAAACAGACAAACAAACAGACAGACAGACAGAAGAAGAGACTCATGAAGTTGAACCTTGTTGAAACAAAAGAGAGACGATGATGATGATTCCTGTGGAACCTTTAAAAAAAAAAAAATTGTCTCATGACTGATAAACGTAGATTATCATAAACACACTGATGATTTTCTTTGCTCATGGGCAGATCAACCTGCTCCAGGTCCTGGGCCAACATTTGCCTTTGGGCTCCTACTGACCCCCCCGACCCCCCGACCCCCACACCTCCAGCCTCACAGCAGAAACCAACATGTCCTCCAGCTGTTCATACACAGCAGCAGATGATCTGTCTCATAGTTTGGACTCAGATGATCAATCAATAATCATTAATCATCAATAATCATTTGAATCATTTTTTAAAGCAGAGATTCTAAATATTTTCTAACCAGCTCCTGAAATGTGAGAATCAGATGAGTGAACTCAGTTTGTGTGTTTGGACTTTTATAGACTAAACAATTATTGAAGAATCAAAAACAATAATCAATAATGAAAATAATCATTAGTTGCAGCTTTAACACACACTGTAAAACCTGGTTAGAGTCAGAGGGAGAACCAGGTCTGACTCACCTGGTCCCTCCAGAGGGAAACACCTCACTGACAGACACACGACACTGTACAAAATAATCTGAGAGGGAGCGCCACACCCAAAGGCCTGATGGGAAAACACCTCACAGCCTCACACTCGTTACACAAGCACTCGCCACGAAGCTGGCGACTACACGTCGGATAAATTAATCTGTGTTAAAAATATAGTTTGATGTTTGACTCTAACTGAAGGAATGAGACGATTATGTTTCTGGTAGATTTTTGTATTTTTGAGGGATTTTCCAGGATGTTTTAAATCTTTCTGCAAATCAGTTTTTTTTAGTTTTAATGTCCGTGAGACGTTTCTGTACAAAATAAATTCATTTATAATCCGAGAATCACTTTCTGAATTCATCAATTAATCATTTGGTCAAAGTGTCTGACGTTTCAGTTTAAAACAGGAAAAAGCAAATAGAGAGGCAGAAAAACAGATCAATAAACCAATCAATAAACAAATTAATAAACTGATCAATCACTAGATCCATAATCAGAAAAGAAACAGACCAAAATCTGGAAGATTCTAAGTTTGTGATGATGTAACGCACAGAACATCTGGAACATCTGGAACCAAACCAGAACCTTCAACAAGTGAATTTTAGATGTAAAATAATCAAGATTATTTTTAAATTGATTATCAATAATAAACTACTCCTCATGATTGATTATTAAAAACAGTCTTAGAGGTCTTACCCCATCAGAGAGGCTGAAGTGGATGGAGCAGCTGCACCCAGTGATGATGATGATGATGATGTTGAGGATGAAGACGACTGTAACTTTATGACCTGCTGATCTAGAGCGTGCTCAGTTTTAGGTTGAGTTCTGCGACCTGATTGGACAGTGTCGTGTGTGATGTCACAGCTGACGCTGAAGGGACATAAGTGTTTGCTGTTCGTTCTTCTGTGAGCGACCAATCAATTAACTCCAACTGAATGAGGTCATTTAGGACACACACACTGACACACCCTCCAACACACACACACAGCTGTTTATCAATTATTCTGATCAACTGATGGTGACACAGCCGTTGTTTAACAATCAATTATCACATTTGAATGAATTTATTCAAATTTTTTAATTAATGGGGAAACATACCAAATTCTCATTTCAACAACAGCTGCTTCACATCTGACTCAAACTGACTCTCAGTGACATGAACGTCATGAACTGAATGTTATTTATTTATTTGTCTCTTTATTTCTACACGAGGCTGATCCACTGCTGTGTCCTATTATTATTCTGCGTTTATTTCCCTTTTACTGCTCCACTGTTTATCTCTGGTTATTTATTCTATTTAGTATTTTATCATTTATCTTTGTTTTGTGTGTGTGTGTGTGTCTGAAGAAGAAGCTCCTGCACCACCTGTGCAGCTGAGACACAGCGGCTCAGGATGCTCTCTGTGGGAGGAGGAGGGGGAGGTTAGCAGCAAGTGCAGGTGCTGCTGGTTCATGTCAGGTCATTTGTTCCTAAAAAACCGACTGTTCCTAATAAACTGACTGTTCCTTATCAAACTGACCTTCACACTGACCTCTTCTCTGTCATTTCCTGGTTTTAAGTTGTAAAACATTTTCACAGAAGAAGAAGAAGCCGTTATCTGTGACCTGGATCATGAGACAAAGTAAACGATGACGATGATGATGATGATGATATGATGATGATGATGATGATGATGACTCTGCTTCAGCTTCGGTTTTACAAACTCATCTGAATGGTGTCGGAGCATCTGAAACCTATCAGGGGTTTTACCCAGAATCCTCGTGTCTCGTTTCTGAGCAGTGATATGGTGACTCATGGATCAGCCGCCGCCTGCAGCCTGTTACAGTGAGAAGCATCAGTCAGTGCAGCAACACATGGTTCTGTCTGAACGTCTGTCTGAAGCAGGAAGCAGCTCAACACCATCATCTTCATCATCACATATTGTAATCAATCGTTTATAAAACTCTCTCTCAGCTCCCATTGCCACGGTGACAGCTGCTCATGTCTTGTTTTATCCGTTTACAGTGAAGACACAGAAGCTTCACACCTGGAACCAGAGATGTTTGGGATTATTTGATTGTCAAAATAGTTGCTGATCAATTAATCGATCAGTTGCTGCAGCTGTAGGTTAAACGCAGAGCTCAGCGGACGCTCAGCGCTGCAGCTCTCTCAGCTCTGGGTCTCTTCGCTCCACAGTCATGTGTGAAATTGATGTTTCCCTCCATTACGACCCGGCCTAATCTGCCCCGTGAGGTGGGAGTTTTCTCAGGAAAAACACAGATGTGTGAACGCCTCGTTTCCTCTGACATCGCCAGCGTGGCGGGCAGCAGCCGCAGAGCCCTCGTCATGAAGGGATCAGTGTGTGACTCTTTCTGGGAAACGCTCATGTGACTAGAGGATCGTTACAGAACAAGTCTGTGAGGCCTCATTCAGACCAGGAGCCACTGACTTACCACTAAACCATCAGGCTGCTCAACTCTTACCAACAAACGCCATGTGCACTCACACTGACTGTCTGCTGCCCAGTGTGTGTGTGTGTGTGTGTGTGTGTGTGTGTGTGTGTGTGCCACAGTCTGAATCCTCTGAACCGATCAGCTCCACTCTGATATGAAACATATAAAAACATACAGGAAGTGTTCACATCCTTCACTTTATCCTGTTACTCACGATGACAGAGTGAAAACATGTGAAAAACAGGTGAAATTATTCAAAAATCAGTAACAAAAATCTCTTCAGATTCTTCACTGTGATCAGCTGCTTCCTGTTTGATTTAATAATCCTGCAGATGGAGTCCACAGGTGGTGAACTGATCTGATTGGACAGAGTTCAGACAGACACTCACCTATGTGTAAATAAGGTCCCACAGTTCACCTGCAGGTCAGGACCACAGACTGTAAATAAAGATGGACGTAGCCTCTATGACGTCACCCACAGGTTTCTAAAGCTCAGAGAGAGAAATCTGTAGACTGATCAATAATGATAATATCTGTTAACTGTCATGTTTGACAAATAGCTTTATATTAAACCGTGTCTTCTCTTTTCATTAATATTTCTTAGTTCATGTGTAATATTTATATAATTGTAAATTTACTATATTTGAACTATTTTACACACAAACATCAAATATTCTGTATATTTTAATAAACTGTTATTATCAATAACACATCACACCTACATGTATGACTATTATTATTTTCACTATAGCAATTAACAGTATATACTTTAAGTACATTTTCCTAATAAAACTTTTACTGCAGTAAAGTATCTCAGTTCTTCCTCCACCGTCCTTCTGTCAGAGACTCTTCTACCTCCAGACACCCCCTTAACGTTTTCACTTCATAAGTACAGAAGCGAAATGCATTCACTTGAGAAAAACATGTGAATAAATGTGATTTGATTGATTTAGAAGATGTTGTCCATTGTCGTCTGTGGTGCACCAGCGAGGCACAATGGCTGATGGGTAATCTTCTTGTCAACTTCCAGGGAACTGGTGAACGGTTGTTCAGTTCTTTGAACCGGGCACCTTGTGCTCCCTACGGTCTGGAAACTTA